CAGTTATGATGACAACTCTTCTTCAGCAAAGGAGATTTGCCTTCCGGGTACAATCTTTGGGGATAATCCTTTGAGCCGCTAGCTGAAGCCATGTCTGCAAACAAATAAAAACATTTAAATCTTACAAATCTACCACACATCAAAACAAATCTACCATGAACAACAAATCTACCAAACTCGACAACAACTATAGAATACCTACCACAAAACATTAACAAATCTACCAAAACGAACACAAATCTACCACAAATAAAAGAAAAGAAAGTATAGAACACAAATCTACCAAATAAATACATAAATCTACCACACACAAAGAGAGAACGCAAATATAGAATTCGTAAGTCTACCAAACGCTCACCACATATGAAAACAAGCAACTATAGTATATAACTCTATCAAATACGACCACAACTCTACCACACATGATATAAATAAACCAACAATACTACCACACAATGAAACGAAAACAAATCTACCTCACATAGAAAAGAACTCCGTTAAACACGAATAAATCTACCGTTAAGCATATACAAATCGAACAACTGCAACCAACTGCTGAAAGTCTACCAAAAAGAAATTAGAACCGAACCACTACAAACAGAGTTTGGTCGCCGGAAATCGTCTGGGCTCAGTAGAAACCGTTCTCGAAAGACGGAACCCGCCGATAATACTTCCCTGAAAACAAAAAAAGCAAAGGGTTACGATTTCTGGGTAAAGGGTTTTCGACTACGAACGAAAAGATGGAGTTCTCTTCCGACGTTAGCGCGAAACCACCATTGAAACCCAAACACAACTGTTGCGAGTAAAACCCAAACACAACCGTCGCGAAAACCGAAGTCAAAAACTTGTTCGCGACGAGAAACTAACCCAGACGTCAACACTTACGAGATGAGTGGCCGAAAAACTTTCGTCGCCGCCGAAATCGTCTCCTTCGTCGCGAAATCGCCAAAATCGTCTCCTTCGTCGCGAAATCGCCTTTACAGTCGCCGCCGGAGGAGATTAGGGTTTCAGCTTCTATTTTTATGTTTTTGTATTTTCGATTTTCGATTTTAAGAATGTTTTGGATTATGATTTCTTTTTTTTTGTAAAATGTTTTATTTTAAGGTTTTTTAAAATAGAATGGCAATCTGGTAATAATATTTATTATTTGGACAAAATGGTATAACACCAACTTTCTAAGGTTACTCTAGTAAGCTGATGGATATGTTAGGCTAAGTTTGTCAATACATTAACCTTAAGGGTTAGTCTGAGGAATTTTCACCTAAAAAAATTGTTTTATAATTTTATTATCTATATTATTATTTGCGAAATCAAAAATCTGATGTGTCGTCTCTACAGCGATTGTCCTATGTGTCATTATTAAAAAAAAATGTGGCATTTTAATTAGTTCTGATAGGTCGATCATTAATCATACATGTAAATACTCGTAACATAGCTTTTTCCCTAGATTATGGGCCAACGATTTTGTTTATGTGCCACCGATATCAAAGTCGGCCCTAACCTAAGTCAGTACGAATAAAAACAGAGAAAAAAGAAGAAGAAAAAACGAAGAAGAACTAAACCAAAAGATAAAGAATATAAAGAAGAGTAGAAGAAAATAAAAGAGGAAGAAGAAGAAGACAAACCAGAAGAGAGAAATGAAATAGAAGTTGTCGACGATGAAAAAAGGAAAGAAAAGATAAGGAATACAAAAATTGACGTCGATGATAAAAAAGAAGGAAAAGACGAAGAAGAAAACCGAAAAAAGGAAAAGAAAAATCATAATAAGAAAAATTATGACAAGACAAAAATATTGAAGAATAAGAAGGGGAACAGGATGATGAATTTGGAGAAAGAGAGAGATAGAGAAAAATTGAGTTAAAACTTTTAGGGACATGTAGACGCTTCAGTGACATGTAGATAGAGAGAACAAAAAGTGTGAGGGAGAGAAATATATATGGAGAGAGAGAGTGTGTGTGGGTGTGTGAGAGAGAGAGAGAGATAGAGAAATAGTAGAGAGAGTTAAACCTTCTAGGTATATGATATTAAATCTATGTTAGTTCGTATTTTATGTGTTCCTTTTTTATATTTTAAATACTTCTTACTTTAAATGTAATAATCTAAATCGTATGATATATACAATTTAGGACTAGGGGGAAGGGAGAAAATGAGAGAGAAATATTGAAAGAGAGAGAGGGAGAGCGAGAATGATAGGGAGGGACGCACAGAGGGAGAGAGAGAAAGAGTTAAAATTCTCAAGTACATGTATTCGTTTGATATAAAAGAAGAAATAAAATAAGAAAAATATAAATTAAAGTTGGAGAGAATGAAGAAGACGAAAGCGATGATGAAGAAGAAGAAAAAAAAGAAGATAAGATAAAAATATAGAAGAAAAAAAACTTAAAGAATAAGAAGTAAGAAAAGACATATAGAATGAAGAGGAGATGGAAAAAAAAATTAAAGAAAACTAGGAAGAAGATATGAGAGAATAAAGAGAGAAAAAAATAGAAAACGATGAAAAAACATAAAGAAAAAATGATAAAGAAGAAAAACTAAAAGATAAATAAGTAGAAAAAAAAATACAAAAAATAATTATGTAGAGACGAATAACTTATTTTGTCTTAGTTCAATTAATGGTAATTTATCATACTTACATAGCAAACACTTTTATCTTTAATAATTGTTTTAATCTTTTTAGATTTTGATTTATAACATTCATATGCCCGTACAAGATGCGGACCAAACACCTAAGTCATTGCTATTTTAGTAGTATATTTTTAACGTTGTCCATCATTCTATTACAATTTAAAGTTAATTGTTGTTTATGCTTGCAAACGAATGTCAAATCCCAGACCGCACTTTTTTTCTTTTTTGTGATGAGTGCTGATTTATATCTATGTCTAGTCTCAACTTGCAAAAATATTGGCAGACTTTCATGAAGTTTATAAATTTTTGGCAGACTTCAAAAATCTATCTTGCAGAATTACTTTCAATTTCAACAGACTTATCTGAAGTTTACAATTTTCTGACAGACTTCAAATTCAAGACAGCTGACTTACGTTAGGTCTGCAAATATTTGATAGACTTGCATAAAATCTTCGTGTTTTTGGAAGATTTGAAGATTCTATCCGTAGACTTGCCTAAAGTCTACTAGATGAGATTTTCAAATCTACTAAACATAAATCTACTAAACCTAAATCTACGAGATCGCCTATTTAAATTTGTCAAAAAAATTACAAACAGCTTATAATATTCATCAGAGAAGTGATTCAAAAGAAAAATACTAAAACCATATTAGGATAAAAACTAATGATATACCAAATTTTGTTTAAAATAATTAATTTATTTTCTGTAAAAAATAATTATTTAATAAAAACGTTTCTGAAAACAAAATTATAAAAATAGAAAGGGTAATTTTGGAATTATAGATTTATTTAAAGAATTAGTAGGTTATGTGAGTAATAATATATTAGAGGGGTTATTATAGCTATTTCCAAAACAATGTAGGTTATTCTAGGTAATTTTTTCTTAAAAATTTTGAAAAATTTAAGTAGGTTATTTTGGCTATTTCTAATATTTTTAGGGTTATTGTAGCAAATCTCTCAAAAAAAATGGGTAGACAAGTATTATAAGCTTCGCTTAGACTGAGAGAAAAAGCACAACTATGTTTTTTTGGGTGTGACACATCACACATGATAATAAATGGATCATACTTTTTTGTTCGTATGAAAGAATTAATAAGAGCGGGGAATTAAGGTCCAGGCATCTGTTGCTGTTGGCTCCTAAGGGCAGTAAAGTGAGCAGCAATCTGATCGTGGTGGGGAAGCTTAGGATGAACATGCTTAGCTTCCTTTAACCCTCTTTCTCCTTCTTCTTCTTCCTTTTGATCCGACCACATTGAGAACACGTTGTACACTATATGGTAACACTGACCACACTCTTTCTTTTGATAACTTCTCCTTCCCTTGTAATAGTACCTCCAACATTCCACGTCTTTGGCGATTGGGCTGCTTGAAGCTGATATTGATCGTCTGCTTGACCTCTTTCTCTCTCTTCTCTCTTCTTCAGTCTCTTTGAATCTGAATAGTACTCTCTGATCTTTCTCCACCACTTCCTCCTCTATGAAATCATCCTCATTACATACTTTTCTTTGATCCCTTGATGCTTTACTACGACGACTCTCTTCTTGTTTTTCCTCCACATCCGCATCCCTGAGAGTAAACTTATACTCTTCTGCTTCGCTCTCAGCTTCTTGAGATGGACACGTCTGAGCAGAGGTTAAATCGGAACCCGTAACTACTTCCTGTTCTTCTTCTGGCTCCCTGCTTTCTATTACCTTCACACACACGCACCAAACAAGTGCGAGATTATATACATACTCGCAACTCCCACAGCATTGAGATGCAGAGAAATTTCAAAAATTCTTTATAATAATGATAGAAATTAAGAATTACCTGTTTGTGAAATTCGGGAGTGTATTGGAGTGCCAAAACTTCGTGACGCAGGCCGTACTCCGCTGCTATCTCGGCCAACAATTTGGACTTGGCATCCTCTGATACTGAAACTATGGAGAGTTTCTCTGTAACCTGCAATTCGAGTATGTATAGTAGTACTTCCAAGGCTCAGTAGACAAAAAAAAAAAAAAAAAAAAAAGTCAAGAGAGGAAGATGGATGAAGCGACCTGAGGGTTGACACGATTGCCAGGGAGAAGATGGAGAGCCGTTGCCACAAAGGGTTGCCCGTAACGCTTCCCAAAAAGAAGCCTCAAAGTGCGTAGCTCAGGCAGGTCTCCACACCTCGCAGAGGCAAAGACAAGTGTTGAAACCGCTTCATTGATGCCATCAGAAAGTTCTCTGTGCCTCCGAATGTAGGAGAGGTGGAGGAGGATGAAGTCGGAGAATTGAAGCAGCAAGTGGTAGAGGGACATGAGATTCTCATCAAGGAAGAGATGTTGAGCCCGATGAAGAGCACGGTTTCGTTCACCAATGCGGAGCAACTGAGCTATGTCGTGGCGCAAGTTTGAGGAAATGGCGTATTTCTTGGTCTTGAGCAGCTTTAGACGACACTGAAGCTGTTTCACCACTCTCTTACACTTGGAGGCCTTTCGCCATCCCAACAGAAAACCAAACATCGTACTGTATTTGATCTGTTCGTATGTATAATCTCCAACTTTAAAGATGAATTGCTCATAATGACTGTGAAACAGAGGATTTGAGAGTTTCTAGGAGAAAGTGGGTTTTGATCATGATTATGGGGCAGTAAGTGCCCCTCGACGGTTATTACTTCCTTTTTTTTCCCCACCCTTTTTCTTGTCATTTCATCAATTATTATTATCTGATCATCCTATTAGAACTTTAAAAGATTTGAAATTATTTCCTAATGATATAAAAAAAAAAATATTTTGTAAAAATTAAACAGAGTATTTTTATTTTGTCATGCTGCTGGATAAAACACAAAATATTGAGTTATCATTTGTGTAGTAAGTTGTTATTTGGTCATGGTTCTAGACAAGAATGATCTACTAATCGGTTTCGTTCCTCGTCTTTTATATTTTTTTTAATCTTTCAAGCTAATTGCTTTCAAAATTTAAGTTCATCATGAACATTTTCCCTCGCTCCAGTTATATGGAATCTCAACAACAACAAATGTAATTTGGTTTAGATTTTAAAACGACAATGCATAGATTCTTCTCAAACGATTTATGACTCTATGAGTCTGAATCTAAACACAGCAAGATTGAAGTTAGGTAGGTGTGATTTTTAATTACTGGGTGAAATAAATAATTAATCGTAGATGTTTTTTATTTTTGTATCAAGGTTGAGATTCTTTTTCTTTTTTCAATAGAAAACGCATAGTATTCGTAAACCTAATACTTGAAAGGTGAATACATATGGGATATCTTGAAATTCTACGATATTCGGATCCAAATTCGTTAAATTCATGAAGAAATGCCACAAAAAGCAATGTCTATCATCTCTCTCTCTCTCATCATATGACAAATGTAAACTCCTTTTTAATGTATATAAATAAATAAATAAATAAAAAACATTAACTGGGGGCATTAATGGAGGTCACACAAAAGAAGGGACAGAGAAGGCAAATTGAAGGTGATTGCATACAAAAGTACGTCTTTCAGTTTTGTACAGAGGAAGCTCATGACACTCACCAAAGAAGGCAGCACGAATGATATTCAAGTTTTTAATTAGGCTTCGCTTCTTGTGATTCTACTCTTACTACGTCTCCTCGAAATTTATATCATTTCATACGTTCGATCTTGTTTTCATGTGACTCTCCTCTACTCTACCGTGAATCTCTTCAATTTCATAAACGCTATGTTAACGATATCTCCATATCATATATACCTTCTTTCTCACCGTACGTATCACATACTACTTCATCCCAATTCGCAATTTTCCAGTTTTACTATTCTCACAATATCACACATGAAGTCTCTTCTTGTCCTTGTCCTCTTCCTCTCTTTCTTCTTATGCTCTCTCTTCGCTACTAGGCATTTCCCAAAGCCCCCCTATCCAAGTATGTCGATCGTATGCTATTCTCTCTCCCTCTCACTCTCCTTAATTCCGCACCTCTTTCACTATCTTCAAGCTCTCTAACTAGTTCATGTTTGTGTGTGCGTGCGCAGGTCATCATCATGTGGGAATGACGTCGACGACGGGGACACTACTGAAGCGTCAGAGGAGGCCGGACACGGTGCAGGTGGCTGGGTCTAGGTTGCCGGACTGCTCACACGCGTGTGGCTCATGCTCCCCATGCCGTCTTGTGATGGTGAGCTTCGTATGTGCATCGCTGGAAGAGGCTGAGACTTGTCCCATGGCTTATAAGTGCATGTGCAACAACAAATCATACCCCGTCCCATGATGAGCACGCAGCCTCTCCTACACTAATGATGCATTGATCAACTGTTTTGTTTTCCTTTTGCTTCTCCGGGTACATGACTATCGATGTGTACGTATAGGATGCATATGCCTCTTTTAACTTTCTTGTTTTTTCATCTGGATTTGGTGCTCTAGTTCCTCTACTTTAAGTAGTTAGGGTCGAAATCTTGAAACATACGCTTTATTAAATTAGTTAAGCCACTCAAAAGTGTGATTTTGTCAAAACCGAGAGAAGCCACTCAACTAATTGGGCTCATTATTATGGGCCATGAGGCCGCATTTCAGACTGCAACAACCAAATTAGAGAGAGAATCATATTCCAAAGGGCACATCGTACATTATACGTTGCTGCCACCAAACTTTGGAGGCTCTCTAATAAATTAGCACACTCCACGTTCTCTGCCCATTTGTTACACTCCATCTATTTTCAACCATCTCATCTCACCTTCGTTAAATGTTCCCACAGTTAGCTCAATAATTCACTATATACACTCACATACGCCTTCCCTCCACATGCAAGATCAAACAAACACCTACCTTCACTCTTTACCTTCCTCGACTTTTCTCACTGCAACAAGAACAAATATGGCTTCTTCCCTGCTCACACCCGCAGTCGCAGTCACTTTGGTGCTTCTTAGCCTTCTGCTTGGATCTGCAGAGCAAGTGAGCGGACTGCGTCACATGCCCAAGTCCCATAAGACCACTGATGTCAAACACCCTGACTTTCTTGTCACAATTGAGCCCAAACCAACGGTTCTCATCCCTGGTGTTGGAAGGTTCTTACTTCCTCCCAAATGTAAGAAGCCATTCTACCCTTACAATCCTGTCACCGGAGCTCCTCTCACCGGTGGGTCTATCCCATCATATGGTGGTGGACAAGGGGCCGGAACTCGCACCCAACTCCCTGGTGGCGATGATACGCTTGTCCCAAACCCAGGATATGAAGCTCCAACCCCGACCATTGGAGCTGGCACTGGAACCAACGGCCAAGTTCCACCAGTGCCACTACCCTGAGTTTATTATATAAAAAAAAAAACTATCAACAAATAAGCATTTCTTAGATGCATAAGAGTCTTCTATTTTGCTGTCTTAATTCTTGGATTCATATGTAATGTAGCCTTCTGGTTTATTAGCCGTTACGTTTTGAACTATATGTTTTGCCATCTCTCTATATCTGCTACAAAAAAGAGAGGAGCTTGTGTCATGTTCTTCAGTTTATGTCTTCAGAAGAAATCTAGAGCATTTGTTTACATACCATTATAATAAATAAACAAATTGTTTTGCAGATACCTGTACTCTTCCAATTATCAGTAGATACTACTCATACGAAATATATTAGATGCAGAAAAGTAAACCATCAAAGTTGAAATTGTGATAAAAAAGACTAATCAAGATTGAAGGAAACCATATTGATTATCCCCTAAGACACGCAGAGCCCACCGATATGAACCAATAATGTAGACCTGATCAATTGTAGGGTTGAGGCACTCAATATCTTGAGGTTGATGAAACAAAGAAAGTGACAGATGGGGGTTGATAATATATGTAGATGAGATCTCAGTGCTGATGACCTGAAAGGCTATCCCAACATTCATTGCTCAGCCTGCGCCAAGTCTTATTGGTTGATTTTATGATCCAAGAGTTTAGGAGCAGCAACCTCTAGAAATAAAAGGTACACTAATTGCGTAGACCTTCTCAAAACTAAAACCAAAAGATACACAAACAACAATAATCTGTATTTCTAAAATTAAAAAAGGGGTCAATAAGTTAATGGTAACTGGTAAGTCCCCATTACTACAGTATCAAGTCAACAATGCTCCTAAAAGAGCCGTCGTAAATATCAGAGAAAGATGATATATTCAACAAGGACAATGATAGTATGGGAAAGAGAGAGCGAGAGAGAGAGAGAGAGAGAGAGAGAGAGAGAGAGAGAGAGAGTAGTCACACATTGGATATTGCCATACTGGAGAATGATAGTATTACAATTTCTCATGATTATTCAGAACGTTGCGGAAGTATTGTGAATGGCGTACCCGCAGAATAAACAAAGAAATATAAGTGAAAGAATTCACATACGATGGCATAATGTTGAAAGAATTATCTATGAGGAGGAAGGAGGAGCAACTCGATCAGCCTCTATCATCGACTTTATGTAGTACTCTCCTGCTTTGTACGAAGACCTCACCATTGGCCCTGATGCGACGTACCTGAAGCCCTGTTTACCATATATGTATCAGCACATTCCATTTAGCCTTCTTCTACTTGTCAGCATATACAAAATATATAAAAACTTGAAAGCAAGGAAGGGAGCATTACCATTTCCATGCCAAGAAGGCGATACCTCTCAAAGGCCTCTGGTGTCACGTACTCGGCTACTGGCATGTGCCGCTTAGACGGACGCATATATTGGCCGAATGTCATTACGTCAACCCCTGCTGCTCTCACTTTCTCCATAGTCTTGACGACTTGATCAGGGGTCTCTCCACATCCGAGCATTACTGAGGTCTTTGTCAGGGTGCCTGCAGGTGCATGGTGCTTAGCCATCCTAAGCACATCCAGGGACTGCTCAAAGTTAGCACGATGGTCTCGCACAAAACTCTGAAGCTCTTCAACTGTCTCAATGTTGTGGGCAAAGACGTCAAGCCCTGACTTGGACACCTTCTCCACACATCCACCATCTCCACGGAAGTCAGGAACTAGAATCATCCGGAAAAGGAAAACAGATTAAAAGTCCTCATATTCATCATGATCAAACACGGAAACCTCAATTGCCAACATCAATTACCTAGAGCTTCTATCAACATCTCCGGCTTCAACGTTTTCAGTCTCTGAACAGTTTCAGCAAAATGGGCACTCCCCTGATCAGGCAAATCATCACGATCTACACTGGTGATGACGACATAATCTACCCCCCAGGATGCGATTGCTTCAGCAACATTGTTAGGTTCATTTGGGTCAGGCGGTGGAGGTGTACGCGATGTCTTGACGTTACAAAACCTAAAATAGAAGCCCTTTCTTTGTTTCAGAGAAAAAAAGACAAAATCAAAAGCCCATTTGAGGAGGGAGGGAGGGAGATATGGTGAATTCACCTGCAGCCGCGTGTACAGGTGTCCCCGAGGATCATAATGGTGGCGGTGGCGGTTCCAGTTTCGCCACCAGACCAGCACTCGCCGAGGTTGGGACACTTGGCCTCCTCGCAGACGGTGTGAAGCTTAAGGTCTCTCAGCTTCTTCTTGATCTGGACATACCTCTCGCCGCCGGGAATAGACTCCTTCATCCATTTAGGCTTGGGGAGGGGCTTCTTCTTCGTCCCAACCTCCACGGAGTAGGAATCGCCGTGGATGAAATCGGTGAGGGAAGGGGAGTCATCCGCCAGCCGCGCTCGAAGAGCCTCCAGGCTCCTCGGGGATTGTGTTACGGTGGCGGGGGTTACCGGCGACGAAGAGGAGAAGAATCTCGACGCCGGTCGAAGGATTCGGGAGACAAGGGCGGAGCGGGATTGCATCTCAAACTCCGAGAAAGAGAGAGAAAAGTCCCCGATTTAGGAGGATTCGTTCTCACCGGTGACGAGTTTAAGGTGATGGATGATGACCCCTCCACTTCGCTGAGAAGGTTTCGTTTTGAGCCTTTTGTTTTTCTTAATAAGCACAGGCCCATTATATTTATTATGGTCACGGCCTATTACATTTATAATATCCAATCAGAACTCAGAAGAGATAAAAATATATATTTTTTTTTTAGTCAAAATAAAAATATAATCTATTATATAAAGAGTGAGTTGTGTCTCACAAACTTGACATCTAAGCACCCATTCTTTTGACACATCAGCTTCTAAAAAATTATTAAATTTTTATTATTTAATAATTTTTAAAAACTTCTTCGTAAATAAGCATCAATTTATCACTTAAATCATTGAATTTAGTGATAAACATACATTTATTAAGATAACTCTCCTAAAAAGTGTGATAATGATTTCTCCTTATATACAAGTTATCTTAGTTAGATTACTGAACCAAAAATAAGAAAAATATAGGAGCAGTCATAAAAGGCCGAGAGAGAATATGAGAAATAAGAAAGAACTTAAAAAAAAGGAGAAAGAGTCGTGAAAAGAGGAAGATAAGAGAAGAGAGGACAAGCCGTGAGTAAGAGAGTGAGAGAGAGGAGGAGATTAATGATAAAGAAAAAAAAAGAAGCAGAGAGAGCACATAAACAAGAGGAAGGAGAACAAGTGTCCGGAAATCAGAATGGATGACGTTGCAGAGAAAGAATAGATCATCACCATCGCAAAGGAGAATATTGAGAAAGGTCTATCTGTTTGAGGAAGTAAGGAAAAGAGGAATCAAAGCAAATCAGAGTGACTATTAGATACAATATCAATTACTAACTCAACAGAGAATCATAGATGATTAATGATAAAGAAAAAAAAGAAGCAGAGAGAGCACATAAACAAGAGGAAGGAGAACAAGTGTCCGGAAATCAGGATGGATGACGTTGCAGAGAAAGAATAGATCATCACCATCGCAAAGAGAATATTGAGAAAGGTCTATCTGTTTGAGGAAGTAAGGAAAAGTGGAATCAAAGCAAATCAGAGTGACTATTAGATACAATATCAATTACTAACTCAACAGAGAATCATAGATGACCTATAAAAGCTTTCGATTTCTTTATTTCAGTAGACATCAAAATATCCATGCAAAGGCTAAGCAGTCACTATACAACTTTCCTTTGCATGGAGACCACCAATGAGGGTCTATATTTTATTAGTCTAATTGTGATTATGTGTAGGATATACTAGCTGATCAATAAGTAGCAGTGTTATTGTATAACTTAAGAGTTCTTTGATTATAATTTACCAAAAGTTTATTTATTTTTTTATAATATAAAGTTTATGTAAATGTTTGTGGATACGTATGACAGTTTGTTTAGCTAATTAATGGTTAAAATAAAAAATCTACTAATTATTTTAATACATTCCATAGAAATGCTTATGACCTACTAAACGGAGGTAAATGTATTTTACCATGTTCAAAAAAGAAGGATTATTGAAAGTTTGGCACCAATCATGTAGGAACTAAGTAGAACAAAAGATGAAGGAATGAGTAGTAAAATGTTGTTGTTTAAAGAATCTATTTGAGTGTGTATGTCTGTAGTGTTTAGAAGGATTGGATTAGGATTGTGTTTTGGTGATTTCATTGGCAAATGTTATCGTCTAATTAGGTTTTTTTAAGAAAATTACAAATCCAAAATACAAAAAGAGTTTTCAATGCGGATTTAGAGTAATATTTTAATATTGCAACTATAATTTTTAACGATGTGAAACAAAGAAATCTATATTATTGTGGTTAAGGGAGAGCTAAAAAAATTTCATAGGAGTAGAGAGAAGTGAGCATAACATGATATAATCTAAAATACATCAGTACATTCAGGTTAAACTATAGATTTTTAGAACAATTTAATAGATAAAAAACTAAAAATGTCTCTGTTTTTAAATATGTATAACAGAAATAATAGATTTTTACACAGTAATAAGGTTATCAATTTGTTGTGAGATTTAAAAAAATGCATAGCAAAAAAAACCTGCGTGTATACGCGGGTATTCATCTAGTCGGTAATAATAATACTCCCTCTGTTCAGAATTATTTGATGTTTTAAAAGGTTTTTTTTGTTCAGAATTATTTGATGTTCTCACTTTTCAATGCAAAATTTAATGAATTTTTATAGTTTTTGACTTTTTATATTCTGCATATTGTCTTCTTATTGGCTGAATGATATTTAAATGATTATAGATAATATTTTTAGTATAAGAAAAATAAAAATTAAATGAATTTTTAAACTGTGTGCAAAAACTTTAAACATCAAATAATTCTGAACAGAGGGAGTATGTGAGAGGAGGATGATTGTGCAATAAAAATACGGCCTTAACCAATGAGATAGTAGTAGTCTTCTCTTTAGGGAAAATTAGCTTTTTTAAACTTGAAGTATTTATAAATGTTAATTTCATACCCGAATTTATATCCAGTGCTAAAACATACATCAAGTTCATAACGTTTCAAATTTCATACTTAAACTTTAATTTTGTGCTAAAACCTACTTCAAACGAAACGGTGTTAACATTCTGTTATGTAGTGTCCATGTGGCTAACACATAAGGTATGACGTGGTTTAAGCTAAAAACGACGAAGTTTAAAATTACTAAGCAAATCGGTTTTTCTTCGAACTATCCCCATCATCTTTATTCTTTACTAACCGGTCCACCAAAAGACTCCTTGGCCGAGTCATTGCCGCCATTTTGAGCATATGCCTTGAGCTTTAATGGGGATTTGCAGAAATGGACATGATGATGAGGAGTGCTGAGTGAAAAGCAACGAGTATTCAACGTTATATAGGAACCAAGGGTCTCAATGTCAACATCGTCAATAAAGGCTTTGAGATCAAGGATGTTTCTTCCGAGTTAACTCCACCTGCGATTGAGAAACAGAGGCCAAAGGATATGTGAATTTACCCAGATGATCTAAGAACTCAAATTGTCTGAATCAATAAACTTTCAGTGAGGGTGAGAAAAGGCAATTACACATTACAGATAGCGAAATTAAAAGCGGGTTCTTTCAGATATTGGACTCGATGGCTACAATTAAATCTCACAAAGCCAACTTCCATACATAAACCTTATAAGATTCTGAGATGAGCTATAGATTTCCTTAGGCCAAAACACCTTTCGCTCAGCCTTTGACTTCTCTCTCCTTCCCTCCTCATCTTCAAACCTTAGCAGCTAAAACCAAAATTGCCTCGGTAACCTGAGTTTCTTCTCCTTTCTCTCCGTCACTGCAATCTTGGTATCCACACAATTCTTGGATCGAATTGCCTTGGTTTAAACTGTTCCCTGAGCTCTGTTCTCCAGCAATGAATCGCTGTAGCTCTTCAATATCCCACTGCTGTTTACATCATTTGATAGCGACTAAAAAACTAAAAAGACATCTACTTCCCAGAAATTAGATAATCACGAACACAGAATAAGGTGAAATGCTGTAAGCCCTAACCCGAACAGCTCGAAGAAGACATTTGCTCTTCAATCATTATTTTTTGAAACCCCTAGTTCTATTTCCAGTTTGTCGAGAGTTTAAAGAGAGAGAAGAAACTAAGAAAAACAATAACTGTCATCGTTTAGTAAATTTTTTAGCCTAAACTCATACGAGGTTGTTTTTTTTCCAGAAAACCAAATGATTTCGCAGTTCTTACGACGAACGTGTAATCCAACGTGTCATCCACATCCACTTAAAATAACGGAGACTTAACACTATTTAGATGATCAAAGGTTTAGCACAAAATTGATAGTTCAGGTATGAGATTTAAATTAAAACGAAGTTCACGTTTGTTTTAGCACTGATAGTAAATTCGAGTCTGAATTTAACATCTTCTCATAGTTAAGGTAGGAAATAGCCAATTTTTCTTCTCTTTAGTAACGTTTGTTGGTTAGTTCTGATTTAGTAAACTCAGGACTCGGCTGTGAAAGTGCTTGACCCTGACGTGCCAAACAAACATAAAACGAAAAGAAACGCACTCGCACGACTTTTTTTTTCTTTTCGAAACGAAACGAAACGAAACGAAACGCAACCGCACTTTCCTTATTCTTCCCTCTCTGAAATTTCTTCATTCACTCCAAATCCGCTCTGATCCATTCCGATTGGATCTGCCGCGTACGGTGCAATGTCTCGCTACCAGTCTACTTCCTTTGACGACGGCGAGGTTAATCCCTTTGCGGTAAGCTTCCGCGTTTACATTCTATCAAGGGATTCATTCCACTTTTTTTGTTTTTTTTTGGAAATTGCAATGTTAGATCTGCCTCTTCTGATATTGATTTCTCAGATACGTGTTTGTGTGTTGAAGTAATGTTACTCGTAATTAATACTAGTCGTCTAATCCCTGGGATCCAAATTTCGTCAATCGATTTATTCATGCGCTCTCTTGTGTTCGTATGGTTATCTTATCGGCTTCGAGATGTGAGTGTCGAAATGTAATTTGCGTTGAGTAAGTTGAGGGGAATTGATGCTCAATGTAACGCTTTCCATTCACCCACCCACGGATTCCATAGCTTCTATTGTTTGTGAAACTCAGTTCAGTGATAATTATCAAACTATGGTGGAATTGCCTTTCTTTTCTTTTTTTCTATGTTCTTTAGGGTGGCTATTGATACTCTTTCTTGTCTTGTTGGATATTTGTCTCTGATGACTGATGCTCTAAAGGTTTTCCAAGAAATATCTCTCTTGCTCCTTAAACACCCATAACTGCTCTTGCTTTTTGTAGTTTCTCCTTCACCCTCATTTTTTGTGTATTGAATCTTTCAGAATCCTGGAACTGTTCCAGCTGCAACCTCAAAGCTTTCACCTCTTCCCCCTGAGCCGTATGACCGCGGTGCCACTATTGATGTTCCTCTTGACTCTGGAAAGGTATTTTCTACACCCAGAGATGCCTATTCACCAAGTATATAAAATCCCTGAGATTAATTGGCTTTCTAGGATCTGAAATCTAAGGAGAAAGAACTCCAGGCAAAAGAGGCTGAATTGAAGAGGCGGGAGCAGGTAATCTGTGATTGGATACTAATGTCACTTCTCAAACTGGTCAGCTGTTGATGTTTCATTTTCCTTGAGCCAACACTAATTACTCTTCTTCTAATTGCATATCATTTTTGAAGCCTTATATGGGTGAAAACATATTTAGCTTGTCAACGGTCTCGTTTTATCTAATCTGTTAAGCTTGGCCACAATGGTTATGTATATATTTATGTGGCTTCTGATATCTTTTTGTGTTACTACTGCGCAGGAACTCAAGCGGAAAGAAGATGCTATAGCACAGGGTATCATTGTCAATTTTATCTTTTTTTAGAGACCTCACATTTTGTTCCATGTGAAGTTGCTCATGCTTTCATCTTCTGTTTGGTAGCCGGGATTGTGATAGAAGATAAAAACTGGCCTCCGTTTTTCCCTCTCATCCATCACGACATTTCGAATGAGATACCTATCCATCTGCAGAGAATCCAATATGTTGCATTCACATCATTGCTGGGTATATGTTTTCTCTGTCTCATAAGGGGCAAACCATCTGCAGTTGCGAAAGTGCTGGATTTCCTTCAATTATTAGTAAACGATCGCTTTCTCTGTTTTGCAGGTCTTGTGGTGTGCCTGTTATGGAACATTGTGGCAGTTACCACCGCGTGGATTAAGGGAGAAGGTTAGTTTTGGAACAGTTAAAAAGTTGCCAAGTAGATTGAGCACGTATGATGCTAATCTGCAGAATCGTGTACTTTGAGTGTAGGTCCAACTATATGGTTTCTAGCTATTATCTATTTCATATCGGGAGTTCCTGGAGCATATGTTATGTGGTATCGCCCTCTTTATCGTGCCATGAGGTATATTGCGTATCCATGCCACTTAAGATTGTTCTTTATAAATTCTGTACTCTATATGCTGCTGTGTAGTGTGTGTGTTCCTTCAGTTAAAGAAAGAGAGAGAAAGAAAAAAACTGAAGTTACAGATAGCATCTTAATAAAGAGTAAGAAATAAAAGGAGTTGAGAGTGAGTGTGGGTTGATTTGGTTGTGTGCAGGACTGATAGTGCTTTGAAGTTTGGGTGGTTTTTCTTCACGTATCTGGTGAGTTTTCGATTCGGGTTTCATGAATTAATGTTGGATTTGACACATCCGAAGGAGGAAGAGAGTAAAAGCTTGAAATAAAAAATGCAGTTTCACATAGGGTTTTGTGTGTTTGCGGCGGTGGCTCCTCCAATAATCTTCAAGGGAAAATCGCTGACGTAAGTAGCAAATTAGTATCTAAAACACAAGAAAAGAAAGAGGTAAGAGTAAGCTGAGATGGAATGATGATGATGTTGTGTTATGCAGGGGGATTTTGCCGGCGATTGACGTGTTGAGCGGGAATATATTGGTTGGGGTAAGTAGGAAAGCTTTAGGTAGCCAAATATCTGAAACTGATGTGGAATTTTTTTGAGTTGGCTAACTTTGGTGGGGAAAACTCAAAACTGTGGCAGATATTCTACTTCATTGGGTTTGGGTTCTTCTGCCTGGAGTCACTTGTGAGCATTTGGGTTATTCAGGTTCCCTTCCCTCCCTTCCTGCATCGATTAGATTTGGTTTTCTTAGACTAATAATTGTACGTTTGTGTGTGGGAACAGCAAGTATATATGTACTTCAGGGGGAGCGGGAAAGCAGCAGAGATGAAGCAAGAGGCAACAAGACGAGCAATGATGGCAGCTCTCTGACAACCCTTGAGTCCTCTTATCATCTTCCATTTTTTCCCAGAAGATAACATACAAACAGATCCTCTCCTCTACTCTTTTTTTTTAAGGGGATTTTGCTTAACTCGCCACTCACTCCTAAGTGTAACTTAACTTCTTACTTGCTTTTGTTTTTTTTTTGTTTTGACTATCACTGAAAGAAGGCGCCCATATTCTGATATCATAAATATGCAAGTTGAAATATATTTATCCCTTTTTACAATTAGGTAGCTTTGTTGATCAACGGTCATCATTATGTTGCAAAATAATACTCCACTACGAAAGTGAGAAAAGTCAATGGCTATTGTTAATGGGGAAATGGGCTTTTCTCTGTTGTTGAAGTATTAAATGGTCAGGCAGTTGAGGGTGTGATGAGAAGATGTGGCACAAGACACAAGTGGTGATTAATAATAAAATTCAATGTAAAGTTTTGAATGTGGAAAAAAAGTCAATGAGAGACACAAAGAGTAAGGGAAGTCAGCGAGCCAACTGTATTTGTAAGTGACACGCGGAGGTGAGATCCAAAACCAAATGGTTGAATAACTCCCAAGACTGCTCTCTATTTAAGACACATAACCATTGTGGCCTCCAACTTAGAAGAAGAAGAAGAAGAAGAAGAAGAAGAAGTGGAGAGAAAAAAAAAGGTATGGCCATCTTCTGTTTCCTTGTAGACCAGAGGAAGCAAGTCAGGGGGAGGAAGCCGGCAGCCGGTTTATGCTCGCGGTGCGGAGGAGGAGCAGTGGTGGCGGACATGCGAACCTCCACAAGATTCTGTGGGGTCCCCTTTTACCGCAAAGCTTGGAAGGCCATTGTCTGTCATTTCTGCAGCGCTGTGCTCAAATCTTATCACTGATTGCACCAAACCATCTTTGTTTTTCTTCTTTTATTCATTTGTTTTTTTTTTGTTTTTAATGAGTCAAGCTACTTGCCATGGAATGTAGCTTGATTGTCTGCCTACCCTAGAGAAAGACCCTATAGTTTGCTTGCTTGTTTGTTATTCAGTTAGCTCTTTTCTTCTGACTAATTCATTTTGAGATGGATCACTTTCTCCTTTTGCTAACCCTGAAAGACACACACAAGTTTGGTAACAACACTTAATATGAGAGGCAGAAAGCCACGACATTATCAAAACCCACCCCACTCGTTCGTTTTACAGCTTTCACCATTCAATGCGCTCTCTCTCTCTCTCTCAGACAATCTTTGTGGGTTGATTAATTAGTAATTAAGAACTAAAAATATCTGAGGAGTTGAGTTGGGCCGCAAACCCAAAATAACAAACCCAAAAACCTCCATCGTCTCCTTTTACCCTAAACTTTCCCTTAATATAATAAACGTATAAATTAAAGAGAAAATAAAAGGCATCCATCTTTCGAGAGGAGAGACAGATCGATCGGTCACTGGTGAGTCTCTGTTGTTCGTTCAATCAAATCTTTGTCAACACAAATTAGAATTCCGATTGGATGATGAATTCCGATGTCAAGGAAGATTTCCTGGATTGTATATTGCGGCTAGAGGATACACACATACGACAAGGCTTCGACGAGGGTTACGAAGCGGGTCTTGTGTCGGGTCGGGAAGACGCTCGTCATCTGGGTCTGAAACTTGGTTTCGAGACAGGCGAGCTGCTCGGATTCTACAAGGGCTGCTCTTCTCTCTGGGATTCTTCTGCTCTCCGTCTTGACTTGTCTCCTCAGCTCCACAAGCATCTCAATGATTTCCGAGCCTTGCTAGACAAGTTCCCGCTCTTGGATCCCGAGGACGAGTCCAAAGACGAGCTCAAGGATGATCTCAGGGTCAAATTCAACATCATATGCGCATCTCTCGGCATTTCCAAGAAACAATTGGTGTACAAGGGATACCCAAACCCGTCCAGCAATCTCGACTTCTAATATCACTACATTCTGTTCGTACGTTTTTATTTGTATCCTCTCTCAAATTTTCTCTCTTTTCTTTTCTTTAGACTAGGTGTGTATATGTGTATTGACAATATGAGCTGCTGCTTTTTTTGTTTTTTTAATTGAAAGTTTGTCCCTTTTTTTTCTGGGACCTTGTGAATGCTGGCCACAGATCTGAATGTGGTGGATAATAATGCTACAGCTTCTTTCTTTCTTTTTTAGCCACCATAGGGCATGTAGTAACAAACGCGCATATATGTATGTATAGGTGGTCGGAGGAGATGTTGAGGAGAGAAATGCTTGGTTGTTGCAAGGTTTACATATCTGAAGCTCGGAATAAGACTGCTCTTGAAGCCATTGAGAGAGCTGCAAAGCCTTTTCCACCAGCTGCAATCGTCAACAAGTTTGAAGACCTTGCTTACGGCAGGGTTGGTTACACTCTTGTATCCACGCTGGCTCACGGTGGTTCATCTTCTCCCCTCAAGAATGCCGTCTTTGCAATGGTCAAGACTGCTCTCGACACAATCAACCTCGACTTGCATCGTGGATCCCATCCCCGGCTTGGAGTGGTCGACCACATATGCTTTCACCCCTTGTCTCACACCTCCATTGAGCAAGTTTCTGCCGTTGCCAATGCCCTGGCTATGGATATCGGTTCCATTCTCCGAGGTTAGTACTTGATTGACTTCCTGAGTTTAGGAAGAAAGCTATTAAGTTAAAGAGCAGAGCATTTCTTGTATTGTATGCGGCAGACTGATCATTGCCGTCGTGCAGTTCCTACATATCTATATGGAGCAGCACAAGAAGAGCAGTGCACGCTGGATTCGATAAGAAGGAAGCTCGGGTACTTCAAGGCGAACAGGGAGGGACATGAATGGGCAGGTGGGTTGGAGCTGGATGTGCTCCCTGTGAAGCCAGACGCAGGGCCACACGAGGTGAGCAAAGCCAAAGGGGTTGTAGCAATTGGGGCTTGCGGGTGGGTAAGTAACTATAACGTGCCAGTCATGTCAACCGATCTCAAAGCAGTGAGGAGAATGGCGAGGAAGACGAGCGAGAGAGGAGGGGGCTTGGCTTCGGTGCAGACAATGGCGCTGGTGCATGGGGAAAGAGTCATAGAGGTCGCCTGTAACTTGTTGAATCCAAGCGAGGTAGGAGGAGATGAAGTCCAGGGACTGATCGAGAGGCTTGGCAGCGAGGAAGGTCTGCCTGTAGGAAAAGGGTATTATACGGACTATACAGCCGACCAGATCGCACAAAGATACAAGGACTTGCTCATCCACTCATAATACATATAAGTTGTTTGTGTCAATCTTTCTTTAAATTATGACTGTTCAAAAGTGAAAAACATTATGATGTTGTCATTCTTGGAACGTATTATTACTGACATCCAAATCCATCATTCATCATAATTTTGCTTTGCGGTTGTGTCGTCATCAAATAGCTCTTGTTTCAATGGCGAAGTCTTTGTCGCTGGTGATAAAAAGTGAAGAAACATTAATTGCATCATTAGAGCATCAGTAATGGTGAACCCCATGAGAAAGAAAAAGTGGAGAAAATTTTTTTCTCTCAAGCCAACCAATCAAATTTGGACATGCATGAACCCCTCTAAAAACTCTAAATTAAAATCTGGTTTTATGAATATTGGGCTTTATTCATTTATTTTTAATCAAAAAATCCATGAACCCTATCTTTAAAACCGCCGATACAGATGGTCTTACAGAGTCTGTAAGATCTGTTGTCGCTTTTTCTTCTAAAAAAATTAAAAGAAATGCCTATTATAAACAAAAACAAAAAAAAAACCAGAATTTTACATGGCCTTACAATTTTGATAAAATATTTTTCTCGAAACATCTTGAAGGAAATGGTTTAGTAAACAAAGGTTTCCTTATCTGATCGAATTACTCGCTTTTTTTTTTTTCCACAACCCAACTATTACATCACATTTAACCCGTTAAAGAGTTGGTCCGAAAACCATCTTCAACTGGTTCGGTATGAATGATTTGGGAGAAAATACAGCCTATTGCTCGAGCTCGTTTTGCAAGACTATCCGCTCGGACATTTGAACTTCTGGGGATATGGGAGAGAGTGAAATCCAAAAAAAATTCCCGAAGATTGCGGAAGGCTTCTAACTCTGATAAGAATGATGGCCAATCTGATGGCGATTCAGACATGCTAATCAGATCCGAACAATCGGTTTGAAAGTGTACAGATAAAATTTGTCTATCTTTCACGCAAGACATAGCCCATAATAGGCTCTCCAATTCGGCATGAAGGACCGATAGGCTTCTACGATAGTCTTGAAGGCCAAAAGTCTCGCCACCTCTTTCCTCCTTCAGACTCCACTCGAACCCACTAACCAGGCCGATGCCTGTCCAGGATGGATCAACCTGAGATCGAATTACTCGCTTATTCATTGTGTCTTTTGGGTTTGTCCATGGGTGAATTCGTAGTGGTGAATAAGCGCCTTCGCTACTCCGCAAGATCGTTACCCAAGCTACAGTGTTCCACATCTAGAACAGATGAACAGTGTGCTACACAACTTACAGTCTATCCCTTCACACGCAATCTTCAAATGTGTTAACCGAGATCAGATCCGTAACATCATCACTGCAAGAAGACGGAAGCAGCATTTCTAAACCTTAATGTAGCTTTGGCTTTAATAAAATTATCTTGTTTTTCTTCCCAATAGTATTGTTTTCCTTGTTTTTTTTTTTTATTTTGCCAAGGAAACAGAATAATAGGTTCCCATCTTTGTACCACCTAACATTTCATTTTAATGATATTGAAGTTCTAGCAACAACAACAAAAAGAAAAGAGCTAACCAAATTATACTAAACTTGCACAAATAGGTAACCCAACCTGCTTAACTATTATCGTTTATGGCTCATTCAAAAAACTTATGTCATTACGTGTCATGAAGTCTCCGTTAAAGCTAGGGTACGTAACGTACTTACACACTTTGGAGAAGAAACGAACATTATGTATGTTATTACTCCGTGCTTTTGCTTTATTATTTTTTAAGTTGATCTCTTGCATTTCTACTTTTATGTGTAACCACTTGCGTTGCATGCATATATATACTTATGGCTAAGTCAAATTGGCAATGCATGCAAGTTATCAACTAGATATATAAAGTTGAAGGTAGCGTCGTGACGATGTCGTAGTTAACGACATCTCTGTCCATCAAATTCCATATATCAATATGTGATTTGTTCAAATAGAAAAGACTATGTAGCATTATAATATACATATTGGAGTCATAGATGAAATTGGATGGTCAAAAGTCTATAAAAAAATAACGTGGATGAGGTGGAGTTTGGTGCGGCTCATTATTGACTTGAATTTTTTTTTTTTTTTTTTTTGCAAGAAGTCACCTTACATAAGATGGAGGAGGAAAAGCCAACTTATGGTGTAGCATAACATGCCTACATTCATGATATATTGACAAAGACAGTTAAAGTTGGACCAGCTGTAAATTTCAACAGAGCAACAGCCTCAAATTAGGAATTTAAAATGTGGATGCCATTATTAAGCCAGGCTCAACCCAAGTTCTTCAAGACATTCTAGGTCTCGAAGAAGTGGAGTTTAGTCCAGAAACTCTGTTACTCAATTTAGAATTACCAAGTTAGTTGGAAGTAAATGAGACTCCCTAATAAGTGTATTTATATGCCCACTTGTTCCTCGTATTCATCATCTCCGATTAGAAATCGAGCATTATATCACATGCATGTACATACATATATATTTAGGATTGGCACATTGGAGAATAGGGACACAGATGTGACTGTCATATACCTAATTGAAAGAAAGCATTTAATTAACATTTTACATAAATGGTAAACCGATGAAACTTTAGAGAGCTCAAAAGTCAGAAAAAAAAAAAAGAGAAGAGGTAAATTACTATTTCTGTTTCTGTGGGTGAAATAAGAATTAGAAAGCGTTTGTGGGTTAAGAAATTAGCCTATATACTCCTCTGTTCTTCTTGTCAAAAAACAAAAAAAACAACACATCTATGTATGTGCGTTACATATATGTTATTTGCAAAATCCAAAAAGGATGTTTTTAACATTTACATAATAATAATAAATAAATAAAAGATTCACAATTTTCATGCCCCACGCCACGACTCTCTTGTTTTTACTTTGGCCACCTAATTCGCATCGGCCTACGAAATCCCATCATCTCTCTGTCTGTAACAGAGAGAGTTTCTTTCAAAGTCTCTCTCTCGTGTTTTTTTTTTACTCCAAAAGGCAAAAGCTGTAACCTTTGAGATTTGGATATAATTAAATTTCAGATCTCTGTTACTCTACTCATGCCGAATTACCTTGTTCTCCCTTAGGATTTAGGGCTCTATAATGTCCTATATAAATGCGTGTATCTAATTTTCTTAATGCACAATATAATCCTAGTTAGGTAGGGATAGGAGATCGGAGATGGAGATGGAGAGGAGAGAATACGTGTCCAAGGAGTTGTTCAGCGAGAAGGAGCTGCAAGAGATAAGTGGTGTCATTGTGGAAGAGGATTACGTGGAGGTGATGTGTGGCTGCACCAGCCACCGTTACGGAGACGCCATTGCGAGGCTTAGGGTTTTCTCCGATGGAGACCTCCAAATCACCTGCCAATGCACTCCCGCTTGCCACGAAGGTCTCACCTTAATTTCTTGTATCTTTTGATGCTTCTTTTTTTTAGCTAAGTGGGTTTTCACATCAGTGCATGTGAATGCGCGAGATCGCCTTCGTTTTCTCTACATCTTTCTTTGCATCACGTATACAAAATATGGGAGGAATGTCTTTGTTTCTTTTCGTTCATCAACTCCATCTCTTGTTTTGGCCTCAGTGAGCTATAAGGCTGCTTTTATCTGTCCTTTAGGTTGCTTCTTGATTATGCAATATCTTTCATGCAGCTCGGTATATATAATCTCATTGCCATTAGTTTTCTGTCATACCCTGTTCAACTTTCTGCTTTTGATTCTATGATCGTAGACAAGTTGACGCCTGCTGCGTTTGAGAAGCATTCTGAGAGAGAAACCTCTAGAAACTGGAGGAACAATGTGTGGGTGTTCATCGAGGGAGACAAAGTTCCACTATCAAAGACGGTGCTGCTCAGATACTACAACAAAGCATTGAAGAAATCCTCCAACGGAGGATCCAAAGGTGTTAACCATAGGGATGAGTTCGTTGAGTGCAGCAGATGCGGGAAGGAGAGGAGGTTCAGGTTGAGGAGCAGAGGGGAATGCCGGATGCACCATGATGCATTGGCTAATCCCAACTGGAAGTGTTGCGATCACACATACGACAAGTGAGTCAGCTTCTTTGATGTTTTCTTTCTCGTGATTATGATCTATCTATAGAGAGAGAGAGAGAGAGTGAATGATATCCATGTGGTTGCAGGATAACATGTGAGGAGGAGGAGGAGAGAGGGAGCAGGAAAGTTTACAGAGGATGCACTCGTTCTCCGTCTTGTAAAGGCTGCACTTCCTGCGTCTGTTTTGGCTGCAACCTCTGCCGTTTCTCTGACTGTAACTGCCAGAGTTGCCTCGACTTCACCACCAACGCCCAACCCATTTGACTTGATCTTCCCCTAACTTACTAAATTCTTCTGCAAAAGCCTTTGTATTGTACGGTTGATGCTACATTTTCCTTAAGAAATAAATACAACTTCCGAACAAAAACACAAACAACTGAAAAGAGTTGAGCTTGAAAAGCCAGTTTAGCATCATTACGAGAACATATCCCTCTAATCTAATATAACAATTTCAACCTAAACCAAACACAGACAAGGCCAGAGATCGACAACAACACACAAGCTTCGGAAGAGGAACTAGGCTTTAGCAGTGCCAAGACCAGATTGATCTCACTATCTTAGAAGGCGGAAGACACAATGTGAAAAAAAAATCCGTATCCAAAACAGACGAGTAGAATGAAAAAACGATCAAAAGCATATATATATATATATATATATATCACAATGCTTTGGCTTAAATCTTGTATGTTCCAAAGCATAGGAATATTTTATGAAACAGAAAACTGCCAAGAATCCATAGCAGACATGATGATGGTGATCTCAAAAAGTGAGTGATGCATATTATTTCTCAAATAAAACACAGATGGTTTGTCAGAACTAATTAGCTGGCTTTGATGATACAAGACCAGTCACAAGGTGCTGAAACGGAAAGTAAATTGCACGAGAATGAAAGCTCTCTCCATCCATGAAATGTCTTCTTTTCCGATTGAAATTCATTCATTGCGTACCCTCCACAGGCTTCTTCTGCCAAATTAAGAAGAAACATATATAGATATATATGTAAGAAAGGAAGGAACACAAGAGCGCCGCTTTGATAAGGAAGAAGAGCAAGCAAAGTACCTCTTCTTTCCCGCCGGTGAAGAGCTTGTATCCACTGTAGAAAAGCAAGCCCCATCCGGACAGCGAAATAAGCACAAACTGCAGATTGTTCAGCGAATAAGGAATCATCACCATCATCATCATCATCATCATCATCATCATCATCATCATCATCATCATCGACTCACAAACAAAAATAAGACAAGGAAAATATATTATGATACGTACATGTTCCTCTTTCCAGTTTCCAGGGTTCGTGGGCTGTTTCCAGAAGTCAACCTTGGTAGATCCATGGTGATCTGCACAGTAGTATCCACAACACTCTTCATAAGCACATTCGATTCAACTTACAACCCCATGGACCAGAAAAACCAAAAAAACAATGGATTTGGCAAATTTCTTCATCGATGGTTTTCCAACACGATCTGAAATTTGTGACATTTCTTCATCGATGGGTTGAGTAATTAGACAGTGAATATGGCAAAGAAATTACGCAGCCGAAATCAATTATAGATCCACAAAGCCAAATGTCGAAAGAGAATGAAGGTGAACGGGGGAAAGAGAGTACCAGCGGCGCCGGCGAGACCACGACGCTGACCAATAGAGGCGGCTCCACGTACAGATGGGATCTGAGCTAGGCTCATGGCTCGGCGAGTGAGGGACGCCATCGATCTCGAGTTGTGCTTTAGGGTTTTCGAGGCTCCGCAAGTTTCAGGAGATTGGTGAAGCGAGAAAGAGAGAGAGAGAGAGATCAAGTGACACCCGAAGGAAGAAGAGGCCACAACCCCCATTTTAGGATTTGTCGTTTCGACCCGAAACGGCGCCGTACTGAGAGTTTGGGCTAACACCTCAAAACCTCCTTCTCCGCCAGAGGATTCAACCTAAACAGAGAGAAACATCCTTTTGTTTTACATTATTATTTTTGCCTCTTTGTGTTGGTACTTGGTAGTAGAGTCAGACATTTGATTTGTTTTGATTTGATTCACTCATATACTCATTGTATGTATGTTAGGAACGAACTACAAACGGGATCAAAGTAAAATTATTAATCTGGAATCACTAAAAACGCTTGCTCTTATTTGTCTTCCACAAATGAAATCTGCCCGACTGTCAAAAGGCACTCTCTGCTACTCTGTTCGACCACTATTATGCTCTCACAATACTAAAAGAGTCTAAGAAACCTAGATGCAAAATCTTTGATGGGTCAGGGGAAAACAAAAAGTCCTAGTCTTGAACAAGTTTTGTATCCAAAGTCTGCCTGTGCTGGGTGAGAAGGCAGCACTTCATGCTCCTCTCCTTCATCTGCTTACATCCAAAAACTATGATCAGAAAAACACAAACATATAAGATGAAATATTAGATGTTCATGCACACACCATCTATGTACCTCCAACTCAGAAATCATTCTCAAAAGACCCTGGCACTGCTCGAGCATCAGCTTCTCTTGTGCCACCACTTCTGCAAGTTGAGAGGCAAGTGGAACAATACCCTCCATCTGATAATGGAATAATTTAGAGGTTACTAAGCCACTTACTTTCATGATTCAACTATCACGTCGCTTTTGTACTCAACAGAGTGAAATAACCTACCGTGGGAGCTAAACTATTCACAGTTGAAGCGATAGCATCAGCGACTGCTTCTACTTTCTGAAATGAAGTGACAGCTGATTCTATCTTCACCTGAAAACCTCGGGAGTCAATGGGTTTAACAAAATATACACAAAAACAAAAACAAAATAACTAAATAGATTAGCATGATCTGATGATTTACCTCTGCACCTTCCCTTAGGGGAAGCCTGTAAAGAACAGAATGCAGGGCTTGTCTGGTCATGGACAGGGATAAAAAGTGTTGTTCTTCCATGTCTTCCCAAGCTTCAAGAGGTTTAACCTGTTTCAGATATATTTCTTATCAGAGAGAACAGCAAGACATCCTCTGTCGCTTGGAATTACCGAATTAATTAATAGGTTTGGACCGTATACTTACTTGAGAAAGAAGCACATGATCCAGCTTCATCTCCAAGCTTTTCTTCTGCAGTTTAATTCTCTTTTGCAGAACCAAATGTTTTAACTTGGTAAGAGTATCCCAAGCACAGAGTACTTGTTTCTGCAAAAGTTTCATTAAGCATTCATAATCGAGATTTTTTTTGTTTTTTTTTTTCATCATGACAAGCCCTGAGTAGAGGTGATCTAATCTTTACCTGTTCTCGGGAGGCTACGCTACTAATTGCAGCAGAGGCTCTAGCATTGACAAACCTCCACTGAACCAGCCGGTTGTTCATAAGCTTCAGCTGATGAGCAGCCTCTACGTCATATGTCTTTGGTTTTAATGGAGAAGAAAAGAGAAAAGGCTTCTTCTTGCTCCTGAAGAAATCGAAACCAAGGTTGAATAGTTTACCAACGCCTTGGCCTCTTGGAGGCTTCAGGCTTGAACTTGGAATCGTCGCGGCCTGACTTTCCAATGACCTTCCTGGTGACAGCGCCCACTGAGACATGGAACTGCCATACCTGGCCACTGGATTAGTCCTCTTGATCGTATTCTCAATGCCCCTAAAGCTGTTAGCTCTCTGGGAACCTTGTTGTGACCTTAGTTTGGCCATATTGTTGTTGCCTAGTGATGACCCTTTGCTCGTTCGTTCTCTTAAATCATGCAGATATTTAGAAGAGACCTTATGGCTCCGGGATGAACGGTTTGTGCTAAGAGTCGAAGCAAAGGACACATCGCTCAACTCTGAATCTGATTCGTCGTTATAGGACTCGTGTAGTAGAGAGCATGAGTTTCTCCTCGATGGTGTTCTGTACAATGCACATTCATCGACGGAAAATCTGCCAGGAAGTATGACATTATCCTCTTCATCGATCCACGGTGAAGGCCTACGATTTTCTTTTGTGTCCACTTCGAGGCCACTGGATTTGCTAGACGTACTTTGATTTGGGAACCCGAAACAAACCCGTGGGCCATCTGAAATCCGATCATGCTTTTTCAGACCGAGATGAGCTTTTAGCCTGTTGTTGTACTGATCATCTCTCTTGGTAGATGAATTGGAAGTGGAGTTTCTGCGGTTAGGAGAAGAAGATGAAGACGACGGAGAGAGAAAACGTGAACTAACCTCGCGGGACTTTCCTCTGCTTGTTTTGAGTTGCTGAAGGGAAACCTGTTCACGCTCAATGTTGTTCATTCTTGCTTGTTACTCACAGCTTCCTGAGAGAAAGCAGCTTTGTAAAATCTTATTAGAGGATACAGAGAGAATCTTTTAGACTTTTTTTTACAAAAAAAGAAACAAACTTTTGAAAGTGGCGGCTCAATAGATGAGTTGGTTTCCCCACTGGCCGCCAGAATTATAGGGTTTACGGTTATTCAGTTAAAGCTTAATCTGAAGCAAAGATCCTTTTTCTTGTTTGTTTGTTTGTCTTCGTATCAATATATTATTGTACACAGGCAGAGAACAGCTGATCCTTCATTGAATCTGAATATCACATTCACAACATACAATAAGTGATTTGGTGCTTGAGCATACAAAACTCTAGTCTCTGTAACCAAAATGTGGAAAAGACATGGCCGGCTGTCTAGAAGAGGAAGTAAAACTATGAACTCTACGATTTATCACTGAAAATTGCATTGTTGCATAAAAGGGTGACTGTAATCAACGTATTTCTCCCACAAAGGTTTGTACTTCTCAATCCCGATCTTCAACCACGGCTTTAAGTTGCCATTGAAGTGAAGAACAGCTCCCTTCTCAATGACACGAGCATCCACATTGGTGTATCCCAGTCCCAGGATATGCCACGATGCCTCTAGTGCCTCTGTTAGCCCGTAAAATGTCAGAAGACCTGGAGGCAGTGTCCCAAGTTTCCATAAGGTCCGGTCCACGTTCTTTTCTTGCCAGTAGTGGTATATGCCGGTGACATTCCTCTTCCTCCACTCAACTAAATCAAAGACGTTCATCCCAAACGCCCACCCACACGCATCTGGATCGAAGTGGGAGCGGATCAGAGGATGGGAATAGTTCAAGTACTTGTGGTAACGGTGGAAAGTCTCCATGCATGTCTCAACAGCGCCGTTCACATTCCTGTTGAGATCGATCGAGAAGAGAGCGGAAAGGTCCTTCTGAACAACAACGTCATCATCAAGAAAGACCACTTTCTTGAGCGCAGGAAACACTTGAGGGATGTAGAACCTGAGATGGTTGAGCATCGAGAGGTACTTGGGGTTTCTGAATTTGATTGGCGTGCGTCCATCGTCGTTGTGGCCAGAGAAATAGTAGCTCTGCGTGTCAGAGTCCTGCAGCTGCTTGAGGACAGGAACATAGGAAGCATTAAGCCATTTGAAATCCTCAAATTTCTGAACGTCGACAGTGACTCCTCGGAGGTTGTCCGCGTTGAGGGAGAACCAGGCCTTCATAGCAGCGTAGTTGATCTCGTTAGTGACAAGATGAAAGACGACTTTCTCGGGGGACTTGGAGTTGAGAGCAGTGGAATTGACCACAACGGAGGTGGCAATGATGTTATCGGAGAAGACACAGAAGTGGTAGAGACTGTTGTCAGTGAGTACATGGCTAGTGTCCCTGAGCCTTGTCTGTAAGTCGGAGTTCTGAAACCACTCGGTAGTGAGGCGAACGCCGAGGCAGTAAAGACTCTTGGGCACTTCCTCGGCAGCAATCTGGCCATACTTGGAGCTCTTGTCGTTGAGGGAGCTAACCTGCTCTTGGAGGGAGTGAGAAGTGGCCTTGAGCCTCATGATCATGGTGGCGCTGTCGTAGTGAAGCTGCTGGGCTTGGTAGAGCAAGACGGCCATGTCACGGATGGTAGGCTCGGAGTCAAGCAGGGTGAGAGGTCGTCTGGAGGTGGCAGCAGTGGAGAGAAGAAGCTGGGATTGACGGATCTGGGCGCTAAGGTCCCAAGCGAACTGAAGGTTTTTGCTTTCTTTGGCGATGACAACAAAGGCCTTGGCGAGAGCAATCTGGTCGTTAACTTGGCGAGCAACGGAGGTCGGGCTAAGCATTTCCTCAGTCATGTTCATGCCCTCCACGAACTTGTCATGACGGAAACGCCGCTGCAATGCACAAACTTCTTTGAGTTTATTTAGAGGGAATAATAAAGTAAGAAGAGGAAGAGGAAGAAGAAGAAGACCTTGGGAATAGAGGGCCTTGGCTCAATCTGACCAGCCTTGGAGAGAATGAGGATGAAGAGCAAAACCACAACCCCACAGAGAAGCCACCACACCACATTCGACATCTTCCTCCTCCCCGACCTCCGGAATTCCGACCCTCTCCTCCTCATTACTAACTCAAAACACTAAACTTTTAGAGAGTCAGATACTCAGATCTGATCTGATTTCACTGATGAATTGATTTGATTTCGGAATCGGACTTAGTGTTGGTTACTAAACTCGGATCTGAGCTCAAGCGACCACTCTCCTCCTTTCTTTTGTCGATCTATTCTGAATTCGCTTGGGAAACCCAAAAAAAAAAAAAGAAAACCCTCGAACGAATCACCTTGATTCAATTCAATTTAATTCATTCATTATTCTCTCATACATTAAGGCTGGGGCTGCTAACAATTGAATTTTGATTTAATTAATTAAGAGAAAAGCAAATGACATATGTACCCTCTCCTTTCTATTTCTTTCTCTCTGTCTTCTTCTCTTCCCCTCTCTCTCGCCCGGAGCAAAAACAATTGCCTGAAATGACGAGACTTTTGTGAGAAATGTTGAAACTTTTTTGAAGAAATGTATATTTATGGATGTACTTAGATGTCTAGCGGATTGTAAAAACGGCCAAAGGCTTTTTGTAAGAGTGGCCTAAGACATTTGAAGGCTTGAAACTGCTCGCCGGTTTCTCTTTTGTCGGAAAATCTCTGACTCTCCTGGTTGTTTCTGCGGCCGCCAAATATTTCATGCGGGTGTTTCCGATTCCATTACTCGAGCACCCTCTTGGGGTTTCTACTCTACGTGGTTCCTGCACTTGCCTGGACAATCTCACACTCTGAACAAGTGAAAGAAGGTAACTTTCATTGTTTATATGGCTAAATTGTAATTACTGATTTGTGTTGTGTCTCAAATGGAATATATGTGTAGTAGAGAATATCGCCAGATTCCGTGACATTTATAATTAATGAGGTCTTTGACATTTTATGGATTCAAAAGTGCAGGGAGATATTACAAAAGTATAGTGACCCAAATCTTTTAATTGACGAGTTTGTGTCCTCATGACTCCAACTTCTCTATCAACGTAGATGCAGATTAAAAGTATGGGATGTTGAGGAATGAGGAGAGTAGGTGTGCTCTAGCTGGAGTCCTTCTAGGACAGACAGCAACTGTGAAATCAATGTATTCTCACATCCAACCAATTCTGATTAGTTTCTTGCATATATTTCTCTTCCTGGTTTACTAACTGATCGTTCGACCAAAAAAAGGTTTACTAACTGATCAAAATAAGCTCTAACTCTTGCTGTTTGCTCATTTTCTTGTCTCTGGTTCTAGAGATGGATGTTTTGCGCTATGGGATTTAACATGTAAAGATAGATCTCACAAAGACGAATTTTGCATCAAAGTAAGTCCTTGTCTCTAAATGTTTTCTCCCTAATATATTTCTTTCACAAAGGGACAAGCCGCTGAATTGGAATTGTCTTTTTAACACTTGAATGAACTGAAACGCATGAGCTTTCCGTTGGTAGCCACTACTCGAATGTGTAAATGATATAAATGAACTTGAATTGTTGATTTAAACGTAATAAAACATATAAATATGGTCATACCAAAAAACAACATTGAATTAATTTAACTTTGTGCCTAAAGAGACCTGGAAAAAAAACCAAATAAAGTGAAACAATTTTTTTTTAACTAATAATGTAGTGTAATAACTGAAGGATGGGAAATTACTTTTGTAGCTTCCGTTGTACTAGCAAGTTATTAAATGGTACGAGCTGTAATATGTACTATAACATAAATGAATAAATGTTAGAAACTTCAAATTTCGTATATTATTTAGTTACAATACTTTTTAAAAACATGTTAATTCAATTACTAATCTGTTATACTATGTGATTCACTGAATTCGATATATATTACAAATTGTTTCCTAAGGAATGACTAATTTCTAGCAAAAGAAAAAAAATGACCAATGCAAAAAAAAAAAAAAATCAAATCGAACAGTAATTCGTGAAAAGAAAAAAACAAAAAGGAAATCTCCAGGGAACGCGGAACATATAATTTGTTAAATAAAAAGTCTCCAAGTCAAACCATAAAAAAATATGCGCTGTTGTTTAGTGGGTCCCCAGACGAATATTACTAAAATGATGAAATATTCCTAAATTTTACTTGGGGAGTTACTCCAATTTTCCTATATACCTCACTGTCTTTTTTCTTTTTTTTCTTTTTCCTTTTTTTTTTTTGGGTTTTGTTGGGGTGTGTGTGTGTCGCCGGCCTCTCTCTCACGTACCCTTAAAAAGCGTAGGTTTTGATACTTTCCATTTCTGCATATTCACATTCGCAGCCTCTCTTCTTTAAATATAGAGAGCTCTCTCTCTCTCTCTCTCGCCTTTGTTTGATTTGGATCTGAGAAACTTGCAGAAACATCATCGTCATGACTTCTTTCCATAGCTTCTATGAGAGAGCTTTTACCTTCTTTAAGGCTAACCCTTCTGCTTCAAAGCTTCTTGTTCTTAGTACTTTCAGGTCTGAATCCTCCTCTTCATTTTGCTTTCAGATCTGCTGGCTAGCTGCACCATTCCGTTCATCTTCTTCTTTTTATAATTACCATGAATATACATATATATGCTTTGACTCTTGTCTTAATTTTTCCTCCAAAAATTAGTCTTCTTTTTTTTTGTCCATGAAATATTATTACTAGTCTTATATGATATTTTCAACCTCTCCACATCAGAATATATATATGCACGAATCCGAATTCATCGCTGAAAGTTCCTTTTTTTTATTTCTTCTTTTTGCCTCTTCCTTGTGATATTTTCGACCATACGCATATACACCAGCTCTAAACACACAAAGCTTCATTTTGTTTTTTCAGTTCAGATCCAATTTTTTTTTTTTTTGGGTAACGTAGTTCATGACATCCTGTTTCAAAGAAATCTTTGAGAATTTCTGACATTGATTTTGTTTTCTATCCTTGACGTCTCTCTCTCTGACCTTTTTGTCGTTTCATGTATGAATGTTGTTGTGTGCAGCGGTGGCGGTCTGCTGGCGTATTCGGACTCGAGTCCATTGAAGCGTGTCTTAGTCACAGACGCTACTCATTCAGATGGCCAACAAATCAGGAAGAAGAAAGTGGTCGTTCTTGGGAGTGGCTGGAGCGGCTACAGCTTCTTAAATTACCTCAACAACCCTAATTACGATGTTCAAGTTGTCTCTCCTCGCAACTTCTTCCTCTTCACTCCTCTCTTGCCAAGTGTTACCAATGGCACTGTCGAAGCCCGTAGCATTGTTGAACCCATCCGTGGCCTTATGCGCAAGGTCTCTCTCTCTTTCTCTCTTATATTTATTAATTACCTTAATTTACATGTTTTTTTTTGGGGGCTTTTCTGATTTTGAACCTAGACTATTAAACATCTCAGAAAGGATTTGAATACAAAGAGGCAGAGTGTGTCAAGATTGATGCATCTAACAAGAAAATCCATTGCCGGTCTAAGGATGGCTCAAGCCTTAAGGGCACAACGGAGTTTGACATGGATTACGACATTCTAGTCATAGCTGTTGGAGCTAAGCCTAACACATTCAACACCCCTGGAGTTGAGGAACATGCCCATTTCCTCAAGGAAGCTGATGATGCTCTCAAAATCCGTAAGTCAGTCATCGACTGTTTCGAGAGAGCCTCTCTTCCCGATCTAAACGAAGAAGAGAGGAAAAAGATTCTGCATTTCGTTGTGGTTGGTGGTGGACCCACTGGGGTCGAGTTCTCAGCAGAGCTCCATGATTTCTTAGTCGAGGATGTTGCTAAGATATACCCAAAGGTCCAAGAGTTCACAAGAATCACTCTTCTTGAAGCAGGCGACCACATCCTAAACATGTGAGTTTCCTTCCAATCAAAGTTTTAACTTTTGGCAGCTTCATTAATCTGCTGCTCTTACCAATTAGCTCCAACTCTCCTTCAGGTTTGATAAGAGGATCACTGCTTTTGCTGAGGAAAAGTTCCAGCGAGACGGCATTGATTTGAAGACAGGGTCCATGGTTGTGGGGGTGACTGCTGATGAGATATCCACAAAGGAAAGAGAAACTGGCAAAATTGTCTCTGAACCTTATGGTATGGTTGTGTGGTCAACAGGAATTGGGTCGCGTCCTGTCATCAGGGACTTTATGCAACAGATTGGTCAGGTTAGATTACGTTTTCTGAAATCAAGACTTTGCAATCATTTGGTCTTGTCCACAGTCGACCTAACTAGATTGTTGCGTTCTGAATATATGGTTACAGGGGCAGAGGCGTGTCTTGGCAACCGACGAATGGCTTAGAGTGGAGGGATGCGACAGTGTCTATGCTTTAGGTGACACTGCAACCATCAACCAACGCAGAGTCATGGTACCACCTCAACACCTCGTTCATATACCTTGCGTTGTGTCATATCTCAAGACGAGTGAGTTTTTTTTTTTAATTTGTTGTCGATCTTGGTGAATAAACAGGAAGACATAGCTGAAATATTCAGCAAAGCAGACAAGGGAAAGACAGGAACTTTGAACAAAAAAGAGTTCAATGGTGTGGTGAAAGACATATGCCAAAGGTACCCTCAGGTGGAGCTCTACTTGAAGAAGAAGAAGCTGAGGAACATTGCAAACTTGCTCAAGAGTGCGAATGGCGAGGACACAGAAGTCGATATCGAAAATTTTAAGCAAGCCCTCTCTGAGGTCGATTCCCAGATGAAGAATCTTCCACCAACTGCACAGGTGGAGCTTCTCTCTTGTACACCAATTCCAAAACAATAGAAACAGGATGTTACTTAACTCTCTCTATCTTTCTTTCTTATTTTGTTTTTGTTGATTGTTGAAAAATAAGGTTGCATCACAACAAGGGAAGTACCTTGCAAAGTGCTTCAACAGAATGGAGAAATGTGAGGAGAAGCCAGAGGGCCCACTGAGGTTCAGAGGAGAGGGTCGGCACCGGTTCCAACCATTCAGGTACAGACATTTTGGATCGTTTGCTCCGCTGGGAGGGGAACAGACAGCAGCTGAGCTGCCAGGGGATTGGGTCTCCATTGGACACAGCACCCAGTGGCTTTGGTACTCTGTCTACGCCAGCAAACTTGTGAGCTGGCGCACAAGGATGCTCGTCGTCTCTGACTGGGCTCGACGCTTTGTCTTTGGCCGTGACTCGAGCAGCATCTAAGCTTCCTCCTCCTTGTCCCCAATTTTGCTCCCCTTTTTCTACGATTTCTTATATTTGCCTGCTTGCTGGTTTTGTTGTTGTTGTTATTTTGGAGCCCATGATTACACTACTCATCTAATTCATCTTGTCTTTTCTTTACCAACGCAAAAAGCAAGGATGACAATGAAAATTTTGATCCATATCTTCTCAGTTCTTTATGTATGTATTCGAAGATTGTGCTCTGAACACGAAGCATATATATATTTCTTAAACCATAATCAACAAGACTTCACCACACTATTCTACATTTGTCACATTCCTTGCGTTCCAGTGTCCTAACTAATTGGGCAAAATACAGAAGAGGCAGAAAGAAAACTGCTCTGTTTTTCACACTCGTGCGAAGTGCTAACATTCATATAGTCAAAGAGTTTACAGACAGATCTCCGCACAGTTTCATTAGACAATAAACGATAACCATTTCACCACCAAACGACAATAACAACAACAACATTTTGCTTGCACTAAACAAACTCTCTCTGCCCTTGTGTCTACTCTATAAATAGAGAGAGGGATTCGAGTTACAAAGATGTTTATCGATCTAAAAAGCTTAAAGCTCGTAACCTGGGAACCTGGCCTGAAATGGGTCGACCATGTCGAGGAAGAGACAGGCCATGCCTCCAACGCCTTCAAACAAGGAATAAGGACTATCACCTCCGTGCATATCTCCTTTTGAGAGTAGCTTGTGGGCTCTATCAAGCAGGAAGCTGGCAAAGGCTTTTGCACGGTACAGATACTCGCTCCTTCCCGTAGCTCTATAAAGGGAGAGAAAAACATATGCATTCCCACTTATTCCATGACAGATCCCCACCCGCTTGAGCAATCCACGGTTCCACACCACCTCTGCTGCAGCTGCAGCCGCTTCCAGAAACTCTCTCTCTTTAAAAACCTGTGTTTTGTTTTCATTTGCCACAGACCAAAGATGTCTAGAAAGCAATTTTAGAAAGAAAACAGATATTCTGACTTAAAAAAAAAAGGCATCATCAATCATCACCTCAGCAGCCTTCACAAGCGTGAGGGCAATCCCAGGAGCTCCATGACACCAGTGCACAAGAAGGTCTCTTCTCCTATCCTCTTCACTGGCAGCGTAATTTCCACTTGGAAACCGGCTCTTGATCATATACTTAAGGGTTCCCTTCACATCCTCAGCCTCGTCTGGCTTCAGCTGAACATGCATCAAAACGTGCATAATACCAGCAAGCCCATGTGCTGCACCCAAGTACCTTTCGCCGTACCATTCAAACATAAGCGGCGAGCTTCCATTCTTAGCCATGGATCGTCCTTGCTGGATAATCTCCTGAGCAACTTGGCGCTGCACACTGAGTCTTCTTAGTCATTAAAAAATTATAAGGCGACTCACTCATCAGTCGCTGTATCATCCCAAGAACTGCACTTACAATGGTAGCTGAAGGCAACGTTTCTGCGCCAACATATTTGTTGACGAAAAGACAAGCCCATAGATAACCAACTCTTCCGTATAACAACTCGTTAGGAATCTCGCTAGATAGTCTAATCTTTTGGTTAAAAAACAAAACCAAAAAAAAAGCTCGATTCAATCACATAATTGTAATGAAAAAAAAATATAAAAACGGACCAAGATCAAAGAGGAGAAGCAAACCTGACGGAACTGTGCCAAATAGTAATTGAGCAACTCTTGGTCACCAGAACGCTTGGCAGCAGCAGCGCCGAGACCAAAAACTCCGGTTCGGCCACAGATAAAAGTTACATCCCTATGAACCAGAAGCATACTCTCAACAACAATCCAAAGCACTTGGGACAAGGAAGAGGGTAGTACCCTGAGGAGGCAGAAGCAGCATCACAAGCCTTGACGATTTGCAAGCAGAGGGAAAGGTCGTTGGCGTTGCCAGTCACCTGATAAGCTCTAAAGAGTAGAAACGCAGCTCCAAGGGCTCCCGAGTAAAGAGTGAAGTCCTGAACAAGCTGCCCACTGAAACCCCAAGTTTCCATCACTACCTGAGAGACAAAACAAAAAAAAATGCATTTCCAGAGCAATTAACACTTGGTGAGCAACCCAATTAAATCTATAAAAAAAGACATCTTGGCGAGAGTACGGTTTCTTTAAGATCCAAAGCGGACCGTTTGAGCAGCTGCGAGAGAGAAGAGTAGGGCATAGCAAGAAGATTCGTGAGCGAGTCTCCTCCGGCTTCACTTTCTGTCTCCCTCACGAAGTCGGGCATCACATTGTCGAAGAACCGATCAGCCATCTTCGTGTCTCTTTTGTTTTGTGTTTAGCTCTCCAAAAACCATTATCGGAGAAAATGTTTAGCTTTCTAGAAGGACAGGAGCGGAGGAGGAAAACGACACCGTTGAGACGATCGGTTCGGTGAGTTGGTTACACGTTGTGGTCAACGTGCCCTTTTCTAATGAGAAAAGAAATGTAAAAAAATCAGATCTACGCAATACTTGGTAACGACGACGTTTAAGGCTCCGTAAGCCCTTCTCTTTTTTTTTTCTTCTCTTGTTCCGTTGTTCTGAATCAAACCAGCGATCATATTCTAAAAAAGTGTCTAAGACGAGAGAATCTGTGTGATCTCGGAGATGGCGACTTTTGATGACGGAGATTTCCCGGCTCAGACCCATTCTCCGTCCGAACACGATGATTCATTCATGAGCTACGACAATTTCTCCGAAGCCCCGCCACCTCCCACTCAACCTCCCTCAGGCGGCTTCTCCTCCTTCAACAACGGAGATGGAGCTTATGGATCTGAGAATCCTGCCTCCCCTAACGGCTACGGCTTTCCTGCTTCCTCCCCCAACCATGACTTCTCCTCGCCTTTCGAGTCTTCCGTGAACGATGCCAACGGCGGCACCGGCGACGCGATCTTCGCCTCCGACGGACCCGTTCTTCCAGATCCAAACGAGATGCGCGAGGAGGGTTTCCAACGCCGTGAGTGGCGCCGGTCAGTCTTCTATTCCCCTTTTATTTATTCCCTCTTATGCAAGTAGGGCTAGATCTCTGATTGTTTGCGACTATGGTAGATAACCAGTGCCTTCTTAGCTTCTCGACTTTAATCATTCAAGCATCGATTTGATTATGCGCTCTTCCGTAATTCGACTATAAAAAAAGCTAGTATTAAGGATGTGCTCTTGATTCAGCGAAAGCAAATATGCATTTGAAGAAAAATACAAGTTGCTCGATTGCAAGCCTCTTTGATGTAATTAGTATTAAGAAAGAACATATGTGCTGTTGTAGCTATCATCTTCTTTTGTCATGTGTCAATCTCCGAATGAGATAGAGTGGAACCACCATGCTTTTCTTGTTCAGCAAATATGAAAGAATCTCGCAGTGTGTGAACTGATAGTATTGGCACCCATTGGTCCAGTCAAAACGCCATCCACCTTGAGGAGAAGGAAAAGAAAGAGAAGGAGATGCGGAATCAGATCATAGCTGAAGCAGAAGAATACAAGAAGGCCTTCTATGAGAAAAGGGAGAAGAACATCGAGACCAACAAGGCTGATAACCGCGAGAGGGAGAAGGTAAGAATACACAACAACTGCAGCCAACGTGAGATCCCTTGTAAACTTGTGTGTGAGAGTTTTTGCCTCTCTTGCAGCTGTACTGGGCTAACCAAGAGAAGTTCCACAAAGAAGTTGACAAGCATTACTGGAAAGCAATTGCAGAGCTGATCCCGCGTGAGGTTCCCAACATTGAGAAGAAGAGAGGGAAAAAGGATCCGGACAAGAAGCCATCAGTGATGGTTATCCAGGGTCCTAAACCTGGGAAGCCGACTGATCTAAGTAGAATGAGGCAGATATTCTTGAAGCTCAAGACAAATCCACCGCCCCACATGATGCCTCCTCCGCCGCCAGCCAAAGATGGGAAGGATGCCAACAAAGAAGGCAAAGATGCAAAAGGTGGGAAAGACGCCAAGGATATAAAAGATGGAAAACCTGCGGCGGAGACAAAGGCTGCAGAGGAGAAACCTGCTTCACCTGCGAAAGACGCAAGTGCTGAAACAGCGAAGCCTGAGGCTGCTGCTGCCGCGGGAGAGGGGGAGAAACCTGTGGCTGTGGCTGAGGCTGAGGCTGAGGCTGAGGGAGCCAAGGCGGAATGAAGGAGAAGGGTGTGTTAGTATTATTGTCGGGGGATAAATTGGTATTGAAGTCACGGTAGCTGCGGGCATAATAAGAAGAGGTAAGTATTGTGCACACATAGAAGCTTTCTATTTGGAGGCACACCATTTCCTCTTCTGGAGAGAGAATATTAGTCCTTTGTTTTTGGTTTTTGATTTTTTTTTTTTTATTATCATTTTTTTTTTATTCTGCAAAATTTGGGAATATTGTATGGGATGATTGTTCACGTTAAATCATTTTGCTTCCACGTATTTTTACGTTTATAAGACTTTGGCAAGTACAGGCTGTTGGATGAATCATGTAAAAATGATTGTGGCATCCGTTGTTTTTTGCAATAGTTTGGTGGTAAGAGAGTGTGTCGTGTTTGTGTGCCATGTGAACCATCTTTACGTCATTATTGTCGCCTAGTAGTGGCTTGAGAGGGTTTAGGGAAGATAATGGGACACGTGGGTGCATGTGATGGTGAGGTCCAGTTATGTTTTCGTCTCTTCTCTTTACAGACACTCTTAAGGTGTGTACGAACGAACGAACATGTTAAGAGAATGAATATGCCTGTCCTCGTAAAGAAGTGAACACATTTGAGAGATATATATTATTTTACACTGAAAGAGTCGCCAAGCTGTTCTCATTAGACTAGAGAGGGAGTGGGGTAGACAAAAGAGCTGGAAGAGAAAGGAATGAGATTTGCATATAGCTTATTATTATTGTTATTATATCTGCATTTTGTAGTTTCTCTTATTATATAAACTGACATTATTATATAGATACTCCTATCGCCTTTTACAAGGTTTAGAAGGAGAAAAAGAACCACGAGACTAGTAAGTAGTAATTAGTCACACAATCAAGCTCTCTCCCTCTTACTTTGGAGATGGCTAAACTCACCGACACATACACAACTCCAAACAAAACAAAAAATGAAGAGAGGAAAGGGATTGGATTCTGTTTGCTATCCATCCTCTCTCGCTCTCTCTCTCTCTCTCTCTCTCTCTCTCTCACTCACTTACTCATTGTCCTAGCTCTCTGTTTCTCTCTCCCAATAACCAAAAAAAAAAGTGGAAGTGAAGACAGAGAACAGGGGAAAAGCTTAGAAATTGGTTAGAGGACAGGGGAGAAGTTGAGGCGGGAGGTGTAAGTAGCTTTGGGGACCCAGTTTTTGGGGATGACGTCGGTGGCGGAGAGCGTTTTGTGATTGGACAGAGTGGTGAGCTTGACTGATAACGGTCCCTTGAGAGGACCTCCGACGATGCACCAGTTGGCTCCCCAAATGTGCTTCATGGGTATCCAGTCCTTGGAGCCTGCCTGACGAATGTGCATAGAGCCAATGTCACCTTCTCCGTCTTCATACTCGATGAGAAGAGATAACCAATAAGCAGTTGATCCTGCGTTCACATGGAACGCTATGTTCTTCCCTCTGTATTTGCATGCAGTCCTGTTTTTGGTACAAAACCAAATTTAGCAAATATCATAAATTAATCGACAGACAGACGACAATTGTGTGTCAGAGATGGAGAGGGTGTGTCATGTAGTGATATTTAGTCAACGGTCAAACTATGGGACCATCGAAAACAAGAACGCCGTTAAAGTTAAAAATTATATGTTTACTCCTCCCAATGCACAGAATATGATCGATGGACTCATTAGCAATGATGGATAAGTTGTTGTTGGTTATATTTTAGCGCAAATTAAGACCAAAAAAAAAAAAGAAAAGAAAAAGAAGGCAACGTACCGGCGGTAGAGGAGGGAGATGAGGCCGCGGTTGCGGATGAGGCGGGAATGGCCGGGAATAGCCAAATGACCAAAGGCGGCGCCGCTGAGGTCGAAGTGAGTGTGGTTGGCACGAGCGGATGGTCCAGAAGGAGACTGGTCGGTGACGATGATGGTGACGGGTCTCTTGGAGCAGATGGTCTTGTCGAGGCACCTGACCTTGTAGCAAGCGCCGCATCCTTCGCCGCTCTTGAACAGCACCGGACTCACCGCTCCCACTCTTGCCTTCAACGGCTTCACGTCCACCAGCGACCCGTACCCGCACGCTCCTCCTGCATTATTATTTCGAAATAAAACAAATTTGCCTATATATATATATAACTCTTTCTTAATTTTATCAGTTGTGTCTTAATCAATTTTACCGCTGCTGCCGTCTCCCTCGGGACTTCCGTACCAGGTGGCGGTGGCGGGGAGCCAATGAGGGGCTGCCACGCGGCGAGTAGAGCGAGTAGGGACGGAGGCAGAGGCGCCTCCTCCTCGAAGCAGCTGCAAGAAGAAGACGAGGCAGAGAGTCGTTAGGATGGCCGGAAGGAGCTGCATTTCCACCGGCGATACCTATCCCGACCAAAAAAATCAAATTGAAGAAAAGTGGACTATGCGTGAGAGAAAGAGAGAGTGTGTGTGTGTAGTAAGAAACGATGTTGGTTGGTTAAATATAGATTTTGAGATAAAGGAGAAGCCTTTGCCTTTGCCTTTGCCCTTCTTTTTTTTTTTTTTTTTTTTTTTTTTTTTTTTTTTTTTTTTTGATGTGGTGGCCTTGAGTGCCATTGATGGGACCCTCTGACAGTTAGGAGCCTCGATTCCACACGATCCCGTCCCCGTGTGTGTTGTTTCTTCAGCAGCAAATTATAAGATTCGGCCGTTGTTAAAGATTCTTCTTGGCCTGTGCTAAAGAATCAAAAGTTACTTACTTAACATATTACTAGCAACATTTTTCTTGTTCTTATACTATATATACGGCAACGACCCCTTCTTTAGTTTTATCAATTAGCCTCTGTGACTGTGTGTGATTAACACATTTTACTACTAGTATTATGTAAAGGACAAAAACAGCACCACATTTTTTATTCATATTCTGAAAGAACAAAAACCACACACAATACAAGATTGAAGGGTCATTGACATTATACACATACGATAAGGTTTGAGAAACGAAATCTTGTTGGCCAACCTCATGCCCACAACGCATCATCAAATCATTTTAACAATTAAAAAAGCAACTAGTTTTATTTTTCATAACTGTCTTCGAGTTTCGTAATTTTTTTAACGAACAACCAACCGTAGCTCAATGATGCCTTCATATATATACAGCCAGTTGATATAATTTTACATTGCAATCGTAATGCACATTCTCTACATATTTTTTTATATTTAAATCAGAAGGCACATGCACATGACTAGTGAGTAGTGACTACAGTCTACACGCCACAACCCCTACTTTTGATTATACGACCCTTCTTAATTACGTTCTCAAATATTTTCAACAAAGTTAGTTATTCTTTTTAGATAACACTCCGGAACTAAATGCTATATTAACGTCAGTCACACTTCAACTTATAATCAATATAACGACGCAGGTATAATAAAAATTTATTTTACACTATAAGAAATGTTGATTTATATATCGTTTTATCTATTGAAATCTCACTCTAATCCAATTCCAAGGCTTGTCAACTATTGTACCTAATCAACTTAGCATACGTATGCATATACGTTGGAGATGAAACGTAAAATGCGACGTCCGAATTACATAGAATCAAACAAAAATGATTGAATATGGGTGTGTGCATTAGCAAAGACTGTTGAAAGATATTATTGATTACTCCAATAAAATAAAATAAAATCGAAATTCGTTATTAGTAATGGGGATGCTTTAATCAAAAGTGGAAAAAGTCGTATATTGTATTATTGAGAATGACAACAAGATAAAGATGTTTTATTATTTTATGAAATTACAAAGTCACATGAGATAACGAGGGAGTATCAATAAAAACAGTTCATATACGAATCTTACAGTTCACATCACATTCTCAACTAATTCCTTCTTCACATTTTTACACAATTGGACTTTATACACTCTCTCCCATGTGCCCCATAAGGCAACAAGATTACTCATCAGTCATCACATTAATACCAATATTGGTGTTTGATTGTTTATTTACACTTTTTTTGTTTGTTTTAACGAATTTGGAACACCTAAAGCAAGACTCCAACAAAAGAATCTTCAACATCTAGTATAAGGGCCAATGGGCCATGCTGTACATGTCTTTCAGGTCTGATGAGAGCAATATAGGACTAATGCCTGGACCAGGTCAAATCGACTAATCCTATTTCGAACCAGTTGGTTATAGAACCGGTACATACAGGACCGATCCAACTCATCACAACATTCCCAATGATGTTTGTGGAAGGATGTGTGACTGTGTGAGTAAGAGAGAGAGAGAGAGAGATTGGGACTCTTCATATAATTTTGAAATACACCCATATGTATAATTAATGTATAGTATCCAAGATTTTACAAGAGATAATGGTTTGGACTTTGGAGTGGGAATGAAAGAGGGAGAGAGAGACATGCAAAAAAAAAAGAAGCCAAACCCAAGTGCACATTGAAAGAGCGACTCTTTGCCAGTTTCTTCTCAGAGCTTCTTGCTCTGCACCTCTTACCGGTTCGCTCTTTCATTAATCCTGACCCTCCAAGATTCCGGTTTGGCTCCATAAATGGGTTCTCCAACAACGTATGGAGGCGGCTGGCGAGCATCCCGTAGGAGTGCGACCGTGCTTTCATTGTATTCATCGTCACTGTCATAATGACGGTGAGGTCCAAGAGCTTTGAGCAACATGGCCAATAGAACTGATACCCCCTGCCACCAATAAACAAAGAGAACGCTTTGAAACATTACGCAACCAAAGCATTTTACAAGCAAAGTAAATGTAGAGACTTGTAGCTATCAAGAGACCTGGACACAGACAATAGAGAGACCTATCCATCTGCAAATCTTGAAGTTTGACTCGATGAACTTAGAGAACTGGTGGAAAGCACCACTTGGATCCTCTGGAAAGTCCTGGATGCAAGCTTCTAAAAGATTATGATCATGGACGTGACTACCGAGAGCCTCTCGAGTATGTTTTATTTTTTATTTTCAAAAGAAAAGAGATAGAAGAACATTGTACCTCCTTCCAGTCACGGTTTAGAAAGATATCAGCAACCACACCGCCTTCAACCATAATGAGCAAAACGATGAATCCCATATACTGAACCCAGTCGATGAGCCAACAAACATTCACATATAAAGAAACACAAGAAAGGATTGCTGAAACTAGCAAAGGAAACGTAGATGCTACTAGTTGTCGAACGAGTTGCAGGAAAAGCTTTTACAAAAGAAAACAAGTTTACCAAGTAAAGGCAACATCCATTAACGGTTTCAGCAGCTATGTGCCCGGCACAAGTGACAACACTGAGAATGGCACCGAGACCAAGAAATGCATAAATGAACCTGCAGCTCAATCATAAGCAGAAATTGGCTTCAGTAATTTTCATTGGCGATGGCAGATTTCATAACAATTGACAACAATGATAACTTCCCCCTCAACACTAGTCCTAACATGCTCTATTCCATAACCAAACAGCTTTCAGCTATCAGATAATACACCTCAGGCTCACAGAATCTATGAGAACTTGTCTCTGCCTATTTGGTTGATTGCACATAAAAGAAAAGACGGAAAGCGAAAATACCAAGGAGCGGGGTGGTCAGAATCAGCGAAGGGGAGATTTCCCATCTGTTCTTGCCATTGCCTAATCAGCCAAACAGCGTAAAGGATCATGGCGATCCCAACCATCCCAAGTATGGAATTCACCAGCTTCAACATGGACTGTAAGCAACTCCTCACCATCCTCACCATCTTTTGCCCAGAGACCAGACACGACCCACAAAAAATGTCTTCTCTCGGGGAAGGAAGAAGGGAAATCGAAAACCTGTGAATCGTGTTGCTCCCAAATTTCTCTCCTTTCTAAATCCGTAAATCTAATCAAACACGAAAGTTGTATTTTTTAACAAAAAGAAAATATTTTTTTTTTGGTTGGAGGTTAAAATAGAGAACCCTTAAAGTTGAAAAAAAAAAATCCACCTTTATGCTAAAACAATAGATCACAATTGTTTGGAAACAAACAGATCCACGACGGTAACTTTGAAAGCAGCTTTGCTTCTACTGTAGGAAAAAATGAAGGGAGACTCTCAGGTCAAAGGCGGCGATGATTCTGTCCCAATGGGTTTCCTTCACGCCGGTGGCTTGGGGTTCCGACGGGCTTCTCCGAAGATATTCGGAGTTTCGCGGTCTCTCCTCTGCCACTTGTCGGTTGAGATCCAGACCTTCTCTCAGATGCTCTTGTCTCAAAAGCAAATCCACACAGGAAAGCACCGAGGTGCGTCACTTTTCTCTTGATTGAGTCATGAGACGCATTACAATCAAACTCATGCGTTTTAGATTAGGATAATGTTCCAAAAGTTGTCCCCTTTTTATTAGTTTTATAAGGTTAATGTTTCAACTGTGTCCGATGCATTTTGGAACATTGAACAGTTGGAGAATGAAGGAGGGTTCTCGGCTTTGGCATCAGAAATCCCGTGGGAAGAGAAGAACATATGGAGCACATTGGCTGTTTACATGTTCTGTCTGCATATCCCTCTCAGTTTTGGGGGTTTATCCATCGTTGCCCGCATACTCCACCAAAGGCTTCTTGATCCTCAGACCCAAGTGAGTTCTCTCATTTCCTTTTGTATGGAAGGTCAAGAATGTATTGCCAAGTTATTATATACATATATGGTTTACTATACGGATGAGCAAAGGGTACAAGTTATTGCTGTATGAATGCTTGTGCAATCGGCTACTTTAAAGAGAGCGGCTTTACGTATATATGCTTCAATCATCTCTGTCATTCTTCTATATACGTATGTATGCTTTTGATGCTGCAGTTGAATTTGCGTTTCGAAATTCATGGGGTGTGGCTACAATGTACAGGTGCTGTCACTTGTCTTTCTCCAAATGGTAGAACTAACAGGGACAGTCTTGCTGCTGAGGAACACTGCGAAGCCGGAATGTAGATCGATCAACTTTCTAAAGGGTAATAATGACTCAAGAGAAGGAAGAAACTGGGTGGTTGGCTCAGCAATGGGTTTAGGATGTCTTGTGGGATTTATCTTTCTCACCTCACTAGTAGCTGATCAACTCTTCGGTTCTAAGGTCATAATATCGTTAACGATATCTGCTAAAAGATGAATATCATTTAGCATTTTTTTGACATAAGAGTATAAAGCAGAAGCAAATGTGTGTTGATATCTCACAGGCAGTACAAAACTCGGAATTGGAGAAGATAATGGCGAGCGGGGAAGTGTCGAGAAGCGGGTGTTTTGCACTATACTGCTTGGTAGCTCCGATGCTAGAGGAGATTGTGTACAGACGGTATCTATTGAGCTCCTTAGCGTCGAGAATGGAATGGAGGAAGGCACTTGTGATAAGCTCAGGAGTATTTGCAGCAGCTCATTTCTCGGGGGAGGATTTGGTGCAGCTTTTTGGGATAGGGTGTGTTCTAGGTGCATGTTACAGCTGGTCAGGGAAGTTAGCCTCGTCGGTGGTCGTCCACTCCTTGTACAATGCCTTGACACTTCTCCTTACGCTACGCTCTTAGCCTTAATCAATGGATGAGAGGCAGAGAGAGATTCATTTCCCTTGTCAGTTACGTCATCAAAATATATAGTATCTCTCTCTCTCTCTCTCTCTCTCTCTGTTAAGACAGTGTCTAAACCGTGTGCATATATTTGTTGTTGTACGTGTATGCAGCTGATCTGTTCCTTTTAGAGAGAGAATCTCTTCTCCTTTACAATTAAATGAAAGGGAGAAGTTAATTAACAAGAAGGAGAAAAGGCTTTATTCCCATCATTATTGCGATTCTTATACAAGACGATATCTAATGGGTAAATACCTGTCTAACTATGACACGCAAATACTATACATAAAAAGAAAGAATCAAGCAGGATTAAAGAAGGAATCAAAAGCATTTTAAATAGGATTACAAAAGCAAAAGGAAGAGAAGCAAGCAAAGTGTGAAAAGGAAAGAGAGAGATGGAACGTCGTGAGGAGGACCAATAGCATTAGCAGCAAACATGTGGTCCATTTGTGGGTCCCGTGTGATGAGGATTGCACAGCTGGCCATTTCCCCCCAAATCACACTCCTAAGCCACATCAGATTTCCCAGCGGTCATCTTTCAGCCACGTGTACAAATCCCTTTGGCAACTCTGCTTAAAACCAAATTTTACGTCTCCTCCCTATACTTAGAATTCTTTTCAACAAAGACCATGGTGTATTCTTGTTAAAACCCCAAAATTCAAAATTCAGTTGTTAATTAAAGCAAACTCAGGATTAGCTTAGCCTTTGCTTAGGTGTAATCTCTCTCTCTCTCCCCTCATTTATCTCTATTAATAAACATTTCTCAGAATAAATTTAATTCATAGCTGTCTTGTATACCCATCCTCTTTAGATAGATAGATAGATATATATATATATATATATATATATATATATATATAAAGAGATGAGGATGGCCCAGACAAAACTTTAATACATCTCTGGTGCCTCTGAGGAACAGAGAGAGAAAAGAAGAAGAAGAAGACAGATAGAGAGAGAGAGAAAGGTATCCAAAGAAAGGAGAAGGAGAAGAAGAAGATGGGAGCATTCGAGGATCAGGTGAAGATGAGGGCTATGGAGCTGAAGCATCTGTTCAAGAAAGGTATCAAAGTCGTCGGAAAAACTTGCAAGAAGGGATGGTCCAAAGTCAAGAACCTTCGTCGCTGATTCCTTCCTTCTTCTCAACCTCATCTTTGTCTTTCTTTCTTTCTTTCTTTCCTTATTCCCTTAATATTCTAAGTTTTGTCTTCCTCTTTACTTGTGCGTTTTTATATTTATCTCCAAGTCTTTTTTCATTAAGACATTAACTAATTGTGTTCTACTTTCATTCTTTTTCTCAATCCCTTAATCCCTTATCTTCTTCGACTTGGTTGGATATCTACAAAATATATACACCTTCTTCTTCATTGGATTATGAGATCTACCAATTAGCAAGAATTTACAGATATTTTTCTTTAATTATACATTTTTCCAATCATAATAATAAAATAACGAGATTTGAAAATGATAAAATTACCTCTCCTTCAGCTTTCTTCCAGCTTTAATTGAAAGAGAAGTCCCCTTTGCCTTACATGATGATGAACCCAGATTTTTCTTTTTTTTAAAAAAAAAAAAAAAAAAAACTAAAAAAATGTATATGAACAGTAAAGCGAAAGGTTAAGAAGAAAAAGCTGTAAATTTTTTTTTTATTATTATTAAAATGGGTTTGAACTTTTGAACCGATTCCCAAATCCAATGAGTTTTTATTGGGCCGACATATGGGCCTTTACTCGAGTTGCATATAAAGATTCGTTCTAGGGTTTCAGAAGAACAACCTCTTTGGGGAGGAGGCGGAGGGAAGAAAAACACAAAATCGGGTCTATTCATTCAGTTCCCGATACCACAAGCGAAGATTCAAACTTGTGTTTTTCTTTTTGATTCCTTCATGCTGTCTTGAAATTATGTCTTTTTTTTTTGTTTGTTGATCCAATCCAACTAAATGGAAAGAGTGGCGATTCTGCTGGATGAACATATTTGATTGTATAGTTAATTGTCTTTTTATGCTTTGACAAGTTCCTAACCTTTATTCTTCTTACTATGTGTTTACTATCTATAAATCTTTTTATGAACTTGGTTTAGATCATTGGGCCAGTGATGATTGAAAAAGTTTTGCCTACATTGTTTGATTTACCACTGAGATATAAACTATAATAATCACTCTGAGGCTCATTGCTCAAAATGTTTTTCCTGTCTTTTAGTTTTGGTCTAGCATCTTTCTTTCTCTCATAAGCCCGGCCTATGACGATTCAAAAAATTGCCTACATTGTCTGAGTAAACCAATGATAAAACTTTTACAATAATGTATTCTGAGGCCTAGTTTTGTTTTCCTAGAGAGACTTGATATATTCTGTATTTTTGTTTTTTGTTTTGGGGAGGAGGCTGGTGATGATGTTTCATATCTTTGCCTACATTGCCTGATCAAAGCTTTTTTTTGGGCTTTGAACAAGTGAGTGAATGAGTTACTCTATTCTGAAGCCTCATCATGAGTCTTATTATTTCGTTATCTTTTTTGTGGGGGTCTAGTCATTGCGTCTCTGCAAATATCAACACGACTTTGCTATTTTTTTACAGTGCTGAGCCCACATCAGGACTGGTCAATACATAGACGTATGTTGTGTGCTGCTTGAAGTGGTCTTCCCAAAAGAGAGGTGTTGTTAGCACTCGTGGCTGCTTGCCTCCCCTTGTATGTTTGATTATATGTATTTTTTTATGAAGCTGTGGACCTGTGGTTGTGTTAATCTCAACTTTGTACGCTTTTTATCAATCGCTTCAAATTTCAGTATCTTTCTACAGAAATGTAGAACATTTTGGCACAAAGAATATTTCTTTGTTGCAGATTAAATAGGCAAGAAAATGTTAAAAAGTGCAAATTGTATCTATCAGTAATCCTTCGAACGCAATTAACGCGGAAAAGCAAGCTAAATGTTTTGTTGACGACTGTTCAACTGTAACAAATATCGAAATTGTGGTAAAATCTATTTGTATATTTTTTTTAATCCGAATTGATTAACGCAAGAGTATTATCGTGTAGCAGTAATGTGGGAGAGTTTGTTTAAACCGAACTTTATTCCGGTTAAGGCAAGACAAACCGTATATTTTATTTTATTTAGTGAAAATTGGAAAAAAATTACTGCCGTCAAGGGGACAGAAGCGAAAAGCAAGCTAGGGGTTTGTGTCTGAACATGAAGCATCTTCTCCGACTACAATTGAGAAGCTTCTTTAGGATCCTTCCTTGCAGGTGTTCCTTACTTCATTTCTCGAAGACCATTCCTTGTCCGGATCCAATTCATGACACCCTTAAGCGCCGGATCGAGCGTGTCCCAGGTTCAACGGCCTCCATCACCCCTTTGCTCCGGGAATGGTGCGAACGCGGAAATCAAGCGAGACATGCAGAACTCAGGAGCATCATCACCTCTCTGCACCGAGTCGACCGCTTCTCCCACGCCCTCCAGGTTTGTTTGTAAGTTAAGGTTTCAGAAGAGAGGCTGCTGCAATTGGAATTATACATACATATTTATGTTTTATAAATCAAACAATCTCTCTTCTTCTTTTTCTTTGGGTGGTGTGTTAGATTTCGGAGTGGATGAGTGACCAAAAAGGGTACAATCTCTCTACGGTGGATTTCGAGATTCGGCTTCTCCTGATTGCCAAAGTTCGTGGTCTTGAAGAAGCTGACAGATTCTTGGACACCATTCCGTTGAAGAAGAGGGATTTCTACGTGCACAGCGCTCTCTTGAACGCCTGCAAAACCCACAGCTCCCTGAGCATAGCCGAGACCACGTTTCAGAAGATGAGAGACCTTGGATTTGCTGCAAACAACTCTAAACCATACAACACCATGCTCTTCCTCTACCACCAGGCTGAAAATCACGATATGGTCATCAAACTTCTGCGCGACATGGACCACAACAATATGGAACCCGAAGGTATACCCTTTGGCAAGCTCTTATCTTCTTACGCAATTGCTTCCATCAAAGACGTTGAGGGGATGGAGAATTTTCTAAGCAAGTGGGAGAAGAGGATGGAGCCATGGACCACATGTTTCTTCCCTGCATTCCTTCACTTACAACTAGGGTCTAGGGAAAAGGGTCTAGCCTTGCTGCGTAGGACCGAGGAACTAGTCGAAGACGCCTCCAGAGAAACCATCTATGGATGTCTCATGACTGCGTATTGTCAAGAAGGCGAAAGAGAAGACGTTATCCGTCTCTTGAACTTGGCCAAGGCCCACGGGATATCGTTTGACAGCTTTAAATGTTCGGAGATCATCAAGGCATTTACAACCAAAGGCGATCTCGACACCGCTCACGAGGTTATGGAAGAGTGGGATACCGGGGCTGGCGATCTTGGTCTGGCGGATTTTGGTCACCGGAAGAGATATGTGAAAGAAGAGGCCGACAAGGTTTTGAACATGCTTGGGAAAAAGGAGTGCAAGTGGGAGAGTTTGAGAGAAAAGTTACACAACTTGGTGGACGATAGAGAAGAGGAGAGGAGGAAGAGAGTGGCAGAGGCCATGGAGGGGAGGCTGCCCAACCGCTGGAACCCAAAGAGCAGCATGGCTCTGTCCGCTTACGCCTGCGTGCAGTATGTTGAGGGTCGGAGAGACATGGAGAGTGCAGCTGACATCCTCAGACTGCTTAGCAAACAAGAGCAAGTGTCTCGTGCAATGGATAAAGGCAGATTGAGTCTTAAGATGGTGGAGGCAATGAGAGGAGGAGGATACATTGGTGGACATGACTAACAAATATTTGTATTTATAATTAACATCATTAATCTATTAGGCCTTAAAAGTTTATAATGTATGAAATGAAACTGGATTTGATTTATCCAAATGGTCTCTCAAGACTCTATTGTTTGGCTACATTCTCTTACTTTGTGCTTCCTCAGTGTACCGACTTCTTCCCATTGCATCGACTATTTTCCAACCCAGTCCAGCTCCGTTCATATCGTACAGTAGTTGATCGTAAGAAATGTGTCCTCGCTCGCTTAGCAGTCTCAGAATCTTTCTCAAACTCTCCATGTCTCTTTGACCCTCTAGATAATCCACACAGCTCATCAGCACAACCTGGTGCGGTCTCCACCCTGGCTGGCTCACCTCTATCGCCTTCTTCCATCTTTCCACCGCTTTCTCCATCTCACCCGCCATCTTGTAACCCAGAGCTAACCGTTCCCATGTGCTGGTCTCCTGGACCACCATCTCTGCTACTTCCTCCGCCTTCTCCATCATCCCCTTCTTACAATAACCAGTTATTAACAAGTGCGGGATCCTGGTATCGAACAGCGAGTGTCCAGCTTCCCACTCTCCCATAATCTTCTCAACACCCTCGATATCATCCACCTTAAAGAGCGCACTGATCACGCTTATGTATCCGGTGTTGTAGAACCCGTCCAGCTCCTTGTACAAGCTCCAGAGACGGTACACCTCTTCTTTCTTACCTGCAGCGCCGTAGAATGACATGAGAACCTCGTAGGCTTGCTTTCTTTTCTGAGGACTAACCAACTGCTCCGATTTACGCAGCGTCTCTAGCGCCTTTTCAGTGGATCCAGCTTTGATGTAGGCGTTTGCAGCATCGGCGTAAGTGCGCCAGTCCAGCTCAAGTCCAGGGTCAGCCTCACAGCTCATCAGAAACTTCTCCATTCCCTCTACATCAGATACAACGGAATAAGCATGCAGGCGCGTGTTCAGTGTGAAGATGTCGGGCTTGACATTCCCATCCTCCATCTCACGCAGAAGCTTCTCAACCATTGTGTATTTCCCACTCCTGATGTAGAGATTGAGCATCACGTTGTATGGGAGGCAGCCTCTGAGGAACCCGAGCTCTTTCATCTCCTGAAACACTTGCTCGGCTTTGTGCAGCACCTTCTTGCTCGCGTAGCAGTTCAAGAGAGCACCGTAGAGATGGTAGCTCCTCCTCTCGACAGGGATTTTCTCGAAAAACCTGTCTGCTTCTCCCAGGCCACCAACTTTGGCAATCAGATCAAGGCGAATCGCCACATCTCCCTCAGAGAGATCATGAACTCTATGCTCACTCATCCAATCCGATAGCTAACATCATAAAACACAACAACAACAACAAACCCTTATAAGCATTAGATTTGTATCATTACAACAGAGTAAGAAGAAAAGAGGAAATTTTTGAAAGAGAAGAGAGACCTGGAGGGCATGGGAGAAACGGCTGAATTTGCGGAGCATCTTGATGATGGAGTGGAGCTCCGAAGTCTTGACCAGATTGCCCTGCTCGAGCCATCCCTCCAACACTCTTACAATCGAAGCCGAGGGATCTCCCGCCCTCGCGACCCGACGCTGCAGAGTGTCGTATGGGTCCAACGGCGAGGGTACGCTTCTCCTGGAGGAGTGATAAAGGAAGCTACTTCTGAGAATGTGACTTGCCTTTGGTCGAACAAGAAGACGAAGAAGATGCTCCATACTTTGGCCTCTGATTCAATCAAAACAGAGAGCTAGCGTTTAGGGTTTAACAATATTCTTTGGTCTTCTTCACTGATCAAAATTTAAATCGATATTCTTCCAATTTACTCGCGAATACGAGGGATTTGACTTAGCAGGGGTACTGAATCAAAGTCTCCAAGAAAATTACAAAGAAAAAAAATATATACACTATTGCTGAATTTAATGCAATGGAGATGTCGTCGTTCTGGCTTTATATTTTTCTTTTTTACATTTTCCGAAATTTTCTCTCCTCCCGTAACTTTGATTAACTATAAATGATATACCCAAAAAATGACGTAGAACAAAAAAAAAAAAGAAGAGAAAGAGGAAACAGAGAAACAATGGAGATTTCTCCTTACTGTCTGCTTTCTCTTCTCCCCATTTTCCTCCTCTCTGGTGTCTCCCTTTCATGTAAATCTTCTCGTTTCTTCTTCTTTTTTCCTCAATTTCTTGCATTACTTTTAGGAACTCAGAAATGATTTGTTTAATCTTTCTTTGCTATTTTCGTATACATTGTATCGAAGAGAAACAACCCTCGGAGATTCTTTAAATAAATCTCTGGATGGATTTAAATGTGCAGATGATGACTTTGATCCGCACGCAGCAACAAGCCGAGCTCTTCTTCAAGCAAAGACAAGTAAAGATCATCCCTCCTAATTGATGATTACCAAATCTTTTAAAAAAATATATCCAGACACAACATTATTCCAAATATGGACCTTCTCTTTTGTCTTTTTCTTTACTGTGATATGAAACAGCATGCAAAGAGGATTTTGCGAGTAAAAACTACACAATCATAACAAGCAAATGCAAAGGGCCAAATTATCCGGCAAAGGTGTGTTGCTCCGCCTTCAAGGACTTTGCTTGCCCTTTCGCAGAAGTTCTCAACGACGACAAGAACGACTGTGCCTCCACAATGTTCAGCTACATCAACATCTACGGACGTTATCCTCCTGGAATCTTTGCCAACATGTGCAAAGAGGGCAAAGAAGGTCTCGACTGCACTGACGTCACCAAGTCCGCATCCTCAACTTCTGATTCTATCCACCGAGCCTCCACAACTCTCGCGCTTCTTTCCATGTTCCTGGGTCTCTGTCTTTTGTTCCTGTCGTCGTGAAATCTTGCTACCAGACACACCTCATAACGTGCTCCATGGGTTAAAGAAACAGGTTATATATGTCTCTTTTGGTGTTGTGTACTCAACTCTTTTTAAAACAGAAGATTCAATCTTCTCTTGTTATTCCATTTTTATCATCAACAAACTCAAGAAGCAAGATTATAACCTATGTTAAGGAATAAAGAAGGTAATGCCATAAGCTTATTCTCCAATCGATTATTGGGTTTATTACACAAATGAATCGATCATCATTACTCGATGAGGTTTATCTACTTCTTTCTGACAACACCTAAGTTTTGTGTAGCTACGTAATTATTCAGTACCATCATTATAAAGAAACAGAGGTCAAGATCCATCTTACATACACAGAAATCACGGCCAACAGGTCCCCAAATAAGCTTCGCTCACCATAATAAGCATCATCCCTTACTTTCCTGTAAACCATATACCACAGATGTTACTTGGCTTCAACAACTAGAAAGTATCACTAAACACAGAGTGCAAAGAAAACTACTTGATCGAATTATAATACACAAAGGAACACGCTTCTCCAATAACCTAACTGAGCATAGTGATTAGGGATCAAGGAACACATATATTACTCACAAAAAAGAAGAAAATCACAAAGTTTCTCAATTCAATAGCAAGTTTCAGGGTATTGACTCTAAGAAGAACACTGCCGTAAACTTTGGAGTTACCTGTGCCGTGTTGATGGAGAAGCCGCCAGTGGTGAGAAGCCTCTCAACGTATTTCCCCATGATATCAACCTCCAGGTTCACTTTCTGCCCAACTCTCTTGGTGGGAATCACCACGTGTTGCTGCGTATAAGCAACGAGCATGAAATTGAAGCAGCTCTCGTCGTCAAACACATCCACCACCGTCAAGCTCGTGCCATCCACCGCCACAAATCCCTTGGGCACAATGTATTTCAGCAGACCCTTTTCCGCTTTCACCTTCACCCACAGCGAGTCTCCCTCGACCTCCATCGATACTATCACTCCCGTACCGTCCACGTGTCCCTGCACCACGTGCCCTCCCATACGGCTCACCGGCTGCAGCGCACGCTCCAGATTCACCGGCGATCCTTTCTCCAGCTCCTCCAGCGACGTTTTCCTCAGCGTCTCCGGTGATAACCCCACGGTGAACTCCTCCGCGTCAAACGCCGTCACCGTTAGGCAAGTCCCGTTCACGGCGATGCTGTCACCGAGCTTCACGTCCTCCAGGACTACTCTGGCGCCGATTTGAAGGTCGAATCCGCCGTGTTCGGCCATTCCCAGGTCCTTGACATGGCCCATTTCTTCAACGATTCCCGTAAACACGGATCGGATGCTGAGATTTTGCCTCCGATGGCGATGGGTTATGGATCTGGAATCAAATCTGAGATTTGAACTTCTGAAAGAAGAGGAGAAACTCAACTGTGGAGGACACGATCTGGGAAGCAGATTGAGAGAGTGAGTGGCCATCATCATCGTCGTTAGCTTATGCCTGAGGAGGAGGAAACCGCCGGTGCTAAAGATTTTTAATTAATCAAAAGGTTGTCATGACATTCAATTCACTACATCAAATGATCGGGACAAAAGTGGAATAAAACAAAAATTGGAGGGTAAATATACAAATTTAAAATTGAGCAAAAAGGAGCTACTGTTAAACCATATTAACTAACTATAAAGGCTTTCTTTCTTCAGAATTCAGGAATTTGTGTTGGTGATTGGTTTCCATTGCTATAATGTACTAAGTGTGCTTGTATGTATGTTTCACCAGATGATGATTGCTTATATATATGATTTGAGTTTGCATATGGTATGGAGACACAAAAAAATAAAAAACAAGAAAAAACTCTTTTAGTTTATTATGGTTTGTGTTGGGAACACATATCTCTCGACTTCTTGTCCTGAAGATGGTGGCGTCCTGTGACCCGAATCAATCTGCAAGATTGCTCCATCATTAACCTCTGGATGGAATCTTGTTCCCAAGGCACAATCCCAAAGTCATCATTGAAGCCTTCCATGCCTTGTATGAGCAACTGCCACACCAGAGTTCCTGCACCAGACCTCCTCCGCTTGGCTGATTTGTATACAACATCAAATATCGTCCTGTAGAACCGATCCCGCTGCGACGGCTCATAGTCCTTGTTCAGGTTCGAGAGCCCAAACTCCGTGAACAGGACTGGCTTCTTCAGTTCCTTGTCCCCGTCTTCAATGTGAGATTGCATCCATTTCACCACAAACTTTACTTTTTCTTCAAACCCCTGATCGTGAAACCTGCGCCGCCAACAGAACTTGGTCTGTCTGTCTTCACAAACAAGAATTCCAAACTCAAACAAAAATGTTCAACAGAGAGAGAGAGAGAGGCTTACCAGTGATCAGGGTAGATATGAACCGATGCAAAATCAATGTTTGGCGATTCAGAGTTGCGAACAAAATCTGACCCAAGCTCAGAAGCCCACCTTTCTGGGTTAACTGTCAGCCGTTTTGGGCTCTTGGGGCCGTAGAACCCTTCCAAGCCTACCGTTAGAAGATGCTTCTTGTCAATCGTTTTTATGAATGCTGTCATTTCGTTAATCCAGTCCTTTGGATCCACAATACCAGATGAAAGAAACCAACACACCACGTGTGAGTAACAAGAAACTTATACTACTATGACTCGATTATTAAACTTATGAACAAGAAACTGAAGCAGCCAACTCACTTGGAGGGTATCCCCAGAGATATCAGACAAGCAGCGAGGCTCGTTTATCAACTCCCACGCAAAAATTGTAGGGTCGTTTCTGTACTCGATCCCTGTTATCGAGTTTTTGCGGGTGAGTAGCACCTGGCAAATGGGAAATGAGGGTAATTCCAAGTTTTATCCATCACTAACCTTTGCAAGATTACTAGAGCCTCACTATTTTGGTTTAAGAAGAAAAGCTATTCTTTCCAAGGCTATTATGGGTCAAGAACCGAATGATTTCTCACTATTCTGGTCCCTTGTTCTCTCAGGAGTAATTTGACGTACTAGCATCTCTTGTATTTCTAAATTTCATAATCTTTTTCAGCAGTTCGATGAACTAGGCTAACAAATCCGCGTACATATCAAAGAAAACATACCGTGAGGTAGTTCTTGAAGTATCTGCGGATAGATGGGTCAAAGAAGAATGAATCATTGGAGGAGCTGAGACCGACACCTTCTTGCCATGCCCAGTTGACGTACTGAGTCTTCCCTCCATACGCTTGTAAGTTATTCACTAAGCTAAGAAGCAACCTAACACCATGTGTTTTTGCCTCTGCGATTACATGATCCAAGGCCTAACCACATTATATAAACTTCATCAAGAGAGAGAGATCAAACACCAAAAAGAGACTGAAGATTCAAATAAAATTTGTCAAAAAGCTTCCAACAAGGGGATGATGTAAATACTGAAAACCAGAGATTGCATTAGATGATAAATGCAGACAGAACTAAGTAATTGAAAAAGATGTTTATCCTTTTTCTATATCTTATCATCTTCGCTGGCATTCTGATTAAAATAAGCTCAACGAAGACTAATGTTCTTGCAAAAAGACTAAAACTTTATCTAAAGCAAGATCCTTAAGAAGCTTCTTGGTAATGTTTAAAATGATGAGAGACAAGAAGAAAAGAAGGCAATGAATGGATCGAGATACCTTGAAGACTCGCTCATCGAATCTGCCAGGAGAGATCTGGAGAGCGTTGTAGCCTCCATCATTGAAAGCCCAGGTTCTACAAACAGTGAGACCCATTTTGGCTCCAGCTTCAAGCATAGCACCGACACGGTGCCTGCTATGATCATTGACGGCGTGGTCCATGAACCAGTACGAGTTCCACCCATTCACATACAGAGCCTTACCATCCACCACGAATTGTGTCCCGTTCCGTCTCACGAACCCTAACTCGGCCTCCCCTTTGTAGTCGAACCACAAATCTCCAAAGGAGAGATAGATAAAAGCCACACATGTAAGGAAACCTAGGATTGGTATCAATGGCCCGTTCCCTGTGGCAGCCATGCTTCTTCTTGCTGTTTTTAGCTTCAGATATTTCACGATCGCTTGTGATCTCGCCAGTTTCCTCACCAATTTGGAAGATTTCAACTTTTATCAACACCCAAAAGATCAATGTGTCCACGTTTCGGAGAAAATCTCAGCTTTTGTTGAAACCCAGATCAAAAATGCTCTTTTTCAAATAAAATTTTAAGAAAAAAAACAAAAACAAACTAACAAGCATTCAGAATGAAAAATGAAAAATTCCCCGTTTACGCTTGGATCCCAAAAAACAAAAGGGAAATTGATGAATGCCTACACAAACAGATCTCTCTCTATCACTCTGTGCCGACAAAGTAACCTTATAACACGCCGACTCGGTTGGAGAACATCAAGTTCCAGAGCAACACACCAAGAAAGAGGTTAAGGATCTATCAAATCATTCACAAATTCAAAAGTAGATTCGTAGATATCTCCCCCACCAAAAGTTGCGTAGGTTTTGTTCCGAAAAGAAGAGAGACGTTGTGACAAAGAATGAGAAGAAGCAAAAAAAAAAAAAAAAAGGTAGCTAAGTAAGAATCAGAGATTTCACGCACTTTGATGTCTGTGTGGACAAATCAGGCGTGAATTCTGGAGGGGCTTTTTGCAGTAAAATGTTGGTATCAAATTATACTATTAACCTTTACATCTGCCGAGAGTGAACAAACCACAACCACACAACGCATTTCCTTTCGATTTCTCTCTTTGTTTTTTTCTTTTTGAATTACTGACTCTCAAAAATCACAGGATTAAACATCGTTATGATGGTGTTTATAATTGAATACTTTCTTCCAGTTGAATCAAAGCACTGATGATAGTTGTTATTTGTTAATGTCAGTGCAACTATGTGCTGTTGAAAAATCTCATTCAAACATTAAAACTGAGAGAGAAAAAAAAAAACAAATCTTTGTCTTGAATTTGTTTCAAAACAGTGTTTTAGTATACCAGACCACATGTGGGTGTCATTAGTATAACAGAAGTCATGTGGGTTCTTTTTCTCTTTGATAAACGTTCAACCATGTGAATCTCACATAATATAATACTTGTTTTAATTAGCATAAAATCTAACATATTGTATATTTGCTTAAATCATGAAAGAGTTAACTTTAAGTGTTTACCTAAGTAGAAACAGCAACAAAACACTGTCGGTGACTTTTTCCCATTATTAAAGAAATCATTGTATCGTTCGTTTTATTTAATTAATCTGCTTTCCTAGATAAGAAAAGATTTAAACTTTTTAAAGTATAAAGTTCGTCATCAGTATTCCAAATATATATATTGGTTCCTCTAAATAATGACGTCTTTTTCTTATGCTATTGCTGCGAATGGCATTTGGTGGTGAGCTAATTGATTTTCGTTCTACGTCGTATTTTATTTGGACAGATGATATATTACATATATATATATATAAATTATAGTCCATAAAGTAATGTTTTAAGGGTGACGAGAGAGAGAGAGAGAGAATTCTTCTTCTCCTGATGGTCTAATCACAAATCAAGAGGATTGAGTACAGGACCCGAGGTTGCTCAATCTCAAACAGTCAAACTTTAATACGATCCGAGGTATTGCTCTTTAAATCTTCAAAATCATATTTCATCCAACACTTTTTTTGGGGGGTAAACTTACAATAATACAAGTCATAAAAAAACTTAAAACAATTCTTTTTGGAGAGATCGTTTTGAAGAACTCCATAGTCCTTGACCAAAAAAAAAAGAACTCCATAGTACTCAAAGGAAGTCTAAAACGAGTTTAGATTTGTTGTTGATATTATTTTTTCAATGCAAAGTTATAATGATAATATAACTACAAACAGAGAATTAATTCAAAAAAGGATGTATAACTACAAAAAATACAAAATTACTGTCAATTTTTTACAACGATTTATTTTCAGTTGCAATTTTACGACGAATTAGCAACGAATTCGTTGTTCATTCGTCTTAAAACGATTCATTATAAATTCGTTGTAAATTTACAACAAATTTACGACAACTTTTTTTAAATAAAAGATTAATAATCGTCGTAAATTTGTTGTAAATTTACAACAAACTAATAACGATTATTAATTTTTCAGTTTAAAAAAAATAATCGTTGTAAATTTGTTAATATTCATTGTAAAGTTACAATGAATTTACAACAAAATTTTTGTCTTTTGAGAAAAAAAATATTTTACATAAAATATATATATATATATAATCTATAATAGTATGATCATATATAATTTATTCAATATAATAAAGAATTAAAGATGATTCGTTGAAAATTCGTCGTAAATCTATTTTTAAAAATTAACAACAAAATTACAATGATTCATCTTAAAATTGATGTAAATTCGTTGTAAACCAAAAATTACAAAAATCACACATCGGAAAGTTGGCAAAATCTTTGATAATATATATATAACAAACTCATCTATTTTATTAAAACAGAAGCACATTTAGTGCTTGCATCCAAACACTCCCAAACTTTTTTTATAATATTTTATTTTATTTTTATATTTAATTTCCAAAAATTAGTTATTAATTTAGATATTTTTAGATTTCCTAAAATCTAGGTCATCTTTAATTTAAATTTCAAATTATTAGAAATTTAATTAAATTTAGTTACAAAAATTTGCATTAAATTTAATTTAAATTCAAAAAAAATTATAATTAAATTTTATTACGAAAATTTAGATAATAATTTTAATACTTTAGAATTTCTTAAATACAGGAAAGATTTAATTTAAAATTTTAAATTTAAATAATATTTTTATAAAAATGTATAGTAAATAAATATTTTATCGTATTTTATCATAAACAATCAGTCTAAAATATTAAATATTTGAGATTAATAAATATTTATATTATACAATAATATGATCGAGCTGATTAGAGTTATATATATATATATATATATATATATATATAAGGTTCATGAGTTAATTTATTAAAACATGTAAGATATTAAGATGATTTGAGACAATTAAACTAACAAGTTAGTCCGTTTATATATATATATATATATATATATATATATATATTTTTTTTTTAATAGCACAAATAGTAAATAAATATCTTATTATATTTTTTTCATAATCAATTGGTCCAAATATTCCATATTAGTAAATATTTATAGGGTTATACAATTATAATTATAGTCTTATACGGGTTGTTTGTCAAAACAGTAAGATATTAAAAATTATTTAAGACAACTAAATGGATGGATTAGCAAATTCATAGATATATAGATTGTTTATGTGTAAATCTAAATTCACATAATAACAAAGTTTATAATTAACATTAGATCAATATATATTTAATTAACGTATACTCTTATTCTACTAATATACAAATTTTACTGTTTAAATTTAAAATATGATAACAATTTTTTAATTTTAAAAAATAAATAACAAAAATAAATTATATCTTAAACAAAAATAAATAAATGGAACTTATATTAGAAATAAAAAATAAAACATTTCCGTGCGGACGCACGAGATTTAAATCTAGTAACTATTAAATAACAAGATTATTAATCCACTTTCACCACCGGTTCAGTACACCACCGCCGGAGTCACCACTGTCGGAGCCACCATCGCCGGAACCACCGTCATTGGAGCCACCATTGCCGGAGCCACTGCCGCTGCCGGAGCCGCTGCTGCCGGAGCCACCGTCTCCGGAGCCACCACCACCGGAGCCAGCACGGCCGAAGCAACCGTCGCCAGAGCAACCAAAATAAAAAATAAAAAGTAATAAATAAAATAATAAAAATCGTTGTGAATCAAAAAATAATAAATAAATAAAATAATAAAAATTACTGTAAAATCGTTGTAAATAATAAAAATTATAAATAAATAAAATAATTAATATCGTTGTAAAATCGTTGTAAATTAGCAACGAATATAAATTGTCGTTAAATTAACTACGAAATTCGATTTACGACGATTGATTTTGGACGATTTGAATTTCTTCGTAAAATCGATACAAAGTCTCATTTATAATGAATACCGTTGTTCTAAATGACGTGTTTTCTTGTAGTGAACAACACAAAAACAACGATGAAAAGATAATATCCTCTAATTGGGAACGTCCCGCTCTGGGTACAATTAAGTGTAATTATGATGCTGCCTTTGATCCAAACTTAAGAAGGATAGTTGCTGGTTGGATCGCTCGCAATAACCAAGGTGTGGCTCAATTCTGGGGTTCTTCTAATCTGAGAACTGCAATATCAGCTTTGGAGGCTGAGGGTAAAGCACTTTTGTGTGCAATGCAAAGCGTATGGGCAATGGGTTTTGACTCCATTATCTTCCAAGGAGATAACGAGAGTTTGGCCAAAATTATTGAAGGACAACAAGAAGATATTTCAGTTCTCAATCTCGTTGATAATATAAAAAACTGGAAAAGAAAGTTTACTCATATAAGATAAACCATTCTATTACTTTTTTACCAGAGCAAACTCTCTCAGGCACCATCCCCGAGACTTTCCAAATATGTCTGAGATCCCCTTTCTTCTCCTTTCCCCTTTCCTCTGTTTTCCCGAAATACTAACCTCCTCCTTCTAACCACTGGTCCCTTCCGTTCTCCGCCGCGCGTCTGCTTCTCGTACACGCCAAGGAGACAATCTTTCATGCTTTTCAATGTCAACTCTCCTGCAGCAAAGCCTCAACCCTCTAGCTTTGGCTAAGATCTGGCAAAACCATCAAACAACAACCCCTTTTCAAGCGCATTTCCCTACTTTATCTAGCTCACGCTAAGTCTTTACTCAATCACAAAAACGTAAACCTTTTGATGATGTCGCTTCCTCTCTCCATGGAACAAACCTGAAGACCCTTAAGATTAAAGTTTGAAGACCTCTCCCTCCATCGGGAAGTACTTTTTCGCTGAAGTGTTTAAAGTCCGAAGACCTCTAGCTCGGTGCTAAGCTCTTTCTTGATCTAAGAAGCATAATCGCTTGCAACTCTTTTGAACTCTTGCATCCCAACCAACCCCAAATGGAGCGTCCAAACAAAGCTACTACCCTCTCTTTTCCTGAAGAAGATGATGAAATCATAGATCTACCTCATGTAGATAACTCTCAGCTCATAGCCCGTTTCAGCCGGAATCTGGTGGGGCGTATGTTTAACCATGATATCCGCAGCACTGACGCCATCATTGCCTTCATGCCTAGACCGAATATATGGGATGTGGAGGGGCGTGTGCACGGCATCGATCTTGGAAATTCCAGATTCCAGTTTGACTTTGACTCAGAGGCAGATCTGCAAAAGGTTCTAAACAAAAGACCATGTCATTTCAACAAATGGTCATTTTCTCTGGAAAGATGGATACCTCATGTAGGAGATACCTTTCCAAGCAACATGATTTCCTGGGTTAGAGTTGCCGGAATCCCTACTCACTTCTGGCTGGAGGATAACTTCAGGGCCATTGGAAGCAGACTCGGTGATGTCAAAGCTGTTGATGAACGTGCTGCAAGAGTTCAAGTCTCTGTGAATGCAGATGCCCCTTTAAAATTCACCACCAGAGCTCGTCTTCAATCTGGGGAAGTGGTTAAAGTTGAGTTAAAATATGAAAAACTTGAAAGGTGGTGTCTCACCTGCAGGCACATTTCTCATGATGAGAAAACCTGTCCTCACCTTTCTGAAGAACAAAGGAGAGAAAAGATGTTGGAGAGAGAGGCTGAGAGGAACTCTGCTCAAGCAGCCCGTGAAGAGCAGCTCCGTGAAAGAGATATTCTCTATCTGCGTCGGCAAGCCGGACAAATCTCTGTTCCCCTTCGTGAGAGAAACCCTCCCCCAAATCTCCATGATGATCCTCGAAGAAACTTTCAGCATCAAAATGAAGAAAGAAACGAGCCCCACAGAGAAAGAATTGATTCGAGAGCTTCAGAAGATAGAAGACCTGTAGAAAGAAGAAATCCAAGCGTTTGGAATAGGATTGAGCAAAATCCTGGTTATCAATCTGAAGCTAGACGCTATGAAAGACGTGATGATGATATCGGTTCGGGGCACAGTGAGCCGCCTCACAACTCCGACCTCTCATTCGTAAGAGACGATATGAAGATTCTTTCGCAGCTAGTAAAGGGAGAATGGAAAAGAATAAAGAAAAAGTGAGCTACCCTCCGAGAGACAACCGTTCTGATAAACTGCCGCCTTCAAAGCCTCCTCCGAAACCAAAGCAATCTTCTGACTCTCAAAGGACTCTCTCCGATCCTCCCTTCCAAGCCTCTATCCGTGCAAAGAGGGGAAATCTGTCTCCTGAGCACCAGAAAAGTCGCCCTTTCCGGCTTTCCCTCCTAAGCAAATCTAATGGTCTGGGAAAAGGAAAAGAAATGGAGGCGGGGGAATCATCGGAAGCTGGAAGCTCTGCAAAAAAATCTCTCCGATTTGATCTTGTTATCCCTGATAAACCTGCTTCCCATCCTCCACATGAAGAATCTTCTCATGGGAAGATCATTCCTTTTCAACCGCCGAGCAGTAGGAGTTGGTATGAGCAGACTCTGGAGGAAGAGGAGAATGGCTCTGAGCAGCTCGCAGAGGTGAGAGCCCCTCCTGCCCCGCCTGGAGCCCCTGCGGTGGAAGCGGGAATCGCTGATCGGGAACTCTCAAGAATTCTTCCGTTATCTGAAGAAGAACACATGGAGGTGGATAATCAAGTGGACACCGAAGAGTTTGAAATGAATGACATTATCGATGGTATAGCAGAAGAGGATGAGTGGATGGATGATACAGACCTCTTTGATGAGGGTGAATTAGATGAACTCCTGAAGAGCGACGATCTGCTAGGAGAAGAGTTAGCTGAAGGAACCGGTGAGGCTATCGGAATCATGGATCTGGGCAACCCCGATGGGGTACAAGAAAAGATGGCTGACGAGAACCTCGCCAAACAAGCCGCAAGTTGGTGGAGAAGCCCGGCGAAGCCTGAGTCGGGTGGAGAACTCGACGCTGGTACCGGAAAAGCTGGTCGCGCTAACGGCAAGAAGAAATCGGTTCCAAAATCGCCGGCGGCTATGGGAATATCGCTGAAAAAAAGAAGCTTGTTGGGCCGTATCTCGCCAAAAGGAAAGAGCAAGGGGAAGAAATCTGAGACGGGCCCAAGCCCAAGTAAAGACCAAAGTGAGAAGAACAAGAAGGAAAAAGAATCCAAGGCCCAAAAGGCTAAACATCCATCATCTTCTGGTACAGGTGGAGCCCAAAAGTCTGCAAACCGCCCGAAGTGATTGTGATTGGTTGGAACTATCAGGGCGCGGGAGCCGACCTGACGAAGGACCACCTTGAAGAATTGCATCAATGTTTTTCTCTTCGTTTTTTATTTTTATCGGAAACCAAGAACAATCGTTTTTTTATGCAAGATATGCAAATGTACTTCGGCTATGACCATGTTTGTACCGTTGAACCGAGAGGTCGAAGCGGTGGTCTAGCCCTCTTTTATATGGATGAACCCTTAGTTTTTATTTCTTATTCGGATTAGCATTTAATTGATGTAGAAACAACTCTAGACGGACATAAAATCTTTATGACATTCGTTTACGGAGATCCGATTGTAAAAAATCGAGAAATTGTTTGGGAGCGCCTCACTCGGATGAGCCTTTCACGTAAAGAGGCTTGGTTTATGATTGGGGATTTTAATGAAATTACAGGGAATCATGAAAAACGAGGAGGACGAAGACGACCCGAATATTCATTCATTCCTTTTCGAACTATGTTAGATAATTGTGGCATGCTAGACTTCCCTTTCAAAGGAAATTCATTCTCATGGGTTGGAAAGAGACGGTCGGGCAAAGTTAAGTGCCGTTTTGATAGAGCCCTTGGGAATCAAGAATGACACTCTAGATTTTCCCACTCGACTGTGGAGTACCTAAAATTATGGGGCTCAGATCACCGACCGGTTCTAGCTATGATAAGAGTGGATAATCAACGGCGAAAAAAATCCTTTAGGTTCGATAAAAGATGGCTAGGAAAGCCGGGATTTAGAAAGGCAGTTATCTCCGGATGGGGCTCTTTTGATGGAAATTCACGTCGAGTTTTCCATCGAAAAATAGCTGACTGTCCGAAGAATATCTCCTTGTGGAAGAAATCTCTCCCAACTAATTCTGAGAAGAGGATCAAGGAATTAAAAAACCAATTAGATGAAGCTCAGGATGATGAGACCACAACAACAGAAGAAATCGAAGCTATCAGAAGGAAATTATGTTCAGCGCTGCGGGAAGAAGAAATCTACTGGCAACAAAAAAGCCGTGAAAGATGGCACAAGGAAGGTGATAAAAACACAAAAAATTTCCATGCTATTACTAAACAAAGAAGAAGTCGAAACCGTATCATCGCCTTAAAAGATAAGAATGGAAACTGGGTGGAGAACGCAAAAGGCATTGAAAAGGTGGCCTCACAATATTTTCGGGAGTTATTTACTTCGTCACAACCCACAGACCCGGAAAACGCACTCCGGTATATTACCGAGAAAGTTACTGATTCTTTCAACCAACTCTTGCTAAAGGATCCATCAGAAGCAGAAATTAAAGAAGCCCTCTTTGATATTAATCCAGATAAAGCCCCTGGACCAGATGGGATGACGATTAAATTTTTTCAAAAATTCTGGCAGGAGACCCGTCTCGACATAATTAAATTGGTGAAAGACTTTTTTAATTCGGGATCTTTTGATCCTAGACTTAACCAGACAAACATATGTCTTATCCCAAAAAAGGAAAAACCGAGAGCAATGACGGAATTTCGCCCAATTAGTCTTTGCAATGTAAGCTACAAGATTATCTCCAAGCTGCTCTGCAAAAGACTCAAGAGGACTTTACCAAACCTGATCTCGGAAATCCAATCGGCCTTTGTGGCTAGACGCCTGATTACAGATAATATTCTGTTGGCACAAGAAAATTTTCACGCCCTTCGCACAAATCCCATCTGTAGAGAAAGCTTCATGGCCATTAAGACAGATATGAGCAAGGCATACGATCGGGTTGAATGGGGCTTCCTGGAAGCTCTTATGATTAAACTAGGTTTTTCTGAGAGATGGGTGCGATTAATGATGTTTTGCATCTCCTCAGTCTCATACCAAGTCCTGATTAATGGAGAACCAAAAGGAAAAATCATCCCAACGAGAGGACTTCGGCAAGGAGATCCCCTATCCCCATTTCTCTTTATCTTGTGCACTGAGGCTCTTATCTCACTCCTCAAAGGGGCAGAGGAGGAAAATCGCATTTCTGGGTTAAAAGTAGCCCAAGCAAGCCCTTCAGTCTCACATTTACTTTTCGCCGACGATAGTCTCTTCTTCTGTAAAGCGGACGTCCATCAGAGTTCTGAAATCTTTGAGATTATTAATACATATGGATCAGCCTCGGGACAACAACTAAACTTAGGCAAATCATCCATTATGTTTGGGAATAAAGTGGACCAGAACCTAAAGAGTGCTATCAAAAATTCCGTTGGAATAACTTTAGAGGGCGGTATGGGAATGTATCTAGGCCTCCCGGAACAGATCTGTGGATCAAAGAGGAAAGTTTTCTCATATGTCCAGGATCGGCTGAGTAATCGCGTCAATAATTGGTCTGCAAGACTTCTTTCCAAAGGAGGAAAAGAAATTCAAATCAAATCAGTCGCTCAGGCCATCCCTACGTACGTCATGTCATGTTTTCTCCTACCCCAAGGAGTGACTGATAAATTGCGGAGTGCCATCGCCAATTTTTGGTGGAGCACCAAGCGGAATAGCAGCGGAATCCACTGGATTGCCTGGGATAAGATTTGCATTCCCCATGATATGGGAGGACTTGGTTTTAGAGATTTACAAGACTTTAATTTAGCCCTTCTAGCTAAACAGCTATGGCGACTTATACAATACCCTTCATCTCTCTTAGCTTGGGTTCTGAGAGGCAGGTATTATCGACTATCTGATCCCTTAGAAGACCGGAATGTCTACTCTCCATCTTATGGGTGGCGGAGTATCATGGCCGCAAAACCACTCCTTAAGATGGGCCTGAGGAAGACAATTGGCTCGGGTCTAAACACGAGAGTTTGGAGCGAAGCATGGATTCCAGACCTCAGGGCTCGCCCGGCGATCGCCGCCCCGCAAATAGGATACCAAGATCCGGCAAGATACGAAACAATGGGATGTCCCTCTTTTGAGAGAATTTTTCCAACCCGAGGATGTCTCCCTCATACTTGGGTTGAGACCTAGCCGCAACCGAACTTTGGATGGATATGCTTGGAACCACTCCAAATCAGGACTTTACACGGTTAAGTCGGGATATGACCTGATTAGGAGGACTGAGTTAGACCGGGATGCTGGTGCAAGAATCGGACCGAGTATCACAGCCCTTCAAAGCCATGTATGGAAAGTCCGTACATCTGGGAAAATGAAACACTTTATGTGGCAATCTTTATCAGGGTGTGTCGCTACCTGCCAGAATCTCACCTACCGACATATGGGGTCTGACAAGAGCTGTCCCCGATGTGGCGATCCTGAGGAATCTATAAACCATTTACTGTTTTTATGTCCCCCGGCCTTGCAAGTCTGGGCGTTATCGGACTTTCCGTCCCTTCCGGGCGTCTTCCCGAGTACTTCTATTTATCAAAATATGAGCTTTCTCTTTTGGAAAACAAAAGAGTTTGGCATGACATATCCTCATAAGGATGTATATCCTTGGATCCTATGGTTTATCTGGAAAGCTAGGAATGACATAATCTTCAAGGGGAAAGACATCTCCCCTGAAGATACTTGGGTCCACGCCAAAGTGGAAGCGGAAAGCTGGAGATTGGCGAATCGACGGGAAGATGACATCGACCCTTTCGCTGGGACGATAATCTCATCTCCTCCTCTGATACCCCCATCCGAGGTCCCATAAATCCCGATATGCCGGATTGATGCCTCTTGGGTCAATTACAGACCGGTCAGTGGTCTCGGGTGGTGGCTAGATGATGGCAGGGGAATGGTGATTTCTGGCTTACAAGGATGTCGCAGATGTCTCTCGGCTCTTCATGCAGAGATGGACTGCCTCCTTTGGGCTATGTCGTGCTTGAGAGATAGACGGATTATATCGGCGCATTTTCAGACTGATTGCTCGGATTTGCTGAAAATGACTGAATCTCCAGCAGATTGGCCATCTTTCATGACAGAGTTAGACGCCTTCCGGATCCTTCGAGAGAGCTTTGCCGAGTGGACTTTACCATATATCTCGAGAACTTTAAATGTCTGGGCGGATAATCTTGCAAAAGGAGCTCGAGCTAGAGGAAATATTTTCTCCCAAATCAATCATAACATGCTAGTTGAGGATGGCCTGCGGATCACTCCTCCGATTAGCCAAATGTGATGTATAAATTGGGTAGTGGAAAAAAAAAAAAAGAAAGTTTACTCATATTTCATTCTCACATGTCAAACGAAATGAAAATACAGCTGCACATTTGCAAGCTGGTAATGGTTCTCCAAACAATACCTTTTTCTCAGATTGTATTTATCTGCCAATATGGCTTAAAAAAACGTTGTATTCTGATTTTGTGACATCAATCTAATATATATATATCTATATATATATATATATATTTTTTTTTTTGCTGAAAAAATATAATCTATTATATTAAAACAGAAGCATATTACAAACACTCCCAAGGTTTTTTAAAAAATATTATTTATATATTTATAAATTTAATTTCGAAAATTAGATATTAATTTAGATAACTAAAAATGTCCTTAAATATAGTTTATATCTATATTCTATAGATATTAATTTAAATAGACTTCCTTAAATATAAGTTAGATTTAATTTAATATTTAAAATTTAAATAAGATTTTTAGAATAACACATATGATTAAGAAATATCTTATTATATTTTTTAATCATATTCTATCAGATTAAAATTTCACATATTGTAAATAGATAAATATTAATATTATATAATAATTTGATGGAACAAGTCAAGTTTTTTATATAATATTGTCTTATCCGGGTTAGGTTATGAAAGCATGTAAGATATTAGGAGAAAATTATTTCAAAATTAGTAAATAATTATATTATAAAATAATATAAACAGGCGGGTTAGAATTATGGTTTTATAAACATGATTTTTTCGTATTAATAAAATGAACGAGTTAAAAATATATTTTTATAATAACAATCACTTTCTGATTAATAAAATAATCGAGTTTAAATTATATTTTTATGATTATGATAGTCATAATAATACTGAAAAAAAAAATTATATCTAAACATAAATTCTTTTTATAACCACTTATTAAAAAATTATATTTATAAAGAAAATATAAATTTTAATTAAAATAAAATTTCTGTGCGGATGCACTGTGTAAAAAATCTAGTTACTTTCTAAAACATCAAGTTATACCTTGATAAAACCATACTTTTGTAGAGCTAATAATTTGTTTTTCACCAACGCGTGATGATCTTCTTTATATTTAAATTAATGGTGCAATGTGGAAGAGTGAGGCCTAGATGGAAGCGACGATCGCAAATCTAGTTGCTGGGCAATTCTTCTTTCTGGGAATGCAAAAATGCTTAGCATATGACGCCAACCTTGTAGGAGAGTCAAGGATGACACTTTCAGAGCTTACAAATTCATTTTGCTTGTCTAATATAGAATTTATCAAAATGAGAAGTTATTGCCTGAGTTTTCATATTTATATTGCAAGTAACTATCAAAATTATTCGTATTCGGTCGGACTAAGGACTTCGTCATGTACTACATATATATATATATATATATATATATATAGGATTTTCAAAAATGATGAAGTATTCCAAAACGTTAAAAGTTTTTAAAAATTAAAAACTTTAAAATTTGATGCTAATAATATATATTCCTTATTCAGTATATATTATATATTCACACATATATTTGGGAAAATGTCCTGAGTTCACTCCATAGACGGCAAATCTACTGTGAAACAAAGCTAGACACATGAAAACATTGATCTAATGTTTATTTTTATGGTTATCTGACACTCAAGTTAGTATGTTTATTTTATTTTTATTTTTGTCAAAGGACTCAAGTTAGTATGTTAAATAATGACTTGGTCGGAAAAAAAAATGTAAGAACAATAATAGAAACTGGGTTTCATTCTACACTGACCTAGAACATAAATTAAACCACGGCATAAGGAAATATCAAGGCTACATAAGTACATATGATACCAAATATTTAACAGTTTATTGTAGTAGACTCCAACTAATAATGTGTGGATTTGACTCAGTTTGACATCACTACATCTATTTAGAAACGTTTTTTTAAGCTATGACATTGTCTTCTTCTTTATTTGTCGTCACTATGGCATTTGTCTTCGATTTTTTCTTTGACATTGTCTTAAAAACACACACATTTACAGTCAAAACAATTTATACCAAGAGTAAGAGACATAAAATTGATGGTAATAAATGTGAAAAGAAAATTTCTTTATAATTTCCTAATAAATGTATTTTTATACCATTTTCGATTTTATAAAATGAATTAAATCAGGTTTTTGGACCTCTCTTTTTAAACTTGTTGATAAAGTCTTTTTTTTTCATTATTATCCTTTCTTTTTTTGGTTTGCTTGAAGGGAATCTTGAATTATTATTAGAATATTATCGAGTATATCCGGATATGTTCTGAGAAGCTCACGAGATTAGTCATGCTGACATGTATACTAGCTGTCTTGAGCAATCATTCATCCTCGAGATCTGACACGTCCTCCAATCACTGTTTGACACGTCACCACCAATCCTCTCTTTCGCGGCGCCTTGTATCTGTTTCTACGATTTCAGAATGGGTCCCATCTCCTTCTCTCCTCACTATATAAATTCTCCTCTTCGTTTTTCTTCAAACCGAAAATAAATAAAAATAAAAAAACAAACAAACAAAAAAACAATTTTTAGTTTCGCATTTCTTTTTAAAATAAAACCGATGGATCGGCAAAATTCCGATGACATCATGAGATTTCTCGATGGAATGGCTAGCTCCGACGACGTTCTCTTCGGTTTCCTCGACGAAGGAAACCAGTCTCCGGAGGATTTCTCGGACTCCGGCAACCTCAACGGCGGCGGAGATGAAGACGACGTCGACGACAATACCAATTCCAATTCTGAAGAAAACAGAATTTTCTGGCAAGAACAAGAACAGCTTCTCCAGGTAATTTTTTTTTCTTTTCCTTTCAAAAATCAAACCTATAATTAATTCTTCGTCATTTTTTTTTGGAGTAATTGTTATTCGTCATTTTTAGCCGATAAATTAATTTGGGGTCTAAATTTGGTTTGGGCTTAATGGAATATTGTGTAGGGGACACTGTACAGGACGAGTTCGATCGAGACAAAGATTAGACAAGCGACAAAGGAAGCATTGAAACAAGTTAAATCAAAGGGTCTTCATTGTGTCTGCCGGCGACCCGTGGCCGGTGGTTGCCGGAGCTGCTTACGTGGCGAAATCTCCAGGCATCTCCGAGATGTGGCCGGCTACGATTGCTTCATCTCCAAATCCAAGTGGAGAAGCTCTCAAGACATCCCCGCAGGTACACATCAATCACCTTTTTTTTCCTCTTAATTAAAAGTAGTTGCTCCTCTCAATAATTCACCCATCTTTATCATATTTTATATTCTTAAATGGACAAACATTATATGTGGTGAGTCCACAAGAACACGAAAGATTTCTTTAGACCCATTCTTTAAATTTGTTACTTGTGTATCAAGCAAAAAATCGTATTCTCTCAACTCTCAACATATTATATCTTGAATGGCATAAATGAATATTTGGGCTGACGTTCGAATTTTATTTATAAAAAAAAAAAACAGGGGAGCACGAATACATAGAGATTGTGGACCGAACCTGTTCGAAGAAAGGAGAGATGCGAGTGGTGATCGAGTTATCGTTTAGGGCAGAGTTTGAGATTGCAAAAGGCGGTGAAGAGTACAAAAGACTAATCGGCCGATTGCCGGAGGTTTACGTCGGAAAAACGGAGAGGCTTAGATCACTGATCAAGATCTTGTGCATGGCGGGGAAGAAATGCTTGAGAGACAAGAAAATGCACATGGGTCCTTGGAGAAAACACAAGTACATGCAAGCCAAGTGGCTTGGCACGTGCGATCGATCCAGCTCCTTGGAAGCTGCCGTTTCCGATACGACGGAGCCGGAGAACTGGGTGCCGGCGGTGAAGCCTAGGGTTTCTATGTTGAACTACGATTGTCTTTTAGGTAGTTTGTCCGCCGGGATGGGCCGTCCTGCCGCTGTAACGGTCGTATGAGTGATTTGTCTTGTCTGTATGATGATGACTTGTAATTATTAATTGATTTAATTAGGGGAATTGTGAGTTTCTGATTTGGAGTTAACCGGAATTTACCTCAACGACGTTGCCTATTCCATGGTTCTCTGATATCCGATCCTCGACTTTGTGTAACCCAATTGATGAAGAGACCGGTTAGGTCATTGGTGCAGCTAGCAGGACCTCAAAGAGTGAGATATTTTTGTAACTATTTTGCGATTTTTTCCCCATAGATTGTATACTACGAACAGCATTTAGAGTTTACAGTAACATTATAGATAGATTTTTTGAATTTCGAGTTGTAAGGCTAAACATTACGTATGTTACATGTATATGCATTCATTTATAAATAATATTCATTTCTAAGGCTAAACTTTCCGTATGTGTATTCACTCATTTTGGTATCAGGTTTACTCTAACTCCCTAGGATATGTTGCCGGTTCAGAGTCGCTCATGCCCAAAGTTAGGCTAATAACTTTGGAAGAACAAATTTCGCCATTTTCTTTTTAAATAACGTATCTTCATTTTTTTTTGTTAAAGAAATAATGTACGTACTGTATATTCTTCTTTTAATTTTTTATATATTTTAATTTTAATTTTAATTTTTATTTTTATTTCTATTTGTATTTTTAACGTACGTATATTCATTCCTTCTTGAAGTACAAAATATTCGAGGTGAAAGAGAAGAACGAAGAGAATACCGAACCTAACGTTAGAAACAATTATTACGATAAACATTCACCGTAAACAATCTCGTGTGTCGTGGTTAAACAACAATGAAATTGTAATGTGACTGAATTGATACTAATTATTGAAAATGAAACAAAACACACCAAGATAAAAAAGAAGAAGAAATAGATGGAGGGTTTGCATGTGTTTAATTCGTAAACCGGTAACAATTTGAATGGACATCACAACGTCGTCGATGTGGGTTATCCGGTTTAGCACGTCGTCGCTTATCTGGGACGTCCTTCTTCAATGCATCGTAGCTTATATGTCTCGACGACGCCAATTCAAGAAGAATCATACGGCGAACATCCAAACCTGATCTCATCTTCATGATCAATTCTTCTCCACCGTCGATGCAATTGCCACCCAACCGGTCACATTTCACCTGCCGAGGCTGGACCAGCGCTGGAAACAAAGCCGGTGAGATGATCACGGCGATGATCAAGAAGAGCTTCTTATAATTCATCACTGAGATCGAGTCAAACGAGAGTAATGGAGGGTGAAGCCGTGAAGGATTTGTGATGATCACAAATTGATTGTGATGATCACGGTATTCTACAATTTTGTGATGTTTCGTTTCTTATTCCATGTTTCATAGAATAATTGACTCAGTAATTTGACTAATTTCAAAATATCTTCTTTTGATTTTTTTTTTAAAAACTGATTCTGTTAATTAATTACACTATTAATTACGGCAAATAAAAGAATCTTGATTAACTGAACTTGCTTTGCTCTATATGAAACTGAACTTACTTTGCTCTATATGATGGTGAAATGCTTAATTAACCAGTCAAACAGTCAATATTAATTAATTTCCATAGACATTAATTGATTGTTCAACAACATCAAGGGATGTACTTTTTTAACCCTTGTTACCAAAAGAAAAAGAAAATTGTTTTAGTAAAAGAGAGAAGAGAAGATTTTTGTGTGTATTATTCCAAGAATAATGAATCCCTTATATAGGGGTATATACAATGGTTTAGGTTTAATTTGGAGATAAAGTAAACTATCTAGGAGATAAATATGAATTGATACACAAATAAATCTAGAATCTTCTAGAAGATATGGACATCCATAAAAGAATATTCATAACACTCCTCCTTAGATGTCCATTCTGAAAAATGGTTTGTAATGCGTTTAAGATGCTGCCTCATTAAAAACCTTACTAGGAAAACCCATTGGGAAAAACTATAGTTAAGGGAAAAAGAGTGCAGCACGCATTACTCCCCCTCATAAGGACATCAATCAAGATCCTTGAGACGGTGCAATCCAATAAGATCAACTAACTTTCTGAAAGTAGCAGTTGGCAGCGCCTTTGTGAATAGGTCTGCCAAATTTTCACTTGAACGGATCTAAAGAACTCGAACATCGCCTTTCTTCTGCAGCTCATGAGTGAAAAAGAACTTTGGTAGAATATGTTTTGTCCTATCTCCTTTTATGTATCCGTCTTTGAGCTGTGCGATACATGCGGCATTGTCTTTATACATAATGGTTGGGGCCTCTTCCCCTGCAGTTATACCACAATCTCTTCGTATATGATGAACGACAGACCTTAACCATACACACTCATGACTGGCTTCATGAATAACCAAAATTTATGCGTGATTAGAAGAAGTGGCTGTGATGGTTTGCTTCATAGAACGCCAAGAAATAGCAGTACCACCACATGTGAATTCGTATCTTGTTTGCGATCTAGCGTTGTGGGGATCAGACAAGTATCCAGCATCTGCAAAACCAATCAAATCCTCTGTAGATGGGTTAGGGAAAAATAGACCCATGTCTTTCGTACCTTGGAGGTAACGCAGTATATGTTTAATCCCATTCCAGTGCCTACGAGTAGGACATGAGCTAAATCTTGCCAACAAATTTACCGCAAGTGATATGTCAGGTCTTGTATGACTAGCAAGATACATTAATGCCCCTATTACACTTAAGTATGGTGCTTCAGGACCAAAAACTTCTTCATCTTTTTCAATAGGGCGGAAGGGATCCTTTTTCACATCAAGTGATCTTACAACCATTGGACTACTCAAAGGATGTGCTTGACCCAGAGAAAATCTTTTAAGCACTTTTTCTGTGTATGTCGTTTGATGCACAAGAATTCCGTCCCTTAGGTGCTCAATTTGAAGTTTCAAACAAAATTTTGTTTTTCCGAGATCTTTCATTTCAAATTTTTTTTTTCAGATACTCCATTGTATGTGAAATTTCTTAAGGAGTTCCAATGATATTTAAATCATCAACATACACTGCAATTATGACAAATCTTTCCTCAAATCTCTTTATAAAAATGCATGGACTGATAGGGTCTTTTTTATAGCCTTCTTTCAACAAGTAGTCACTGAGGCGATTATACCACATACGCCCTGATTGTTTCAGCCCATAAAGAGATCGATTCAAATTTATGCAATAATCCTTTCGAGAATTAGACTTTGCTTCTTTTGGAAGTTTAAATTCGTCTGGGAATTTCATATAAATATCAGTATCCAGTGGACCATATAGATAGGCTGTGACTACATCCATTAAACGAAAACCAAGTCCTTCTTTAATTGCCAGACTGATAAGGAACCTGAAAGTAGTTGCATCCACCACAGGAGAGTATGTCTCTTCATAATTAATTCCAGGTATTTGAGAAAACCCTTGTGCAACTAAACATGCTTTGTATCACACAATTCCACCATTTTCATTTCTCTTTCGCACGAAAACCCATTTGTATCCTACTGGATTTATACCCATAGGTATACTGACTACCGGTCCAAATACTTCTCTTTTCGAAAGATATTTCCATTCTGCATATATTGCCTCATTCCATTTTGGCCAATCATTTCTTTGTGTACACTTTACAATAGATTTTGGTTCTTGATCCTCATCCATAACATCAACTGCTACATTGCATGCAAAAATATCATCGACGTCGATTTGCTTTCGATTCCATCTGATTCCAGACATGACATAATTAGTTGAGATCTCATCATTATCAAGTACCTGAATTTCTTTTTGCGTCATGTCTGATGTCTCTTCTGGACATCTTTCATTTGGGATAATTACCTCGGCTTCATCTTTGCCAATTTCTGCTCCTTTTCTTTTTCGAGGTAATTTATCTTTGGAACTGATAGGTTTACCACACTTTAGGCGTGCTTTAGACTCATTAGCAGTTTGATTTTGTCCTTCTTGGACGTTCATTCTTATTGGAGCATTTTCAGCTGGAATGTGTGACTTAGTCACTCCTTTTGGGTCTGAAAAAACGTCTGGCAATTGGTTTGCTAGGCTTTGCAATTGAATTATCTTTTGGACTCTAAGTCACATTTTTTAGTCCGAAGATCAAGATAAGATAATGATAATTCATTCCAGTTAATATATTTTTCCAGCTGTTTGTTCTCTCCCCCTAATGTTGGAAAGACAGACTCATTAAAATGGCAGTCTGAGAATCGAACCTTGAATAAATCTCCTGTGGATGGCTCTAGATACTTAATTATTGATGGGGGATCGAATCCAACATATATCCCTAACCTTCTTTGAGGTCCCATCTTAGATCACTGTGGTGGAGCAATCAGAACATATACAGCACATCCAAATATCTTAAGATGGGAAATATTAGGTTCTTGACCCAAGATCAATTGTGATGGGGAGAGCCGATTATTACTCGTTGGCTTGATGCGAATCAATGCTGCTGCATGTAATATGGCGTGCCCCCATGCAGAGATTGGGAGTTTTGATTTCATAAGTAATGGTCTAGCAATCTACTGAAGACGTTTTATCAACGATTCAGCTAAACCATTTTGTGTGTGAACATGATCTACAGGATGTTCAACACTTATCCCAATGGACATGCAGAAATCATTAAAGGCCTGTGACGTAAATTCACCAGCATTGTCAAGGCGAATTGCTTTTACAGGAAAATCTGGAAAATGTGCTCGTAATTTAATCAAGTAAGCAAGTAGTCTCGCGAATGCCAAATTGCGAGTTGATAACAAGGAGACATGTGACCATCTGGTCGGTGCGTCAATTAGAACCATAAAGTATCTAAAAGTTCACACGGTGGATGAATCGGCCCACAAATGTCTCCTTGAATGTGTTCCTGAAAATTAATCGATTCATGAATTATCTTGGCTGGTGAAAGCCGTATGATCAACTTTCCTTGTGAACAAACAGCACATGAAAAATCATTGGGAAGAATCTTTTGGTTCTTTAATGGGTGTCCACAGGAATTAGTGATTATCTTTCACATCATTGTTGAACCGGGATGGCTCAACCGGTCATGCCAAATAGTGATGTTTTCAGTCTGGTTTACTATGGCATTTGCCTCAATTGTACTAATCATAGTGTAGTACAATCCAGTGGACAAAGCGGGTAGTCTTTCTAAAATGTTCTTAGAGCCATTGGTAATACTTGTAATCTGAAGGTATTCAACATTTCATTCACTCATAGTTTCAATATGATATCTATTTTTACGGATATCCTTAAAGTTCAATAAATTTCTTTGAGACTTAGGAATACAATGCATCGACAATTTTGAATTGCGTTCCCATAGGCAATATTATATTTGCTTTTCTAATGCCTTCAATTATCTTTGCATTACCCGTTACAGTACTCACACTAGCCTCTTTCTTTTCCAAATATGAAAAATATCTTTTACTTTTCTGGATAGTGTGGCTAGTTGCGCTTTGACTAGTTGCGCTGTCTGCTAAGCATAAATCTCTACCATCCATTTTCTTCAAATAAATAATATAAATCATATCAAAATAACTTTATTAAATAAATAGAATTCAACCATGTCTTAAAAGAGAGCAACAAAAACACCAAAACATAAAATAAAAGCTAAAAACTAAATAACTAAAAACCAAAAACCAAAAATCCAAATACTAATAAATTAAGAACTAAATCACTGTTTCTCATTTGTGACAAAATCGGCCAGTTTCAGATGAGTGGTTTTATCATGATCAAATTCTTTTGCACTTAGAGAAAATTTTGCATCTTGTGCCCATGTCAAATAGTTGTCACCAGTGATATTAAGAACTTCAAATTCAAGGCTAGTAAAATTCGACATTTTTACTGAAATAATAAAACAAACAACATATATTAATTTATTCCTATCATGCCGTATAACTAAGTTCTCACAATTAACTTAATCAATGAATCCATAAATATGACCATGAAAATAAGAAAGCGTATGATTTATCTAGAAGAGTACAAAATTATAAGTCATGTGCTGGTCATGCAAAATTTGGCCTCGTAATTTTAATGCAGGATTCATATAATATACTAAAATTGACGTGTATGGTTCACAAGAAAAAGACAGACATGGTTTCATGCACTAGGATCTACGACTACCTATAGCAAGATGTTTACTAAAAACTAGTATAGATTCGTAGATTAATTAGCATGTGATATATCAAAAACAATTCTGTAAAAACAATTAGTAAACAGATTTGTGAGCAAACCTTGAATAGATCTAAAAATATTCTTTGCAAAATTCATATTTAGAACAAAATATAGTTGTGCATATATTTCTATTCCTTTAAAACATGTTGGGTGATTTACGAAAACAACAAGCTATATACAATTTTACCTTAACAATTAAACATGACCACAAATTCATAAATAATATAACAATTGAGCAAAGCGGTCGTGACTTATTAAACGTACACAAAACACAAGCATGAAAAAAAGAAGTCTCAGATCTATTTTTAGCAAAGCTCTTTCAAATTCTTTTACCTGAAATAGCTAATTTTCTTCTCCATCCTCCAATTCTGGCCAGAAACCACCATGGTTCTACACCTGCTTCTCATCGGAGGATCTTGCTTTTTTTCTTTGCGCCGGTCAATAATATCTCTACTTCAGTGTTCTTCTCCATACCTTCCATCGTCCACATTCTAGCTATATGCTATGCTTTTTTCTCAAGACAAAAGCTTCTTAAAGTCTTCAAAACTGGTTTCATCCTGCACTGATTCTGTCTCCACATATATCGGATCTGAAGAACATCGACCAAGAATGAAGACTTCTCCTTCCTGGGAAGTAAGACCTTAATGGGTTTCTCTCCATGGAGATGTTATACAAAATCATCACCAATACCGGACAGTACTCTCAGATCCAGATCCAAAACCTCTCCGCCCAAGCTTGAAGACATCTTCCCTTTGGAATGTGATTTCTTCTACCTTTTACTCTAAACCATCGCAACTATCTAGCTGGGTGCTAAGTTTTTATGATACACTTTTTTCAAGAAACCATCGAGAAAGCCTTTCTCCAAGCCTTTTTTACTACACTTTCACCAATGTTTTGCTCAGCGAGATCTCTATGCAGGAGGAACAAAAGAGACTGGAAATAGAGCAGGTTATGCCGAGGGAAGGAGATTCTCCGATTCATGATGAGACATGGGAAAGAAGGCCAAAAGTTTCTGATGTCAAATCTGAGAAAATCCCTGGAACGGGAAAACCTGAAAAATCTATCGGAAAGAAAAATCAGGTGATGAGATTTCCAACGGCGATAAGTGTTTTCCGGCATCCTTTGGAAAATACCGTGCTGACAGAGACTGAAGCAGATTATGAGAATTTTGCTGATATCGGTAAATCCAGAAAAATTCTGTCGAAGGAAAAACAATTCCACAAATCGCTGGTAACCTTGGGAAGCCCGCGGGTGAAGCGTTCGCTTGGTAAGGGCCGTAAGTCCCCAAAAGCAAAAGGAAAAGGCAAAAGTGCAGGACCTGGGCCAGGCCCAAGTGAAAGTAAGAAGAACATATCTAAGGAGAAGAAGTCTCGTTAAGGCCCAAAAGTCAAAACAATCATAATCATATAGTGTGAGAGGAGTCCAAAAAATATAGGAAACTGTCAAATATGAACGTGATAGGATGGAATTGTCAGGGGGCGGGAGCCGATCTGACGAAAGATCACCTAGAAGAACTCCATCACTGCTTCCAACCTCGGTTCTTATTTTTATCAGAAACTAAGAACAATCGCCCTTTTCTGCAAGATATGCAAGTGTATTTTGGCTATGACTATGTTTATACCGTTGAACCAAGAGGTCGAAGCGGTGGTCTAGCTCTTTTTTATATGGATGAACCTACAGTTTCTATTATTTATTCTGATGAACATATGATTGATGTTGACTCAAGTCTAAACGGGCATAAAATTTTTATGACTTTCGTCTATGGTGATGCGGTCATTAAAAACCGAGAGAATGTTTGGGAACGTTTAACAAGGATGAGCGTAAACAGAAATGAAGCCTGGTTTATGATAGGAGACTTTAACGAAATAACCGGAAATCACGAGAAACGGGGAGGCCACAGGCGTTCTGAACTCTCGTTCATCCCATTCCAAACTATGATAGCTAATTGTGGAATGCTTGATCTTCCTTACAAAGGAAATTCATTCTCTTGGGTGGGAAGAAGACGCTCAGGCAAAGTCAAATGCCGTCTGGATAGAGCACTTGGAAACGAATAATTTTTATCTATTTTTCCCCACTCATCCACGGAATACTTGAAACTCTGGGGATCAGATCGACCAGTCCTAGTTATGATAAAAATTGAAAACACAAGGAAGAAAAAACCCTTTCGTTTTGATAAAAGATGGATTGGAAAACCAGGATTCAAAGAGACAGTCTCTTCCGGTTGGGGCCCTTTTGATAGAATCTCACGTCGAGATTTCCACCTGAAAGTGGCCCGATGCCGGAAAAACATCTCCATCTGGAAAAAATCTAATCCGACTAACTCGGAAAAAATGATCGAAGAATTAAAAAATCAATTGGACTTTGCTCAAGATGATGACAATACAATGCTAGAGGAAATCGAAAACATTAGGAGAAGACTCTGCAATGCCCTCCGGGAAGAAGAAATTTTTTGGCAACAGTAGAGCCGGGAGAAATGGCACAAGGACGGAGATAAATACACAAAACTCTTCCATGCGCTCACTAAGCAAAGGAGAGCTTGCAACCGCATCATCTCCCTCAGAGATAACAACGGGCAATTGGTGGAAAATGCAAGAGGGATTGAACGGGTGGCCTCCACGTATTTTCAAGAGCTCTTCTCCTCATCTATTCCCTCTGATCTGACAATTTCACTCCGGGTTATCATCGAGAAAGTATCAAATAATGCAAACCAATTACTACTGAAGGATCCAACAGAAAAAGAAATCAAAGAAGCTCTTTTTGATATTAACCCGGATAAAGCTCTTGGGCCTGATGGAATGACAGGTAAATTTTACAAAAAAATCTGGACTATTCTCCGCCAAGACATAGTAAAACTTGTTAAAGACTTTTTTCGCTCTGGAACTTTTGACCATAGACTCAACCAGACCAACATTTGTCTAATTCAAAAAAAAAAACAAAACAAGAGCGATGGCAGAATTTTGTCCGATCAGTCTTTGTAATGTGAGTTACAAGATCATATCAAAACTTATGTGTAAGCGGCTCAAAAAGACATTACCTAACATCATCTCGGAAACACAATCGGCCTTCATGGCTAGACGCCTTATAACGGATAATATCTTGTTAGCCCAAGAAAACTTTCATGCACTCCGGACCAACACCGTCTGTAGAGAAAACTTTATGGCCATAAAGACATATATGAGCAAAGCTTATGATCGGGTTGAATGGAGTTTCATCGAAGCCCTCCTGATTAAGCTAGGTTTCTCGGCGAGATGGGTTGAGTTACTTATGTATTGCATCTCCTCGGTTTCATACCAGGTCCTTATCAATGGAGAACCTAAAGGACACATTAAACCATCGAGGGGATTAAGACAATGAGATCCTCTATCCCCGTTCCTTTTTATCTTGTGCACAGAAGGCCTGATTTCTCTCCTCAAAGGTGCTGAGGAATAAGAACGTATTTCTGGGCTGAAGGTGGCCCAAGCAAGCCCTCCAGTATCCCACCTACTATTTGCTGATGATAGCCTGTTTTTCTGTAGAGCAAACATACAACAGGGAACTCAGATTCTCAGAATATTAAACACTTATGGAGCGGCATCGGGGCAACAACTTAACCTGGGCAAATCATCCATCATGTTTGGAAATAAAGTGGATCCGAACCAAAAACGAACTATTAAAAATACCATCGGCATCTCGACAGAAGGTGGCATGGGCATGTATCTAGGCCTCCCAGAGCAAATCTGTGGATCAAAGAAGAAAATCTTCTCTTTTGTCCATGATCGCCTAAGCTCCAGGGTTAATAATTGGTCTGCAAGACTTCTCTCCAAAGGCGGAAAAGAGATTCAGATTAAATCAGTGGCTCAAGCCGTTCCGACCTACATCATGTCTTGCTTTCTTCTTCCACAGGGGATAACAGATAAACTCCGTAGCGCCATTGCCAATTTTTGGTGGAGCTCGAAACAAAATAACAGTGGAATACATTGGATTGCATGGGACAAGATTTGCATTCCCCAAGATCTGGGAGGCCTTGGATTTAGGGATCTTAACGATTTTAACCTAGCTCTGCTAGCTAAGCAGCTATGGAGACTCATTCAGTATCCGAACTCTCTTCTGGCTCAAGTGCTAAGAGGAAGATACTTTCGACAATCTGATCCATTAGAGGACCGAAAAGTCTACTCACCATCTTATGGATGGAGGAGTATGTTGGCTGCAAAACCGTACCTCAAACAGGGACTCAGGAAGACAATTGGGTCGGGACTCAACACTAGAGTTTGGAATGAACCTTGGATCCCTGATGTTAGAGCCCGGGCTCCAAGAGCAGCCCCCCAAATCGGCTTTCAAGACCCAGGAATGCTAGTATATCATCTTATCCATCAAGATACGAAACAATGGGATGAGCCTCTCTTAAGAGTCTGCTTCCAACCAGAGGATATCTCGCTTATTCTTGGGTTGAGACCTACTAAGAACCGTACCCTAGACGGATATGCATGGAACCATACTAAATCAGGGATATTTTTGGTTAAATCGGATAATGATTTGATTAGAAGAGTGAAGCTTGCACAAAATACAGATGTAGTGGGAGAACCAAGTATCACAGCCCTTCAAAGTTATGTTTGGAAAGTACGAACACCTGGAAAAATGAAACATTTCATGTGGCAAGCTTTATCAGGATGCATTGCTACTTGCCAAAACCTGACCCGAAGGCATTTGGGAACTGATAGGCGGTGCCCCCGCTGCAGGAACCGTGAAGAATCTATCAACCATCTTCTATTTTTATGTCCCCCGGCTTTACAAATCTGGACGTTATCGGACTTTCCGTCCCTTCCAGGCCTCTTTTCGAGTACCTCTATTTACCAAAATATGAGTTTCCTCTTTTGGAAAACAAAAGAGTTAGGTATGACAGATCCACAAAAGGATATTTATCCTTGGATCCTATGGTATATTTGGAAAGCCAGGAACGTCAAGATTTTTAACGGAAAATAAATTTCTCCGGTAGATACCTTAATCCACGCAAAGATTGAAGCAGAAAGCTGGAGGAGTGCAAACAAACCGGAAGTAGACGAGGACGCAATAGACAAGACTACTCCCATTCCTCTAACTCCGTTATCTCTACCTGATGCCCAGAGGTTCCCGATCTGCCAGGTCGATGCATTCATGGATAGAGAACGGTCTGGTGAGTGGGCTCGGGTGGAGTCTGAGGAAGGAGAGGAGTGAAGAGATTTTTGGCCTTCAGGGCTGTCGGAGAAGTCTTTCGGTCCTTCATGCCGAATTGGAGAGCCTCCTTTGGGCAATGTCTTGTGTGAGAAATAAACAGATCATATCCGTCTACTTTCAGACCGACTGCTTGGATCTGGTAAGCATGGCAGAATCTCCATCAGACTGGCCATCATTCATTTCAGAGTTGTAAATCTTTTGGACATTACGAGAAAGCTTTTTGGACTTCACTATCTCCCATATTCCCAAGAGTTCAAATGTCCGAGCGGATAGTCTAGCAAAAGGAGCTCGAGCAAAAGCTTTATCTTTTCCCAAATCATTCATAACGAGTCAGTTGCGGGGGGCTTTCGGACCATTCCCTTAACAGACTAATAGTGATGTAATAGTTGGGTAATGGAAAAAAAAAACACAAGCATGAACAATAAAATAATATAGCATATAAGGATCAAGGATGCATTAATTTTTAGCAAGCGGCGATTGATCATGTGAACATGAAAATAATATTATAAAACCGATCCGTGTTTATAATATTCTCTCAAACAGGTTCGCATATATATGTATATGTAAAATACGAGATGCTCGCTTATGATGCTTATGAATTATGAGGTTACTAACCTTGTTGATTAACAAGAGAGAAAAGGAGAAAATTGGAGAGATCGGATGTTTGAAGGGACAAAGGCAAAACCTTAGTCGATTAGAATTTTGTGCTTGATAACGTGTTTTAGTAAAAGAGAAAAGAGAAGATTTTTGTGTGTATTATTCTAAAAATAATAAATTTCTTATATAGGGGTATATATAAGGGTTTAAGTTTAGCTTAGAAATAAAGTAAAATATTTTAGGAGATAAATACGAATTGATACACAACTAAATCTAAAATTTTCTAGAAGATATGGACATCCATAAAAAAATATTCATAACAAGAATTTATTATTACTTTATTATTATTATCTAAAGTTAGACTCGGTCCAATGAAAATGTGATTCGAATGAAAATAATAACTCCTAGTCATTTCAATAATTATCAATCAAAATCTCAAACAAAGGTTATAAACTAAAAATGTGTATTTATTTATCATATATTTTCTAAAGAAATTTGGCCTAGTAAAAACCCCAAAACAAATGTATAATGTTTACATTCATGATGTAACAAAAACAAATATGCGACTTTTAAAAACAAAACAAAATTGTTGATTCTAGTCCTTTTCCGCTTGTTCTTCGGATCCGACATGTTTAGAAAGATTATAAATTTGATGGAATTTTAACAAACTATTGTGGGGATTTGACAATATTAATCTATCGACTCTTAGGGTTGTTTTTGTTGTTGTTGTTGTTTGACACAGTGACTTATTGCAATTTCAATGTTGGTTACTTCCAATTACGTAAATCAAATAGTTCAAACCATGATATTTCCCATTTTTAATGGAACTTCTGTGCATGATGTCATCATATGAATTGGAAGAATAACTCGAAATCATAAGGAATGCGCAGATGATTTCTCTTTACGACGACACTTTTGTCCATCACGTCTGAAATGTTTATATAATTGACTTTGTACAAATAATTGACATTTGCATATGCATATGCATAAATATCGGTCTAATTATTATTTTGTTAAAAAAATCATAAATATGAAGATCAAGCTAAGACTAAAGACGAATAAGAAGATTACTGTGCCAGAAGAGAAAAAGAAGAAGATTAAACTTGAGACGCAGAGTGGAGAAGATGGGTCTTGAAGAGTGAAAACGTTACAAAATAAAACAAACTCCTTTCCAAGTTCCCAGTTTTGTTCGCTTACTTTCCTTTTCCAACAAACAAATACTAGTAATATAGTTTAGAGCTAGGGAAAAAAGGTCTCAACTTTCTCGAGGAGGAAGAATCGGAGAGTCAATTGAGAATCTGGAACGTTCCTAATTGAGAGTCTTAACCTCTATCTGGGTTTGCATTTTTCAAAGTCAATTGGCATTTGCTGCGATACGAATGTGCAAAGTCTTTTTCTTAAAAAAATCATCTAGTTGCCGTTTGGTGCATTACAGAGAATCTCTCCTTATTGGTTGGTCACAAAGCAATAATTTTCGTCTTGCAAAAACCTCAGTTTGTTGGGCTCTCACTTTCTCTTGAGCTAATCTGTTCCGATTTGATCTTCCTTGTCCTCTGTTTGACTTCACTTGAAGCAACCTCCTTTTTTCTTTCTCTCCTTTATGTCCTCCTGATGGATGGATTGTCGTCTTCGGTGGTGTCGTCGATTACGCGATTCAGTTCTGATCCAGCCAGATCATTCTCATGGGGTTTTGGGGTTTTGATGATATGAAGAAGCGGGCTAATTTGGAATTAGGGTTCCTGGGGTTACGTCTTCTCTTCTGCTTGTCGATTTGGTTTGCGGTTTCTCAACAAGCGCACGGTCTGAGACCCATTAGGGACACCGCTCGATCCTGGGGCGACGAGGTTTGTGTTGATTTCTTATTCTGTATCAGCTGCTATGATTTGATGCTTTAGCTGATGAACGCATCAAAAAGGTTGTTGTTATTGTGATTCCCAGTAATGTAAAGGAGTCCCTTTGTTTAGAAATTTCTGATAGTTCAGAGTCTATCTAGGATAAGATCATAAGAATGAGATACTAGATATAGAGAATCTCGAATGTGCAAAGAGAATTATCGGGTTTATGGCTGAGATTGTTTTTGTCATCTCGCAGTGGCTTTTTGGCAGAAAAGAAAAAAGTGGAGCTGGACCATTTTCCGCGTGGAATATAACAGGAACATATAGAGGTTTTGTTTTTGTTGATGTTGCATTGTTGAGTTTGTTTCTGCTTCAGTATCATATCCTGCTTTTTCAAGGATGATCATGCCCGTGTTGTGTTACAGGCACCTGGAAATTTCTTGATACCGTAAATAGCTCCTCAAAGTTCCCTGACTTCCGAAAAGAAAATGGTAACTCTGTCATCGAGTTAGTGACAAGTCCAACAAAGATTACTGGTGTGCATTATGTTCAGGTGATTAGTTATTCAATATTCTGCATCATGGAATCATGCTTTCATCTCGTTTGCAAAATCAGAACTTGTGTCAACTTTGATTGGGAACAGGGTGCAGTTGTTTTCCATGACGTATTTGACAATGAACACAATGTGGGTGGTGCCCAAATTAAGGTGGAAGGTGTATATATTTGGCCCTTTAGGCAGCTTCGTCTTGTTGCTAACAGGTATGTCTGCATATTGATTTATTTTAACTGCCTTTTGAGATTCAATATTGATAGAGCTTAAGGTTTTGTACATTTCATGACTTATCAGCGGAAAGAAGGGTGATTCAGGACTAGAAGACGATTATCTTCTCTCCAACCCCTATCATCTGGTAATGCCCGATATGATTCACTTTGCCACATGATAGTGCATCATTATGCTGATTCCTTGCTATCTGTATTCTATGTATTAACCTTTTCTGCTGTCGGACAGCTCGGAATTTTTTCGTCTCAAGTGTTTCAAGAATCTCCAAGAGACGGAACATCGAAACAGAAGACTTGTGAGTGGATCTAAATGTGTTTCAGTATGATGTACTTTGCTGCCACATCTTACCTTGGATTGTGTTGTGTTTCAGCTCCAATATATGAGATGGAGAAGCACTGTAATATCGAAATAGCAGCCCAGATATCCCGAACCGCTTCTAGTGAAAATAGTATGTATGCCTTCTAACATTATACTTTGAAGTGATGATTCTGGCTGTGTTCTTACCATATCAGCTAAGAGAAGTTTACTTAATTTTGGTAGATGGGGACAAAGATTATTATCATATCGAAGGATTGATGGAAAGTCCTGCAGTAGATGATGACGGAGAATGTTTCTCGCCCTTGTTGCTGAATGCAACCTCCATAAACGTTGAAGTCTACTATAACAAAGCTGTGAACTATACATTGATGGTCACTTTTGTATCCTTTGTTCCAACCTCGTTTCCATTCCATCACAGAATGACAAACACCATCACAGTTTCTAGTGGGTTCCTTAACTTGTTATTGTACTTAGGTCTCGTTCCTCCAGGTTCTTTTGTTGATCCGGCAAATGGAGCACAGTAACACACAATCCGTAAGATTCTCATGTTTGATAATCTGATCATTTTGAAGGAAGAGAATGATGCCTAACATTGGGATAATTTTTCTTGTATACAAGGGCGCTGCAAAGGTCTCTATTGTAATGATCGGGCAGCAAGCCATCATGGATTCTTATTTATGCCTTTTACATCTCACAGCCGGGATTTTAGTTGGTATGTACTGTATTTCAAAGAAACCTCGCTCCTCGTCACATTTTGCTGGGAATTATCGTACACTTTCATTGAAGTATCTGTTTCTTGACCTTGTCATGCTTTTCTCAGTCATTCTGTAAACTGATATTTCACTATCTCTTTGTTATGCAGAATCACTGTTTAACGCTTTTGCAACAGCTGCGTTCTTCAAGTTTGTAGTGTTTTCGATATTTGAGATGAGATATCTTTTGGCCATATGGAAAGCAACGCGTCCTTCAAACAGCGGTGAGGGATGGGAGACAATGAGGCGTGAGCTCTCCTTTCTGTACAGCCGCTTCTGTAAGTATTCTCTATTTCTTCTATAAGTAAATGCTTCAGATTCTCACAGAGATTTGATGTTTCCCTCATTGTAATGATTTTCAACAGATGGAATCCTTCTTGGAGGCATATTGATAATGTATGAGCTCCACAACTACATGCGGCCGATCCTCCTCCTCATGTACTCATTTTGGATTCCGCAGATAGTTGCAAACGTTGTTCGTGACTCTAGAAAGCCTCTGCATCCGTATTATATACTTGGGATGACGGTCACACGGGTTGCTATACCGTTGTATGTTTTTGGATGCCCCAAGAACTTCATGCGCGTGGAGCCCAGCAAGGCCTGGTGTATAGGCCTGTGCACATTCATCGGGTTTCAAGCTGCTGTTCTTCTTCTTCAGCATTATTTCGGGTCGCGTTGCTTTGTTCCTCGGAAGGTTTGTTTGTGGTTCTGATACCTTTTTTTTTGATCAATAATGAAATTTGCTTTAGATTGTTTTGATCAATAGCTCATGTGTCTGTTTGCTTCATATGCTGCAGATGCTACCTGAGAAATATAGCTACTACAGAAGATTTGATCATGATGTAAACCGAAGCAGGGACTGCGTAATCTGCATGACCACAATTGATCTCAGGCACCGCAACAATGATTGCATGGCAACGCCGTGTGAGCATTTGTTCCACTCGGGATGCTTACAGAGATGGATGGACATAAAGATGGAGTGCCCTACTTGTCGTCGCACACTTCCTCCAGCTTAAAAGTATCTATCTTCTCTGCTTCTTCGGTTTCCCCTAGGAACCCATCTTATCAACTTCACCCACATTAATTGCAGGTAACAGATTTGGCTAATTTGGTTTGCCTTGTTCTGCATTTTTCTTTTTGGTGTCCCTGGAAAATGAAAAAAAAATGAAAGGGGCTTCTTTGGTTTCAGGTCTTGTGAAGATATTAGACGAAAACAGAGCAGAAATCTGTAGAGACTGCAGAACAGACATTTGTATGAATTGTGTAATAATCCAATCTTTTTAGTGCACTTTCGTCGCCTCTTTAGGTCATTCTTTCAGTAGAATCCTTGAACATATACAAACAATCATTTTACCTTTCACAATATTTTTGACGTTAAACAATTGTTTATATTATCATATATACCAACACGGCAAGATTTTTCTTGCGTCATACTTTTGAACACCACTGAACCTAAACCCCGTTCTGTTTCTTGACCCTATTAGGTTTTAAATGCCTTTAAATTTCTTTTCCTATAATTGATTTATCATTTGCAAATTACTTGAAACTTCTGGAACAAGTTATTCAAACCTAGGATTTTTCTCCCTCTTATCTCTCAAAAATTCGTGTTTCTTAATGGCGGCCGGCGTTTACGCGACGCCGTTTTCTTTCTTTGTTTCTCTGTCTCATGTTCTACGTATTGTATCTCCAATTAGTGCTCCCGGCTCTCTTTGTTTTCCAGAAAAATTGTTTATCATTTTCACTATTTTTAGATAACTAAAAATGTTGAAATGTACCGATTAAATTATTCACAACTGGTCCAATCTGGATCAACCACGCCTGATGGGTTTAATGGCTACAATGCCATAAATTGAAAAAAGTTAATTTGATGTGCCATAAACATGTATGTGTGCCATAATACACATGTAATTCCTATTTTACTCTTAATAAATTTTTTTGTGGCATTCCTGAATTTAATAAAAAAGTGATTGATTTTTTATTTAAATTGAAATTAATAATCAAAACGAAATAAATTTAAAAAATAATTTTTTTAATTTTTTTTCTGTTTCTTCTTCTTCGTCAACGTTTTGTTGATGGATTCTGAAAAACACCAAATCTCATTCTCGCCGTCAAACCCTCGCCTCTCCTCCTCTTCTTCATTCTCTGTAATCACTTTATTGTTTTTATTTTCCCTCTCCACCACCATTGTTGAAGTTTCAAATCCATTTAGGTTTTTGTTTGGAGATTTGGGAATTTTACAATTTAGGGATTGAATTTCTCAAAATTGCTTGTTTGGTATGTAAATCGGGTTGGTAACCTAGTTTATGTGATGATTAGGTCTTTGCATAGATAATTTATCAAATATAGTTGTTGAATCGTAGTGATTCTTAGGTATAAAATCCGAGTTCATCACCAAATCTGCAGAAGAGGACAACTGGTACGAATGGTACAACTAAGAGATAAGAGAACAACTAGTACAATTGGTACAACTATGAGATAGAGACAACTGGTACAAATAGGTATAACTAAGACAACTTAAATAATTGCTGATTGAAAATTCTTTTATTATATTGAAAATCGGGTCGGTAACCTAGTTTTATATGACGATTTTGCATGAATAATTTCTTAAATATAGTCGTTGAATCGTAGTGATTCTTAGGTAAAATATAATTATATCTGAGTTCATCTCCAAATCTGCAGAGGAGGACAACTAGTACAATTAGGTACAACTATGTACAAAAATTGACGGCACACATAAATGCAAATGTTATTTTGATGGATAGTGACACTTAGGTAAGTCAATCTAATCTAGAGGATTTCATTTTTGGCGGAGAATACTTTCTGGATGGAAATAAACAAGGTACAATTGGACACATATGTACAACTATATGCAATTCTTTCATTAGAAAATAATAGTGATAAACTATAAATATAGAAAGCAAACATTCACTTAAAAAATGTAAAAAATTTATAAACTATAAGGAATAAAATTAAAAAGATGGATAACATGAAATTTATCATTTTTCTAATACATATTATTGGTTTCACATCCAACACCCCTTATGATACAAAGAAGACTTTGATAATGTTAATAATCTTATGATGGAAAAGAGCCAAAATTATGATTTTGCATAAATTGTTTATGAAAATGTTGTAAATGGACTACAATAGTCAAAAATCATGTGGACAACTACAAAATAATAATTTATATCAAGGGACAACTGGAAAAAATACTAAAATTGTCAAAGGACAACTATGAAGAATTTTGGACAACTGGACAACTGAGTACAACTATGTATAAAATTGACGGCGCACGTGGTACTTTGACTGCACACGTGTCTCTTTTTGTCGGCGCACGTGCGTCTACGACTGACAACATAGTTGTACCTAGTTGTCCAGTTGTCCAAAATTTGTAATAGTTGTCCTTTGATCGATTTTGTAGTTTTTTCAGTTGTCCTTCGACATAAATTATTATGTTCTAGTTGTCCACAAAAATTTCGAACATTATATAGCAGCCCCAAGGTTTTTGCGTCATTATTTTTCTATTTCCTATATTTTGGCATAGATGCTTGCATAAGATGGATAACATTGTCAAAGACTTTATTATAACATAAGGGTTATTTCAAGTGAAACCAATAATATTTGGTTCTTTGAACAAAATAAAGTAAATAATTTTAGAAATTTTTTTAACACTACAATTAAAATATAGTTGTCCCAAGTTGCACCTAGTTGTCCTGGAGAAATTCATAGCGTAATTGTACCTAGTTGCACCTAATTGCCCTGGAGAAATTCATTAGTAATTGCACCGAGTTTCATCTAGTTGCCCTGGAGAAATTGAAAATAGTAATGCAAGAAATCAAAGAAATCCAAAAAATTCGAAATACAAATAACTCCAGAATAAATAGTAATACAATAAATCAAAGAAATCCAAAAAATACAAAATACAAATAACTCCAAAATAAATAATAATGCAAGAAATCAAAGAAATCCAAAATACAAATAACTCCAAAATACACATGTACACTCTAAGGCTGAAATAAGTTGAATCCTTCATTCAGCTGTACCTTTTTTAAAAATTAAGGAGTTATAGATAATTGTATATATGTGTCTAACTGTACCTTGTTTATCCCTATTTTGGAAAGATTTTCTCTGCTAAAATGAATAATGTGGCTATCCAGAATGAAAAATTTTCTGCTTAAATGTAATTTGTTTAGCTAAAATAAAATCTTTTCGGATAAAAATAAACCCGAAAATATACACAAATTAAGTCTACATGCTACTTTTGCTCTGAGACCATTTATCTAATTTATTATCCGTTTTTCGTCTTTCGGCGATTTTTTTGGAGAATAGAAACCACTTTTTTTTTGGTCTAATTCGGCAGTAAGACAAACAATTTTTGTATATTATCAGAAATACTCCACTTAGTTTCATTTATATGTGAAATTCATTCTTCACATAAATTATCTACTCCAAAGTTGTTTAGTTTCATATATCGCAATATTCTTACATACAATATCTTATCTACTAATACCAAATAAGTTATCAGCTCCAAATATGAGGTATTAAATGATATAAAATCTATTGAATTGTCTGTGTGGTTGATGCTCATTATCTCTTGAAAATATAATAAAAAAAATTCTCAATTAACAATTATTCAAATTGTCTTAGGTATATCCATTTGTACTAGTTGTCTTCTATCTCGTAGTTGTTCTAGTTGTACCAGTTGTATTAGTTGTCCTCTTATCTCTTAGTTGTACCTTTCGTACCAGTTGTCCTCTGCAGATTTGGTGATGAACTCATGTATACCTAAGAATCACTACGATTCAACGACTATATTTAAAAAATTATTCATGCAAATACCTATGTCATATAAAACTGGATTACCAACCCGATTTACAATTATAATAAAGGAATTTTCAATCAGCAATTATTTAAGTTGTCTTAGTTATACATATTTGTACCAGTTGTCCTCTATCTCATAGTTGTACCAGTTGTACTAGTTGTCCTCTTATCTCTTAGTTGTATCATTCGTACCAGTTGTCCTCTTCTGCAGATTTGGTGATGAACTCGGATTTTCTACCTAAGAATCACTACGATTCAACAACTATATTTGATAAATTATCTATGCAAAGATCTAATCATCACATAAACTGGGTTACCAACCCGATTTACATATCAAACAAGCAATTTTGACAAATTCAATCCCTAAATTGTAAAATCCCCAAATCTCCAAACGAAAACCTAACTGGGTTTTGAATCATCAAAAATGGATGGGGAGATGAGATAAAGACAGAAACTGATTGCAGAGGATGAGTAAGCAAGGGTTGGATGATGAAGTTGAGATTTTGGTGGTTTTCAAAATCTGTCGATGTTTTAACGACGAAGGAGAATAAGAAAAAAAGAAATATAAGGAGAATTAAAGAAAATTAATTAAAAAATTAAAAGAAATTGCTGGAGAAGAGAAAAAGAATTTAGGTAATTAATAAATGAAAAATAAAATGGGTTATCAGGTGGGTTGAATTCGGGTGGATATTACCCTGGTTTTTTTGTTAATAACTTGACATATAAAGAGAAATGAAGAATTTCCAGGGTTAACCTTATTAAAAAAAAATCGAAAAGAAATTAATTATTAGAGTGATAGCATTTTTGTCTGTTTTGTAAGGATTTATGGCTTTTCAGCCGAGCGCTCCGCCTAATGTCTCTGACATGAACCATCCTCCCTCACAAAATGCGTGTTACTTGAGAGGCAAGCAAAGCCTCTCAATGTTTTTTACACAAACAGACTTTACAGAGACTCTTTAACTACCCCAAATTCGAAATAATTACGAAGAACATAAAGAGACACGTTGTTTGGTGAGTAACTCGTTAAGCTTGTTCATGAGCTTAGGATCAGAGCATAAATACTCTTCCATAGTCTTTCTCAGATTCCTCAGTGTCTCCGTGTCATCCCCACACGTCTCTCTGTTGAGCAGCTTCGTGAACAGTTCCTTCCACAGATCCACATTCCAGTATCTGCAACGTCAGATCGAGCAGACAACTTGGTCAAATCGCAAGAGACGAAACAAGAAGTAATTGACGCAAAGGTTCATTAATTTTTGAGAAATAAGCGCACCTTTTAAAAGAAGTTCTTGGGAAATTTATGTGGCCACCATCGAGTGCCTGTTTCTTTCCAACCTCCATGTAGGTGTTGTGCAGCATCATGTGCACGATTACACAAAGTCCGTAAGTGTCCACCTATACAACACATATTCCAATAGCCTCGATTGGTTTAAATTCTAATCATGCAAAGACAAATTCTTGCTGAAACAATGGGAGTGAAAACGACTTGCCTGAAACTTCCAAGGTTTGTTCTCCTTCATCTCCGTGCAACGAAAGCCTGAGGTACGACAATCGCCAGTAAACTCGGTGGTGCTTGGAAACAGGCTCAAGTCTATTCCTCTACCCCAGTCGACAAGACAGAGACCCTGAGTTTCGGAAATGTCAAATTTCATCAGATTGTAGATTTATATAACACACGAATCACAACTACTAGTTGTATAAGTGATTTACCTGATTGCTCGAAGAACCTGTTTTCTCATGAAATCCAGTCTCAGTTAAGTTTTCTCTGCAAGTAATTAGTGAGGTATCTCAGTTTCTGCTACGATTGTGACTGTAGAAGTACATGGCTTCATGATAAGAAAAATATCTTATCTATAAACTAATAAGCAACTTACGGAGGGTATCGAATCAGTAGATTGTCTGGCTTGAAATCACCATGAATGATTCCAACGCTGTGCAAAGATTCCAGCATGTACAGCATCTCTATTGTGTAATACATGCACAAAACTTCTTCCATGGACTTGCCAACAACGACATACGAGTTTATGACGTCCTTAAATCACGCAAATAAGGCAAATTAAACAGGTGAGTATGTTGCAATTCTACTATTCCGTCAGTAAGTGTCCACAGAAACCTACCTGGAGTGTCCCGTGTGATAGATAATCGCACACAAGTATACTGTAGTCTGAATACACGTGCACTCTCTGAGCCAACCCAAAACTTGATCTCTAACATATAGCATGAAAGTAATAAGTATGGTGTGAAAGTAACGCCTGTGACCTAGTAAGATCAATGGAAAAGAGCATACTTGGTTCTCTGGGATCCTGCAATCAAGCTGGCGATACATTTGGAATTCCCAAGGGAAAGGTGGATTTTGTACCTGTGAAGAGAGGAGTATAAGTTGGCTGATGTGAGCTACCTGACAACTGTGTCATTTGGCATATTACTGTATTTGAGGGCCTACCTTTAGAGCAACTACTTCATCAGGATTGCTGTCAATGTATGCTTTGAACACTGGAGCAAAGCCACCTTGACCAGCACAACCCTTGATCTGGTACTTCCTTCCACCTTGCAAATGTATCTTATTCAATATTTTTATTCTTTTTTCTCAGAAAAGAAACATCACCCAAGGTGATAACATAGCCGGAATCAATTCATTTTACATGAATGAAAGATGGAAATTGTATAGCCACGAAAGCTGCTGATTAGATTCTGAATTTCAGAATTTAGATTACAGGTAACTTCCACAGCTCTGACTTTGAACAATGAATCTTAAAATGTAAGGTAAACATTCTTTATCCCGCAGAATAGATTAGTATGAAATTTTTTTACCTATCTCAATGATCTTATTTCTGGAAAAATTCTGCAAAGTTGACAGGTTGGCTTTTCCAGGAAAACGTTTGTTGCTTATATAGTAACCCTGATGCAAACATAAAGAAAGAAACTCAGTGGACAAGGCTCCCTATGTTTGAATCATGATTTGCTATTCGTCTTACATCATATTTCACAAGCTCTGGTTTTATCTTGTGAAGTAAGTCTTCCACAGTGGAGGTTGCCCAGGGATTTACAAAACCCGTCCCAGAGTCAGTGGCCTGAGCATCATTACCAACCTGCCAGAAAGAAAAAGTAAAAAAAAAAAAAAGGAAAATATAGAAGGGAAATTCCGTTCAATCCTCAAACAAAGCTATCAATGTGCAACTCGTATTAGAGAATAAACCTTTTCAAGGGAAGATGATTTGGTCCTCTTTGAGATTCTTTGTAAGAACAATGAGTGTGCCTCTTTTAACCTGTGAAATGGTTCAGCCTTCCTACATTTCTCCAAGATCAGAAATGAAATTACTAACTAGAGGAAGGAATAAAAATTAAGTATTTAGGAAAGGGGGCAGCAAAAGGAGAAAGATAAGAGACCTGGAAAGACCAGTTCGATAAACCAAATTAGCTCTTCGCCATAATCCTTTGGCCTCGAGAAAAATAGCATACCATTCATAGAGCAGCGAATGCCCTATGCATATCTCGTTCTCTTCAACTTCTCTATAAACACTCTCAAAATCTTCACTGCCCTCAAGCTACAACCACCAAAAGTGATGTCAAGTGTGAAAAAAAAAACCAATTTGATAATAGAAAAACCCCCAAATTATGACACCCATCATATATATTTAACAATCCGAAACCTAAGAAGAACTCGAATCAACAACAAAGGCAATTCAAGGAATCGAGAGCCCATTGAAGCTGGAGAGAGTATGATAAAGGATAAGGGGTAATTACGTAGAGAAACCAGATCTTGAGGAATCTGACGTCATTTCTGTAGCGAGCGTCTTGCTTGTATGTTGAGATACAGTCATGTAGAAGCTTATCGAGATTTTCGCCGGAATTTCTACCAGAGAGTAGATCTTCCGTCGAATTTTTAATCTTCCTGAAATCAAATGATTGAAACCCAAATACATGGAAAATCAGAAACTCTTACGGCATAATTGAAAATATGAACAGAGAGTAACACGGATTATGAATTACTGAAGCCATAGGAAGAGCGGGTCGTCGGCAGAGGTGGAATCGCCGGCGGTGTCTCTGTAACCGATTGCCATTTTTGTTGTTTTTTGTGTTTCGCAGTGTGTGTGTGAGAATGAGATAGTGGGAGAAAGAGTCCACTCTCTCAGAGGAATAGAAGAGAGAGAGCGAGAGGGAAGTGAAAGTTTAATTTTTAAAAAGAAAGAAAAAAACTAATTTTAGAAATTCAAAACTTGTTGGACCGAAAATGTTTTCTAGCCCAAGAGAACTAGTGGGCCTATGTGTTGTATGTAATGTGGCCTATTATGTCTTGAGAGAGAGAGAGAGAGAGAACTCCATTAACGAACATGTTTCTCAATGTAAAAAGACCATCTAACATTAATAACTCAGTCCATATATGCAAACTACATTTTAAATCACTAAGATTTGTTTTTCCATCAAAAATGTCTAGGACGATGATGTGTTTCAATGATACCATTTTTGTATGTTACAATAATGCTATAAACTTTTGTGTGTCGGCAACGTGACGTGAGAATCTAGCAATAATACTATTAGAAATATATATATTTTTTTTTTTGGGGGGGGGGGGGGGGAAGTAAGGAGGAAGAGTGGAGAATTTGTTTATGCTTTGCCTGAAAAGAAAAAGAAAAAATAAAAGTGTGAAACGGGACGGAAAGAGAAGAAAAGTCGTCGGCGGAGAGCGCGTCAGCAAAAAATGGGACGAAGGGAAGCAGCGTGAGCATTGTTGTTCATAAATAAGAGAAGACAAGGAACCCATCTCTATCTTTCTCTCTCTCTCTCTTCCTATTTTGAATCATTCCACATTTCACATTCACACAAAAATCCTTTGTCACAAATGACAGGCCGAGAAATTCTCCATAAGATGAAGGTACGCTCAACCAAAGTGACTTTCTAGGGATCCTATCCTAGATTTTGTGATCTGATCCTTTTTATGTCCTTGTCCTGCTTCAGAACCAATATTTTGCTTCCTTTGTTCTAACTTGCAAGTTTCTAAGCATGTATATTGAATTAGCATATGCTTGTTTTGGATATTATGTTGCCCCTCAACTGAAATGACCACAAGGATGCAACTTAATTGGGAATTGACTGATTCTTGTACAGCTTTTATTAATCTCTTGAGTTTGTTTGCTTCATTTTTGCATTTGATGATGTCTCTATATATATGCTCTCTTTTTGTTTAGAAATTAGGCCAAAGCAAGCCAGGATATTATTACAGTATATGTTGCTCTAAGTGGAGAATTCTTGCGTGTGATTAATTTGGTTTCAAGAATCTGCAAATAGACAGTATCTAGTTTATTCATGGATCTCTTTAGTTTCTTGTGTAAACTCTTCTTTTTTGCTTTTTTTTTGGCTGTGAATAATAATAGTTGAAGGCTGGATTCTGCGGATCTGAAACGGGGAGAGGTAAAAGCAAGATGTGGAAGAACATAGCGCACGGTTTTCACTTTGTCAAAGGCAAAGCGAGCCATCCGATGGAGGACTACGTTGTGTCTGAGTTCAAGAAAGTTGACGGCCATGAATTGGGTTTGTTTGCCATCTTTGACGGTCACTTGGGCCATGATGTGGCCAAGTACTTGCAGACCAATCTCTTTGACAACATTCTCAAAGAGGTACATACTAATATTACTGTTTTTTAGCAAGAATCAAATCCCTATGTTTTGTGAATATTCCTATCTCAAAAGTGTTTTCTTTTGTCTTTTTTTTTTCCCTCAGAAGGATTTCTGGACTGACACTGAAAACGCTATAAGGAATGCTTACATATCAACAGATGCTGCGATATTAGAGCAGTCGCTTAAACTTGGCAAAGGCGGATCAACGGCTGTGACAGGAATCCTGATAGATGGGCAAAAGCTAGTGGTTGCTAACGTTGGAGACTCAAGGGCAGTGATGTCAAAGAATGGCGTTGCGTCTCAGCTCTCGGTTGATCATGAACCAAGCAAGGAACTTAAGGAAATAGAGAGCCGTGGTGGCTTTGTATCAAATATTCCAGGTCAGTTTATACACACAGTTTCTTACCTCATCAAATCAGGGTCCTCTGCTCAGATGGATGAATTGACGGATCCTTGAAATGTTGCAGGGGACGTTCCAAGAGTTGATGGACAACTAGCGGTTGCGAGGGCGTTTGGAGATAAGAGCTTAAAGTTACATCTGAGCTCAGAACCAGACATCACTCACCAGACAATCGATGATGAGACCGAGTTTATCATTTTCGCGAGTGATGGAATCTGGAAGGTATATATTTGATCTCTTTGTATCTTTTTAATAACATATCATCATCAGACAGTCTGATGGAATCTAAATTTTTTAGAATTTTGGGACAATGTGTATTGTGTTAACCTCAGGTGATGTCGAACCAAGAAGCTGTGGACGCGATCAAAAGCATAAAAGATCCACAAGCGGCAGCAAAGGAGTTGATAGAAGAAGCAATCGCTAAGAATAGCAAAGACGACATCTCCTGTATCGTTGTAAGGTTCCAGTGCTAATCATATAAAGCTTATTTCTCTATAAGCAAGTTTTACCAATCAAGTGTGTAAGAGACAAACAAAGACATTTTTCAGTTAATATAAACGCTCAAGCTGTGTGATCTCTTGTATAACCACCATTGACAATAAAAAAATCTCGCCAAGAAGTAAAAACTTAAGAGTTGCAAGGTTCTTGATCCAATATCGTCACTTTGAGGTCCCATTAATTGGCTGGAAAGACTGATTTTCGTCTTCCATCTTAACTTTTCACACGATGTTAGCAAAAAAAATATAAAGAATAGAAGAAAATTGATGGTGAAGCAAAATTCAGACAAAAGTGGCCAGAAAACTTGAAATGGAAGGCCAGAGAGAGTTGCATCGAAGGGGCCTTGAAATTGATGGTCTTATATTTTCTTTTCATGATTTTCTTTTGTTTTCTCGTCTTCATCCGGATATAATAATTTTGGATAAGGAAAACCTACTGACATATAGTGTTCGTTTAAGAAAAATATTTTGCAGACTTGTTTTTTTTTTTTTTTTTTGGTAACATCTTGCAGACTTGTTGTCTGTGATATGTTTCACATTCTTGATTCTTCAAACAACTTCAAAGCCCGTATACGTTGGCTAACCACATTAGCCCAACATATACATACGCACTCATGATAACATAATCATTCTTTAACTACGTTTCATGACAATACACTGTAAATATGACGTACAATCAAAGTCACCTATAAAATTTAAAAAAGTTAAAATACAAGATAAAAAGTTTGAATTGTGTGTACAAACTTTAAACATTAAATTTTAATTAGCCATCTCACTTTTCTAAATCCATTAATTTAACAAAAAAAAGTAGAAATTTAAAGATTGTGCTTAATAAATTTGTATTCGGAATCAAATAAATTTTGCGTACACAATATACAAGTATGGAAAGTTTGTAACCAAATTGGTATCAAAATCACATTTCAAACTGAACTGAACACTAGTCACTTCCCAGTTCATTAATCGATTGGGTTTAACTTACCAACAATGTTAGAATAATAATAATAAACCAATCGGATACAAAGTCTATCTATATGTAATTATGTAGGGAATCCGATTGGTTTATTAGTATAAGATTCTTTTGAGACATCTGGTTTATTACATTTGGCACGTGGTTTTTGTTTGGGTTAAGCTGGTAGGTCTCACCAAGATTATAATCCGAACTTTTGATATATTCAACAATCACACAGTCCACAATCGTTACCGTTTTTTTCTTCCACATACTTTTTAGGTAGGAAGGATCTTCTCACTCAGAAGCAGAGATTAAACCACAGAAGAGAGAATTAAGAAGATGAGCGAAGAACAACAAGCACACGCCAACCTTGTGGTTCCCGCGTTTCGAACTGAGGAAGAGCCCAAAACGCAAACGCAGACGCAGAATGGCCACGGTACCGTTTGGCGGTTCGGTGGAAGCGATAAGGCCGCGAAAGCATCGACCGTAACGCTGAGAGGTGTCATCTACATGCTCTTCGACAACTGCAGCAAGGACGTCAAAAAGACCATTTTGCCCCTCGGCCATGGAGATCCGTCCGTCTACCCTTGCTTCCGCACCTGTATCGACGCTGAAGACGCCGTCGTCGACGTCCTCCGTTCCGGCAAAGGCAACTCCTACGGTCCCGGCGCTGGGATTCTCCCGGCCAGAAGGTAATCTAATCAACTCAAATCGAGCGATTTCCGATGTGCGCTTGAGTCAACAATGATTCGAATCAATTTTGACTCGATTTCATCTTCAGCTTTCTACTGACTTTATCACCCACTCGAAAGTACACAGTCGAGTATAAGACCATATCATATAGTTTAGTATTCGAATGAATTTTGACCCTCATTGTTTTTGATTTTGTCGTTGTTGTGAACAGAGCCGTCGCCGATTATCTGAACCGAGATCTCCCGAGCAAGTTAACGCCGGACGACATCTTCCTGACCGCTGGATGCAACCAAGGGATAGAGATCGTGTTCGAATCGTTGGCTCGACCAAACGCAAACATCTTGCTCCCACGTCCTGGCTTCCCTCACTACGACGCTCGCGCTGCTTACAGTGGTCTCGAGATCCGCAAGTTCGATCTTCTTCCCAACCAAGAATGGGAGATCGATCTCCAAGGCGTCGAAGCCATTGCTGACGAAAACACTGTGGCATTGGTCGTCATTAACCCCAACAACCCCTGTGGAAACGTCTACTCTCACGACCATCTCCGCAAGGTTCGATTCGATATGCTCACCTTCTTATCTGTAGATAAAGCTTCAAACTTGGAGCCGTTTCTAATTCATAACTCAGCTAAAGCTTAAAACTTTGGATTCATTTTTATGAACATTTATAGGTTGCAGAGACGGCTCGGAAGCTGGGGATAATGGTGATCACAGACGAAGTATACGACCAAACTATATTCGGTGACAATCCCTTCGTTCCAATGGGGAAGTTCGCATCGATCGTCCCTGTGATGACGCTGGGAGGCATATCTAAAGGATGGGTCGTTCCTGGATGGAAAATTGGCTGGATCGCCTTGAATGATCCCGAGGGCGTTCTCGAGTCCACCAAGGTCTGTTTTTCTGCTGCTTCCTTTTTTTTATCTGTCCTCTCCTGCTGTTGTTGGTAACAAGTAAATCTCAATCTGGATTCATTCTCTGTTTCTGACAGGTGGTTCAATCCATCAAACAGAATCTTGATATAACTCCTGACCCTTCCACTATAATTCAGGTTTGTGATTTAAGTATTTTGTGGTAGAATGGTTTTGGGTTCTCTAGTCGTTGGATTCATGATACTAACATTCCGTTCCTTTTGGCAGGCTGCACTTCCCACGATCCTGGAGAAAGCGGATAAAAAGTTCTTTGCAAAGAAGAACAAGATACTAAGACATAATGTCGATTTGGTGTGTGATAGGCTCAAGGACATCCCCTGCGTCGTCTGTCCCAAGAAACCTGAGTCTTGCACTTACTTATTGGTAAAACTTGTATAAACCATTCACATCCACAACTGTAGCTAAGACCGAATAGACTAGCGATTTTTGATCAATGTCAGACCGTCACTAGTCTTTTCGAACTGATGAATAGGAGAACATTCTGGTTGTCGTAGAGAGGATGATAATAACCAATACCACACTTAATCGAGTCTCTCTGATTCCTTTGTCCAGAGATATCCATTTTTTAACAGTTTTCACTTACTGCAGACAAAACTGGAGCTGTCATTGTTGGAGAACATCAAGGACGACACTGATTTCTGCGTGAAGCTGGCTAGAGAGGAAAACCTCGTGTTTCTGCCAGGTAAACCAATTGAAATCAAGATACACATGAATCTTGTGATCTGAGTTTTGAAACTAAAATGGCTTCATTTGTTTTGGGGGATGTTTTGCAGGAGAGGCTCTGGGTTTGAAGAACTGGATGAGGATAACAATCGGAGTGGAAGCTCATATGCTTGAGGATGCACTTGAGAGACTCAAGGGTTTCTGTACACGTCATGCCAAGAAGACAGATACAGAAACTGAGTCACTTGAAGCTTTGAAACTGAGTGATAATAAAGTTTAAGACTTTACATGTATGTATTTTACAAGCCTCGAGGGGCGTGATGTATGTACAATGTGCCAAAGGAATGAATATTCCTGCTTTTTTTTCCATTTTGATTTCTTGATTATTAATTACATTAAATATTAAACCAAATAAAACTATGGTTAATTTGTCAAACAGCATTTGGAACATAAATTAAGGATCTAGCATCCATGAAAAATATTAATAAAAGGTTATTTAATTTGGTCTACCTTTTGTTTCTTAACGTCATTTGATTTTTTTTTTTAAGAACTGTTTTTAAGGTCTTCGTTATACAATGACGACATTAAAAGGCGGACAAATATTCAATATATTTTTGTATTGTAAATGTAATTTTTTTACTCTTTCTCTCTTCTTTGTTTTATAATATATTTTTATGTAGTTGTATAGTTTTTTATCTTTAATATTTGGAACTTATATAACCTGTATAATTAGAGAACAGAAATTTTGTTTAAGCATATATTCTTATTGAATTTTTTTAACAAAAAGTTAAAAAACGGTAGACATATCACATAATCACAAATCTTCTACTATTTTATCTTTCTATCATGTTTTCCTTCCGCCAGCTTCCACCGATGCCACCCCATGTGAAATTCTGTTCGTGCAAATAAATCATACATATAGTAATCAGAAGATTGATCTTTGTTGACCAAACTATTAACAACAATAATTAATAGTAGAAATAAATAAACTAGATGAAAGTAATTAATAGTAGAAATAAATAAACTAGATGAAAGTAGAGTGTACCGAGCCAGGGAGTGAGGGGGACCATGGGGAGGGTTAGGGCCACCGCATTTGATTTTACAGCGTTCAAAGCAATCACCGTCGTGAGTTTTGCAAGGCTTTGAACACTGTCGAAAACATATAATCCAATCTTTTCTTTGTTTTGGTGGATCTGCTGTTACCGTCGCAACAATCACCATCATCATTATCATTACTATCGCACTCCATTTTCCCATTTTCTTCTTCTTCTTCTTCTTCTTCTTAGATAATCAAACTTTGTTTTCTCTTCTTCTTTTTATCTTATGATTGACTGTTTGATTATTTTGTTTCAAGAATTCAACCTCTATTTATACTATTTTCTTAAGCCTTTTTTTATCATTTTTTTTGTAAGAGTAAACGAACTTTATGTAGATCTTTTTACTAAAATTTGTGTTTTGTCTTCACTGGTTTTATCTTTTCATTTCCAATTTTGATATATTTTTACAAGCATTAAATTTTATAAATATGTGATAACATATTAATATTTGAATAGATATGATAATAAATTTTTATTCTGACTATCTTTCAATTTGATTTTGTTTTCCAATAACTTTTAATGTGATTGTATATAAATAGTTCAATATAATATAATAATATTTTCCTATAAATTTAATTCATTTTTACAATTTAACATGATAATTATAGATTTACCTTTTATATAGTAAAATATGAACAACAGTAAAAGTATTAATAAAAATAATCTATATTTGATTAAATAAAAACAACTGAGGGATTTTCAAAGTTTTTAGCTCTTGGATATTTTTGTTCATAATAGAGAGACTGAGAGATCTACTAGTTATTAACTACATACATCTATCATTTGAATTTGATTTTTAAACTATTTTTGAGCATTTTCAAAAATGTTTAATTTAATATGTTTTTGTGATCACAGAATTTATTTGCTGGTTAATTACATTAATATATATTGGAAGAAAATATTAACTTTATTTGATCAATAATAATGATTTGAAAGAAAGATAGATATTATGTTACAGATTTACTAAGATATCATTAGAAAAATGTTTCAACATATAATAAGTCTAATTAATATTGTTTTCAATTGAACTATATATAATTTGAAATCATATAATATTAACATATCAATAAAAATAAAACAAGTACTCAAATATTGAAAACAAGATATCATTAGAAATGTTACAGCATATTATAAGTCTAATGTTGTTTTCAATCGAAGTAATTTGACTTTGGTTTTGGTTTTGTTTTCCCCCTAAACAATGAAATTCTCAAATATTGGAAAAGAAGAAAGAGCACGTTTTTATCAATGGCAGGAATGTAGTTAGGAAAGTATAGAGATGAGTGTAAATATTAAGCTGATATATAGAGACAACATGAGAGTCCAAAAATACACTCTTAGTGTTTAAAGTTGGAAACCCCCAACTGACCTACGCCACTCATTCACTTATATAATCCACACAAGTTTTCAATCTATATATATATATCAAAAGTCAAAAACAAAACGAAACAAACAGTTAATAATGGCAGAAACCGGAGCTAAGCGATGGAACTTTGGGGCCAATGAGGCCGTCGAGCTATCTTGTTCGCAGAACGTCCGCTATTTTCTGAACCTCCTCGCCGATAATCTCGACGGCGGCGGCGGAGGTTTGTGAGAGATGTTTACGTTTCAACTATGGGATTAGATTTCGTAGGTTTGCTTGCCGAGACCATTTATTCGCTGTTTCAATTTGAGTTTTGTTCTGGGGTTTTTCTTCTTTTACTTGCCCTCAAAGGCAACACTCTGTTTTAGAACTCTTTTGAGGGGCTTAATTATCTGATATAGATTACGAGTGGCATTAGTGTTTTAATTGATGAGTTTTTCTTTTTGTTTCGTCCTAATAAACAGGGCTGTTGCAGAGTACCTTTCCCTTGATCTATCTTACGAGATCTGTCCAAATGATGTCCATCTGACAGCTGGTTGTCATCACGCCATTGATGTCTTGATCTCCACGCTAGCCGTTCCTGGAGCCAACATTCTGCTGCCAAGGCCCACTTACCCCATGTACGATTCCCGAGCGTCTTTCAGCAAGCTTGAGATCCGTCGCTATGACCTCCTTCCGGAAAATGGCTGGGAGGTTGATCTCGATGCACTTGAAGCTCTTGCTGATGACAAAACCGTTGCTCTGCTTCTTATCAACCCCTGCAATCCCTGCGGCAACGTTTTCTCCCGTCAACACCTGCAAAAGGTGTTTCCTGTTTTTTCTTCTTCTCTTTCGCGTCAAGAAGCATATCTCTAGCTAGTTTTTCTCTCTCTTTTAACACCAATTTTACTTCCCCAATGGAATATGTTTTATTTCGATGGATATATATATATATATGAAGATTGCAGAAACTGCTAGCAAGCTTGGAGTACTTGTGATCGCAGACGAAGTCTACAGGAATATTACCTTTGGGGAGAAGCCATTTGTGTCCATGGCTGAGTTTGCAGAGATTGTGCCAGTGATGATGTTAGGGTCAATATCAAAGAGATGGGCCGTTCCTGGCTGGAGATTTGGCTGGATGGTCACCCTTGACCCTCATTGCTTCATGAAAGATTCTGGGGTTTGTTCCTTTGCTTGTTTCTAATAATTGGAAAAATCAAAAACATTTATTTCAGTTTATGAAAACATTTATTTTATATTTGTTTCTCTTTTGTTTTTCTCTCTTCCTCTTCTATATTAGCTTGTTCACAGTCTTGCCAACGTCCTCAACATGTCGACAGATCCCACAACTTTTATTCAGGTATGATTGATGCATCATATTGCTGCTACATGAATCTGTATCTCTGTATGGAGTTTTTTTGTCATTCTGTATTGCCTCCATGCCATGGCGTGCCAGGGGGCAATTCCTGATATCCTTGGGAAGACAAAAGAGGATTTTTTCTCATCAAAACTCGAAGTTCTAAGAGAATGCGCAGAGACTTGTTACGAGGAGATCAAGAAGATCCCTTGCATCACTTGCCCTTACAAACCTGAGGGGTCGATGTTCACTATGGTAATATTGTCGTTGATCAAAGCTCATCAGTGCCTCCTTATTATTATATATGGGTTTGGTTGGTGCAGGTCAAGCTAGACTTTTTGCTTCTTGAAGATATCAAGGATGATTTGGAATTCTGCTGCAAGCTGGCCAGAGAGGAATCTTTGATCATCCTACCAGGTCGAGCTGTTGGGCTTAAGAATTGGCTACGCATCACCTTTGCTGTCGAGCTCGAGCTCCTTAGAGACGGTCTTTCAAGGCTTAACAACTTTGCACAGAGACACTCCAAGAAGCAGCCTTGAGAATCTAAACAAGCATTTCAAAATCCATGTTTTTGTACTACTCTGGTGCCTAGTGTGTGTGTGTGGCTCCTCCTCTACCGTTAAGAGATTCTTTTGCCATTACGGCGTTAGAATTAGACGGAGCTTATTACCGTCAAGATTTAAATGGAACCTTAAAAATGGAAAATAATGATTTCCTCCAACGGCTATCTGATCCTCTCTCTCTCTGTCTCTCTTCTTTCCTTGCAACTCCATGCGAAGAAACAAAGCTCATAAATTTGCGGAAGACAAAAACCCTAATTATTCTCTGAGATTCTCAATTTCATTAATTTCGTTTCTTTTCCTCAATTCAATTACCTGAGAGATTTTATAATGGGCTCAACGCCTCCTTATCACCGATCGAACACAAAATCAGCGTCGCGTCTCGCTCGTGTGGTGGAAGATTCTTCGAAACAAGAAGCTCGCAATCTCTCTCTTGATTTGGTTCTTCCATCTCCGAAGAGCAGCAACGAGACTCCGTTCCCATCACCAGTCTCCCTCAGATCCTCATCTTCTCCTGTTCCTCTCCGCGAGATCCTCCTCTTATCTCATTCCCCACTCCGCAAATCCAAGACCCGTCTAGCCGATCGACTCGAAATGGCCTCTGAGGATGCGGCGGATCCGGTGGTGCGCAAGCGGGGCAAGGCCAAGGGAGGGCAAAAGGGTCTTTTGGCTTCTCCCAGGAATCCCCGGAGATCGAGGCGGAGGTCGTCGGAGGCTGTGGAAGAGAAAGAAGCTAATAACGTACTAGTGATGGACGAAATCGTAAAGCCCAGAAAACGGAAGACGAATGGTCGCCCTAAGAAAGAAAAGCAAACTTCGGCTCCTTTAGAGTTGGAGCTACCTCCTCCTTGTTCGTCTTCAGATCTTCCAGGTACACTCTCCTTTCTCTGTGGGGAGCTTTTTTATTATCTTCTTATCTGCTCTGCTCTGCTCGATTCTGATTTTGATTTTGTTCGTTGATCTGGTGAAGATGCTTGTCAAAACGACTTGAATCGAATCGGAGAGATTATCAGTGATTTGGTAATGTGGAGAGATGCTGCGAAATCAACCCTCTGGTTCGGTTTTGGATGTCTGTGTTTCCTATCCTCTTGCTTTGCCAAAGGTGTCAACTTTAGGTACATACCCTCTCTCTAGCTAGTGATTCTAGTCTCAGTTAAATCTGTAAAAACAATCTCATGTAATCTATCTTCTATGTGTTTATAAGCGTTTTCTCGGCGGTTTCCAATCTCGGACTTGTGTTGCTTTGTGGCTCCTTCTTCTCAAACACTCTGTGTCAAAGGTACACTACTTTTTGTGGCTCAGTTTTGTTTTGGCCTTGTCTACAAGCTATCAGTTGGTTTGATCCATCAATGTGTTATCTTTAGGAAAAACGATGACACAAGGAGAGATTTCCATGTGAGTGAAGATGATGTCTTGCGCTTAGCCAGACGGTTCCTTCCCGCTACCAACTTTGCGATTTCAAAGACTAGTGAGCTTTTCTCAGGAGAACCATCAATGACACTCAAAGTATAACTCGACAAACACTATGTGTGTGTGTGTGTCTTTCTCTCTCTCTTTAGCAAATCGGTTTTTGGTGGTTTCATCTGCTGTTTCTCTTTCGTCCCCAGGTGACACCATTTCTGCTAATCGGAGCCGAGTACGGTCATCTCATAACACTCTGGAGGCTATCTGCATTTGGTATGACAATTGGAACACAAAGTGAAAACAATGTTTAGGATGATAGGAGCTGAACTGACATGTGTGTTACGTTACTGAAACAGGTTTCTTCCTCAGCTTCACTATCCCGAAGCTGTATTCAAGTTACACCCATCAGATTCACCTAACAGGTGAAGAAATCGAATTGCAACCCATTCACATTACCAATGTTTTTAAAATCTTAACTTGGTTTGTTTGATTTGGGCAGTTGAAAGAGTGAAAACGAGAATAGGTGAAGCATGGGGAGTGTGCTCACACAAGAAGATCTTGGCAGGCTCTGCGGTTACAGCATTTTGGAACTTGACAAGCATTAGAACCCGAATTTTTGCAGGTAATTTACCCAACCAATGCTTGTTAGAGTATTCTTTTGCCTGATACCAAACTACAACCTATATAAATCATCTTTCATGTTTTGCAGTTTTTATCATCCTCGTGATACTTCGGTATAGGAGACAGAATCTACAGCTAAATCCCGATGAAGTCGAGCCTGTTGAGAATGAAAAGCAAGAAGGAGAAACGCTTCCACAGGAAGAAGAAACACAGCCACAGGAAGAAGAGACACAGCCACAAGAAGAGCAAGCGTTAGTGATGGTGGTTGCAGAAACTGAAGGACTAAAGAAACTCTAGTGTGTCTGTCTACCATCCTTTAACATTAGCTCCAAATTTAAATCTCGAGAGTTGATGTGATAAGAGATATAGAGGATATCTGTTTTTTTATTTTATATATGAGAAATTAAGACATGAAGATCCTTAAACAAAATGCAATTTCGAGTTTGTGTTGATGTAACAGAGATCGTAGAGTTGACTAAAAGAATGGAGAATATATCTGTCTTTTTAAAAAGGAAAACTGACAAAAAGCCTTGTTTCTTCTCGTCTTAATTAAGCTCATCAATTTTCTTCTTACTTGGAGTAATAAGGGGTTTCAGTAGCAATCTGTATTTGATTTTCGTCAGGACTTAAGGCTTTTTATGCATTAGCTTTTGATTACAACTTATTAGTTTTCTCTGAGTGGTAAAGTGTTAATCAGTGAAGATGAGTGAATGTAACTCAACATAGTGAACTTGAGTATACGATGTTTGCTTTGACATTTATGTAGACATGTATTCTACTGAAAATTGAAGATTTCTTCACTGAAACAAGGAATAAAGAGGTTTTGATTCTTAATTTGCATTGTTTGCTCCATTTTTGTATCTTTCCCTCATGTAAACTGATAGATACAGTTCTTTAACCAGGTGGGCATTTCTTACATGTAGATTTTCCTCACAAGTGTTTATATAATGGGATACAAGAAGAAGTGAATGTTACTGCATCCAGGTGTCAGAAACTGACAAGCCGTGTTAAACGGATAGAGTCAGCGCCGACACCTCTTGAATGTTTGTGCAGGGCTCGTCTCAGTTCTCTAACTGATGATGACAGACAAAACAACTTCCCAGAGTACATCCACAGTTGACATACCACGTAGCTCTCTAATACGCAGGACTTATCTGATAATTATAGACCAAACTCATCTGCAAGGGCAGTCAGATTCTATTACTGGTTCTATTACTGGTTCAGATTTCCAAGAGTCATCAAAACCTCAGTGATTCTATTACTGGTTCAGGTTATGTCATCAATCAAAGCCCTGTGAATAAGCCTGATGTGAAGCGGTTTCTGGTTCAGCTGTCCCCGAAGGCTGCGTTGAAGTTGGAGATGATATAAGAAACGTTTTGCTCTGCTCTGTTTCTTCGACAAGGGAGTGAAGCAGATGAGTTTGTTGATGCACGTAATACAATTGAATCTGAATCAGAGAGTGAGCTTGATGGAGTACCAAAACCGAAACTGGCGCATTATTTTGGGGATATTAGCACTTATTAATATGTAATTACTTCCCAATTTTGTCATCAATCTGGCTTAACTAATATGTATAAATTTATGATTACTTCATAAGCTTTGGAGCGTTAATCTTGCATCTCTACTTATTTCATAATTATAAGTTCTGTCATTCAGAAATTCAAAATAACTAAGAAAAAATAATTCGGTGCACTAAGGAATAAATAACTACGTACACATTATGTAAGGCAGTAATCAGTAAAACCAAGTGTGTGCGTAAAAAATCAGAATAATATATTTACGAAAACAGAGTTAGAAACACTAACTAAATACCTTATTTCCTCAAACATCAAAATAAATATACTTCAACAGAGTAAATAATAATTGTGTTAAAAATAGTGATAATATAACAAAAGAACTTATAAATAATAAAATATAAATAAAAGACGGCTTAAAAAAACAACTAGAAATCAAAATGCAGAATTGTTAAATTATTTCAAATGAAATAAAATAGGATAAAAAAACATAATATTTTAATAAAAATAACAATAAACTAACAAACAATAATATTTTTAATCTAAACATTTAAACATTGTGAAGCAAAACAGTTAAAGCATCGTTATCAGTTATTCGTATTAAAACATTAACGTAGAAGGATGATTGAATTGAAGAACCACCTAGCTTCCAAATCTCTCCCTTCAGGTTCACGAGATCCACGACGAGATCCACGACGAGATCCACGAGCTTCCGAATCTCTCAAGATCTGCGAGCTTCAGTTGTTATCCACATGACGATGAGGGAGAGCAAAACATTTTAACAAATTTTACAAAAAATAATTAATCATCCTAAAATTAAATGAGACGATTAGAACTAAAAAATTATTTAATTTATATGATATCATTAAATCAAACTGGAAAAGCATGTGCAGATTAAATAGACTGGAATGCTTCTACTATTCTCTTTCTCACAAATGTGTTACATATTTTAACTAATTAAGATGTTGAAATAGGATAAAATGTGTTCACAGATTTTAACTAATTAAGACGTGTAATAGTTCAGAAATCGTTGATCGAGCAAAACTTGTACATTTATTCGATAGATGATCTGCTTGCAATTTGATTAGCTTCGAGGAAGCATTGGCTTGGAATAGAGAAATATCAAATAACTGATGAGGCGAGGAGAGACTTGGAAAAACTGAAAAGACTTTTTATCATTAAATATTATAAGTTTTCAATCTTTAAACCATCATTAGTTTTCCCGTCTTTAATGCATTCATGGACCATGGGGTTGAGAGATACAATAGCATGTTTCACATGTGAAGAGAGAAACGTTAGTTGCATAGAAAAAAAAAAAGTGAAACACATTTTTTTCCTAATACAATTTGATCTGTTTTGCCATTCTAATTCTCAGCACCTTGAAAGTTGAATCTGATTCGAACCAAAATATAATTTGTTTTCATTTAGACATATTTATAGTATCAAAATAAACCTACACCAATATTGTATCAAAATCAAACTGAATAATCTTAATTATTGGTACAAGATACTAAAGAAACTTGTTTTGTAAAATATGATGGCTTATTTGACAAGGCTTCCTAAGATTTCATGGAGAACATTAGGAAGATTCTATAAATAAAAATATCGTAATATTGAAAAAAAATAATAATATGTTTAAGAATGAATTCCTTTTTGTTGGTATTGTTTTTAGTAGTGTTAAACAAAAGAAACGTAGACGTCTTTTTTTTTGGTTATGGGTTTAGTTCAGTTAGCTCTGATTTGTTCAGTCAAACAGATAGAACCAATCAATTCAAACATAATTTAAGTTCGGTTACTATAAACCGTATTGGCGAGATTCAGCTTATGTACTTTCACTCCCAAGAAAGGATGTATTGTATATTCTTAGAGAGACATTCTACTGTTTCGGAAGTATTCGATGCTATGAATATATATGTATAGAAAGAACATGTCTGTGGATGGCTTATCAGCTTGCTCTATCATTCCCTATGAGATTGCCATGTACCCGATCAAAATCGCATCAAATGCATTTCTTTCATCCACATCTTAATCCCATTCAAGTTACACCCATCTATCAGATTAGCATAACAGGTGAAAAATCGATTTGCACCCCCATTCACTTAATGTCAATTAGGTTACAAGCAAGACAATTACAAAGAGTACTGTGATACTAACATGTCCAATGTTTTAAAATCTTGACATGGTTTGAGCAGTTGAAATAGGTGAAGCATGGGGAGTGTGCTCACACAAGAAGATTTTGGCAGGCTCTGCGGTTACAGCATTTTGGAACTTGACAAGCTAAATCCCGATGGAGTCGAGCCTGTTAAAATTGAGAAGCAAGAAGAAGAAGAAGTTCCATTGGAAGAAGAAACACAGCCACAAGAAGAACAGACATATCTACAAGAAGAGCAAGCGAAACTCTGGTGTCTGTACTGTGTAACCTCGTGTAACATAGACACAATTTTAGTTCTCGAGTTGATGTGATAAGAGATACATTTTTATATGAGAAATAAGGAGATGGAGAACCTTCAACAAAATGCAATTTTGAGTTTGTGTTGATGTAACATTAGATCATATAGAGTTGACCAAAGGAATGGAGGATATCCGTCTTTGTTATGGAAGAACTAAAAGTCAAGAGAGATCATTTCATTTTGTGTTCCTCTTTATATGAAGAAACGAAGGCGAGGAAGATCTTTTAAGAAAAATGCAATTTTTGGGGTTTGTGAGTTGATGTAACAGAGATCACAGAGAGTTGAATTAAAAATAGGATCTGTCTATTATATGGAAAATTCAAGACAAAGAGCTCATGTGTTTGTGCATTACAACCATTATTCTTTGCCTAAACTCTCTTAAACCTTCTTTCTCGGATTCGCATTGGATACTTGTAGACATCATCAAAAGTCCTCTTTGCAAGCTGATAAATTATACCAAACATCAGTATCTCGTCTAATCAATACAACATGTCTTAATAGGCTAAAAACAAACACAGTCTCTCCAAGAAACTCAGAAGCAAAAAAAAAAAGGGCAAAATGTAGAGGGTTTTAGTTCCTAAGTTTTCTGGTGGAAAAAGGCTTTAAAAGGTAGAGTTTTGTACATAAACTGTAGTAGCTTCATTGATCTTCTGGCTAACTCATCACACATCATCATTGCAAGCTGGGAGTATAAGACCAATCAGTAATGATTCTTTCATTAGATTCTCTATAAAATCCAATAACCAACAAGATGAGAACACACTTTCCATAAAAAAAAAATTGTTGGGTACATGTTTTCTTTCAAGAATATTTGATTCTAAGAAAACTAGTTTTGAAACCCATTCTATATGTTTTAAGAAGTTAATAAACTGTTATTTGCAGAAAACCCACATCTTTGGCTTCTTTGTCTTCGTCTATTCTTCTGTTAGCCTACAACATCGAAAAACTAGACCAATTGAGCTGCCATCTCTTTACAATGTCAAGCAGAAAGACAACAACAACAATTGATCCAGTTTTCCGCACATAGCAACCAGCAGAAAGTTTTAAACTGATCGAAACTTCTTAAATTGCAAATCTAACCAAGTTCTCCGACCCATGTCTGACGCAGCTATCTAAGCAGCCTGGGTTGTACTATGCTCACACAAAGGCTAACATACACTAGGAGATCAAAAGAAAAGGAAAAATCTAGACAGGCAATACGTAAACAATTCTCAAAACAGATCAAAAGCATAAGAATGCAAAAGAGGTTAAGGATGCGAGGAAGTACCGTCAGAGAGCCAGCCATAGCTCTGTCCAGAGATAGAAAGCATTGAAGTCATTAGCGCGGAAGCTGTGGCAGTGTGGTATGGTAACATTGACTCAACACAGAAGCTCATTTCCACAGGATTTCTATCATCAAATCAAAAATAAACAAATGAAAACTATAGTATGTAAAGATAGGTAGAGTCTTCTCACCAAAATTCAAAATTTTGATAATCGATCTGGGAACAAGATCAACGCAGAGATGTGATCACAAAGAGCAAACCAAAACATTGACAAGTTCCTTCTTTTCACAAAGTGCTCTACAAAATTCGAACGAATTGTATGAATTAAAGGTTCCAACTAGATAAAGAAAGCGCATTTAAAAAGATGCAATTCTTCATTCAGAAAGGAGATAACTTTGGATCAGCTCTCTTATGATACCGTGACAACCTTCAAGCAAGCGGGAAATCTAATACAAAGAACTTCAGAAGTAGATCAAATCGGAAAATGGGTATAATAGAGAGGCTCATCAAACGAACCTGAGAGGTGAAAGCAGTGAGCTTCTTCTGGCGGTGGCTCTAAACATCGGCGGAATGGATTTCGCTTGAGAAGCGAAGCGGCCAGTGGAAGCAGCGACGCTCCGAGACGAAGCAGCTCGAAGCATCGATCTGGCACCGGAGACGACGGCGGAGGAGGCCATCGGGAGAGAAGCTGAAGAGAAGAAGAGATTCGTGGAGGTTAAGATGAATCGATGGCTTCCGATTAACGAACGATTTACGGGAAATGATAAACCCTATAAGTCCTTTAACTTGCGACTCCATACTTGGGCCACCGGCCCAATTTAATATTTATGACTTTTTCTTATCAATCCTTTTAAGAAAAATGGGCAAGACATATCATCGTTTTCTTTTGTACATGTATAAAGAGAGAAAAAAAAAAAGAATTGAATATAACCCCTATTATAGTCCATTAAGCTACTTATTTGATAGATGTGAGTCGCATCATGTGACTTGTACAATATTGTTATGAAATCATTTGATATTTGGCATCTTAATCATCTATATTAAAAAGAAGAGGTGTCAGAAATACAAAACGTAGCCTTTTAGAGAGAAAAAAAAATGCCGAATATAAAAAGAAAGAAAGAACAGTTGCCAGCAAATGATAAAGAAACGGCAAAAAAAACACAAAACATAGAGCCTTTTGATCCATTAATAAAATCTCCACATCTAAGACCATATGCACTTAAAAGCTCATGCTACATGGGCTTCTACCCAGGCCCTCTCTTCACTCCTCTCTGTAGTCTGGATTCTCCTTTAAAATGACGAACCCTTCTAGTATCGGCGAGAGGGGAATGTATCTGTTTGCCATTTACAAATCCGAATCTTATAATCAGACACCGAAGCCTTTTTCATTGGAAACAGAAACGGTACAACAAGGAAAGAAGAAACACATACTTGTCCGTGGCTAGCTCGGCTCTCTCACCAGCAGCCAGGAGAACAGGTGTAGAGTGCGTCTGGAAACCGGTTATGGTCTTGGGCCGACCTGCTTGTCCAACTACATCAACTGCTTGTCCTACCCGCACTGGCACTGACAGTGGCTTCAGGTCTTTGTCCACCGTCAACATCATCCTTGGCTACAATTTTTTTTTTCAAATTTTGGATCAAAATCAATCATAGCAAAGATAATCAGGCCTAAATTAAAAAGAGGGGAAAACACAAGAATGAAATTGAACTCACTTGCATCGCCAAAACGAGGAAGTAGAGCACATAATGGTATTTCCCGAGTATGATTGGTTTCATGTCAAGGCATGCATGCAAGAGTGTCACTATACCAGCAAGTGCGGTTCTGCAATGTGAAAGAGTAAGGATTCACATCACAACGCTTTGAACATCCAGTTATCTAAAAGCTCTGTTTATAGCTATAACAAAAAAAAGAAGGAATTATCAACTTACGGCGATAGCAAGAACCGTTCAGAGTGGAAGGGGCTGAGGGTTAATAGACCCTTTCCCATGTGCACCAGCCCTTGAGCAATACGCACCTGCATAATGACTTACCAAGTGTGAGTACAACAATTTCAACCTAGTACCAACAGTTCTATTGCGAGCGACAAAAACAAAAACAAACTGTTCGAGGAACACATTACACAGAAGAGAAGACTGGCGTCCTTGTAATAATAGCTGGAGAGGTTCCTAAGCATCCCAGCTATCCTTGCGTTATTAGTTCCAGCGCCGATCAGTCCCAATGATATAATTGCTGCCTGTAGGAGTCAGAAGGAAGATCTGTCACCTCTAAATACTGTACAAACTAAATAACTACTGGACCGGCTGTGAAGCGAAATGATTACTAACCATGGCAACTTCCGAATCTGTGTCATGGCTAAGCCGGCTCAAGGTGTCCATTACAGTCACCTGGAATTGTGGAAACACATTGAAAGCCACCATTATCATATAAACGTCCACCAGCAATATTCTGTAAGCAGATCGAGTAAAACTAGATTTACAAAAGTATTCACCTTTGGATTTGATATACATAGGAGACCAAGGGCCAAAGGCACAGCACGCCGAATGTTTTGTTCTCCGTATTGTAGCATCCGCTCTAAAGAACGGATCTCCATGTCAATGCCCAATTCTTCAGACATAGCAACCATCGCTAATCCAAGCACAGCTGGACCCTGGTGGATGTCACCTTTCTCAAGATGCTCTCCACACTGAGCAAGAAGGTCTTGGACCTGGACATATAAGGATAAGTGAACAACTAAACTAGAAAGCAATGAATTATGTCATTCAACCATCAGCACAGACGATTACCTTAAGGACATTCCCAGTTCCAGCATAAGCACAGGAAAGAAGTGTCATATCACAGTACTTTCTAATCTTCTCATTGAATGTCTTTGAAACTTCAGCTGTAGCCTCTACACTTTCCTGGTAGATATTGGAACATGTTGATGCTGGTCAAGCAACACGAATAAAATTTTACGTACTATAAGCGAGATTAATTACAACACATTGCCAACCTGTTTTCCAAGGTATAGAAGTCCAAGACCAAGTGGCAAGAAACGAGTGAGGGCGTCTCCCAGTTCTGCCTCACTTCGATCCATCAAAGCAAATATAATAGACTGTGCTACTTCTTCATTACAGGAGCCAACATAGATCATTCCCAAAGAAAGTGAAGCAAATGCAATCACATCGAGAGGCGCTTTCGCATCATTCAATATCGGCGACAACTTGCTTCTTATCTGTCAAAACAGTGAGCATGTTAATATTTCGTGAACACCCCAAACTTTCAACTAGTAATATAGGAAAGAAGACAGCATGTCTAGAACCTGGTCATTTTGGGAACCTGCGTATGCAATTCCAAGACCCATGATAGCACCAATTCTGACAGATGAATCCTCGTTGTCTATATAGTCTCCAAGAAGTGCCAATGCCTGAGAAATAAAACTGAGTAAGATGAAAGAATGGCTGCCAATATTAGCACAAGTGGTTTCCGCAAAATCAAACAGGACATCAACTCACAGGATCGCAATCGTTCTTGATGCCACAATTTACAATCCCAACTCCCAGCAGAGCTCCAGCAATGATGGGATTATCATTGCTATGGAAATATTTGTCCAGTTGGGCAAGCCCCGAGTCAACATCCCACAGTTGAATCATACCCTATGACAGGGAAACAACAAGATCTGGTTACAATCTACATCCATGATCTAAATACAGCCAAAAAAAAACTCTATCAAGTAAAGGCATACCAGACTAGCAGCTGCGCTAGTCTTGCCATGTTCTTTATTTTTGAAAAGCCAATTTCCAGAAGATCCGGTGGTTGAGTCTGAAGGTACTGTCATTAGTTTGTCCTGCGATAACCAAATATATTAAGACACGTCTGCCAATAGAAGTAACTATTACAATCTGCTACCATACCTGACCAAACCCAGCATTTACAAATGCATTGACAAAGGTAGCAGACAAGTTCTGTCTAGCAGAATCCGCGCTTGCACCAGAGCTGGCCCTGCCATCGAGCAAGTGAGCCTACAAAATTCAAAAGGGAGGTCAAAGACTGAGGAAAACATATTTTGCAACTAAATAAACGAGTGACAGACTTCAATTCCATTAAAACTGATATACCTTGTAGATGTCTTCAGGCGTTTTGGCCTCCATAACCTCAATATCCCTTGCAAGAGTCAGATATCCTTCACTTAATTTAGTGTTGTTAACAATATCCTGTAGGGCTTCTCGGTCATCGTCATCTGCAACCATCTCATCGTCAAGGTCAAAGGTTATACCCTGCAGGGAAGCATACGACGAGAAGGTATAAACAAGTATGTCATCGGGAAGTGTCTCTATATGGATGGAAATTTTAAGCAGTAATGCAGCAGGTGATCGGTGTCTGCCTTAGAGAAGAAAAATAGGAGGCAAGGTGGCTAAAGAATGAGGTCTTCCCAGACAAACGTACAAGTTTTTCGAAAACAAACAGGCCCAACAAATATGGGGCTAATCAAAAAACAGATTCAATTCTCTAGATCATGCTCATAAGAACTACGAACAGTGTTCTCATTTTTTTATCTATTACCGCTACGTAACAGCCAGAAAAAAAAATTATATAATCAAGTTAAAGCACAACCAACTCTTAGCGCATATAGGAGTACAAATCCAAAACCAAAACATACTTACAAAAAAAAGAATGAGATGGAAATGTTAAAATATAGTAAAGTAGAGATATGTATGGACTTACATGACGAGCAATCATATAGCAGAACTGTTTCTTCCTTAGCAAATCAGCACATGAGGTAAATACTTGTTTAACATACTGCAATACATAACATATATCAAAAAAGAACATTATTCATCGAAAAGTTCCACACAAATACTTGAAATACTTAACATAGAGGTCCACAGGAAGATTAGAACCCTACCGGCGTGTTATCAAGAAATAATGCAATCTGCAGAGCGTTTGGATATTCTTCAAACTTCATGTAAATCATGTAGGAAATATCTAGAACAAACATGTCATCTGGTCCAGGAAGGTACCTAAGAATTTGTGAGCATTATAATCAAGCAAAGTTCGCCACTTGTTTAGACATGACTGATCTAAAACAAGATCAGCAAAATAACAATATGACTGGTCTAAGAGCACAATTCAGAGTGACGAAAAATAAATTGAATAGGATTGACTAAGTTGAAAGTACTTTGCTGCACTTGTGAGATAGTTGCATGTCCTCTTGAAATTTGTTTTGTCTACATGCTCAAGTAATTGATTCAGATCCTCAACATCCATTAAAAGGTCAACAGCTTCCGTTTCTGCATTATGCTGCACGGAATAAATTAATTCTTTAGACAGAAAAGAAAAACCCACAGGTGCTAGTCTCAAGCCTATAAATTATAAAACCCCTTCCTACATATGCACGACAAGGGCCAAAGAAACAAGAAAAATAAGCATCGTTAGGAACTCACCTTCATGTGAAAAGCAACAATTTGCTGCACAAGCTCCATTAAATCGTCAATATGAGCCTTCTCACTCTGAGATAACAAAAGAAACAGGTCAAGAACCATATATCAGAAAGCTTTCTCATTGACTAAGAAACCTTATAGTCCTTCCTACCAACTTGAGGAACCCAAACACAACTTCAATAACCTTAACATATGTGGAAAGGTCCTAGGACGAGAAACTGATTTGCCGAAGACAAAATGGAAAATTAATTTCTAACCTGACGCTTTGTAAACTCTTGCGCAATCTCTCCAGCTAAATTCCTGACATATTCGTGGCCCCACGATCCAATGTCACCCTCTGTTCCAATCAGCCTATACCTTAAGCTTTCCTGGAATAATATTATAAAGCAAAGTAAATAACAGTTCAAATATACAAATCAGCAAAATGAACTCAAAAATTCTACCAAGAGCCCCACAACAGTTGTTTTGAGCGGATCGACAGAAATAAAAAGGAATCCAGAGGCATATAAAAAGTAGGTAAGAAAACATGTTTTAGTAAGCCCATTTCAGCAGCTAGAAGCATACCCTCTCACCCTCCGCAGACATGGTAAGGGCCAAGACAGACAGGATATCGGACAAGTACTTCTGCAACACACAGAAAATGTGATCTTTAAGCCATACTCAGGAATATGAACAACGAAGGTGTTAACGAAATAAGACTTGGAATGTATGAATTATGATGACATACCTTTAGCTCAGAATCAGCCATTGTTTCATGAAATGCTTTAAGAGTTCCATAATGGGGACGGAGAAACTTTAGTGGTTTGGGAACTGAAGTCATGGAGCTTGTTGAAGCTCGGATTTCCTGCCTACCGAACAGAAAACTCCATCGAGGTTAGATTACGACAAGGAGAAATTAAAAACACCAACATGTACACGAAGAGCGGTGGGGAATTATATATGTATATATATATATATAAAAAAAAAAAAACCTTACAAGTTGAACAAGCTTCAATGGCAATAATCTGAAAATCCTCAGCTGATCAAGTCGAAGTTTGGTTTAACGTTAAAGAGAACAAGAATTACCTCATGCTTTCAAGAGCAGCCCTCTGCAACTCTGGATTGGGATCCTGAACCCTCTCGACATAGAGCTCAAGGTTCTGCTTTAGTTCCAAGTCTTCTTCAGACTACAATTACACCCAATGTGAGCCGAGTCATTTGGTGACCATATACTAGCTAAAAAAGCTGGAAGTACGACAAGATCCTACTTGTCCAAGTGCAATGGAAGTAGAAACCTCTCCTCATATCAAAAGATCATATTAACAAAAACCCGCAAGTAGAATGAACACATGATGTCCAATCCAATTTGCCGAAGGTTCCTCGACAAAATAATAGATTGCCAGTAAAACCCTAATTCTACAACATCCTACTTCAATTCGATCGATTCCCATCTAAAAACTGACAGCAGATCCTACAGAGCTGAAATCAAACCCCCGTGTAATGTACCCAGCTAACAAACAGTACCCAACTAGCTCGCCAATCAAAAACAATGTCGCAAAAAAAAAAAGCTCACCAGGTCCTCTTCCTTTTTCTCGTCCTTCTTCTTGGGATCCTTAGACGGAACCTTCACGGTAGCTTCATCCTGCTTCGCACCGCCTCCGACACTGTTTGGATCGGGAGTTGGAGCCATCTCTAGTTGCAAAATAGCACCAGATCAATCTCTGAAAATTTGAAAACTCGGACGAATCGAGCAGCTTTAACCTGTGCAATCGAAAACTCTCTAATAGGAAAACTAGGGATGAATTTTATAACTCTTCTGAAACTCTTAAGCAAGAAAACAAACGATAAATCGAAGGAGATAACCCCTCGATCAAGATTTCTATGATATGTTCAGCCCATTAAAACATTTCTTTTCTTTGTTGAACTATTGGGCTTCATATGGGCCCCGCATGTCTAAAATTCGCATATGATGTTTTCATTTCTGTAATATAGAAAACAGACTATCCTAATCGTAGTTGACTATTTGGGAGCCATTATACAGTAGAATACAACTGTGTTGAATTGTTTAGGTTACGATTAAGTTCTTGTGAAAGAGCCATTATACGCAAAATCTCCATTTCTCTTTATCTCAGAGAAAAGAGAAGACAATAAGTGCACAGAGGATCAAATCAAGATGATAATATCCCCGGAAGCTAACCAGAGTTCTGAATTTACAGGGAAGGAAAAGGAAAAAAAAAAAAAGACCAAGAAGAAGAATTTACAGGGGAGATGGAGCAACAAAAGGAAGAAGCTAAACCTATTTTCTACATCTACGAATCAGGAGGCACTGAACCACGGTTGTTGTTGAAGTCTTGATCATCATAACATATGTTGTTGGTCTGAAAGTTGCCATCCAGATGTGTGTGTTCCAAGTTCTGTGTCTCTCCTTCTTGACCTAAGTCGCCTCTTAGATTCGGTCCAACCTGATAGAATGAGATTTCGTTCGCGTGTTCAAATATCCTATGGCGCTCGTCTTGGATCATCGGATTGTTAAGCTGTGACCTCCTAATGTACCTTCCCCTGTTCATCAGCTGAGAGGATGGCTGGATAACTTGCGTCCCAGGTAACTGGCTCATAGTTTTATTCTGGCGATTGTCTAGAACAAGTGAGTTCATTTGCCTCCCGTAATTAGCGTAGAACTGAGTTGCCAAGTTAGAGTTTACTTCTCCCACTGGTACATGACCAAATCCTATCAAATTATAATGGGTTCTTTCAATACAGACCAACATATATAAATTGATTTGCGTAAGGTTAAAAGTCAAATACCTTGACCTGGAGGAAGGTGATGAAAAAGGTCGTCGTTGTTGGGTGTCTGGTATTGGCCGTAGCGACGCTTTTTGTTGCTGTTTCCATCAGGAACATCGAAGTAAAGAGAATGTGGTAGAGTTGGGAAAGTGACTTTGTCGAGTTTTGACCAGAAGCTATCGCTGGACACAATCTTCCCCAAGTTCTTTTCCAGAACTCCAGAAGAAAAATGAAGTGTATGTCTCCTGTTTATGTATAGATGTGAGACTTTTGCAGTTGGAACTAAAACCAAAAAGGAGGATCAAAGATAGGGAATGAAACCTGAAGATAGAAGCAGACTGATTTAGGGTGAAATCTTGATCCATCTGTATCCATTGAGTGTGTTTTCCTGGCTGTGGATTAGCCTCCATGAAGAACGCTGGACGTTTGCGCAACTGCACAGAAGCATCTCAGGTATAATTTTATGCAGCAAAAATTGAGGAGAAAACATATCGATTAATTAAGAGTATGGATAGTACCTCGAGTTGGAGGATTCCGGATTGAACAGTTGCTCTGAAAGACAAGACATCATCCCAATGGATCTCGATCTTCCTCTTCAGCCTGGCCACATGTGTTGCTGTTTCTACATCTTCGAGAATCTCCCACATAATTTTCCTCTTTGCAAAATAGAATTTGGCCTTAAGATCATCAGGGAACAAGGCCGTGCTGGTCCATTCACCAATTGTGATCTTGGAGATTGGGAAATTCATAGCCTTTGGTTTCTCAAGATTTTTAGGACTTTCAGGCAGTTGTTGTTGAAGAGGACAAGGATGGTCTTGTTTAAGGATGGATTCAATCTTTTCGAGAAACTCCTGATTTGATGTTAGAGGCAAGTTTAGAGGTGGAAGTTGAACCTGAAACAACAAAAAACAAAATATACATATATATATATATATATACAGAGAGAAGATCAGAAATCTATACTTGTTTTCTAATTTTCCGAATACATGACGTTCAATTTAACCCTAATTCTACTTCAATTTCGATAGAATTTGCATCTAAAAAGTGACTGCAGATTGAAAGTAAATCCCCTTTGTGATGTACCAAACAATCCCAACATGCCTCTTCTAACTAAAACAGCGGCGCAAAAAAAAAAGTAAAAAAAGAAAGAAAGAAAGCTCACAAGTTCCTCTTCTATTTTATCGTCCTTCTTCTTAGACGGAGCTATCACGAAATCTTCTTCCTCCTTCGCACCGCCTCCGACACGGTAGGGATCGGGTGCTGGAGCCATCTCTGGTTTGCAAACTAAGCACCAGATGATCAGTCTCTTAATCTTGAAAACTCGGCCGAATCGAGCAGCATAGACTTGTGCGCGCGCTCTTTAAGCAAAACTCTTCTGCAACTCTTCTTAGAGCAAAATTGTGAAGAAGAGAAAAAGTATGGGAAATTGGATTGGAAAACAAACGAATGAAGTTTATATACCGGGATCGGAGGAGATAAACCCTTGGATCAAGATCTAAGATTTCTATGATGGGTTTTTTATTTCTTCGTCAACTCAGCCCATAAAACTTATTGGGCTTTTCATGGGCCCCGCACGTCTCAAATTCGAATATGATTGTTGTTTTCATTTTCTGGAGGGTTGAATTCCTTCTCTACACCCCCTCAACTCTACAATCTCTATCTATTTCCTCCCCCAAGACTTTTTACCTTCTCACTATACTCCCCAAACTCAAAATTCTCATTAATAAACCACCCAAATTATCGAATCTAAAACCAATTTGCGACCTTACTCCTCGATTCCCTTTTCGACCTTGGAAGTGGAGAAGAAAGTTTAGGATTTCGAATCTACAAATGATTTTAAATTGTTTTAAACACACTAATTAGTGAGTCATTTGTATATTTTGTTTTTGGTTTGTGTTTGTGGTCTTCATATTGTTAATGCCCGCCATTATTTTATTCGATGCATATGTTAGCTGATGTAAATGTCTTAAAATAACAGACACTGTTATGTATTTCGGTTTTGCGATCTCCGGTTATAAACACAAATCACTTTGTCATTGTATCTTCATTATCTTCCACCAAAGTCCTTAATATATGTGTTGAATTTGAACTGAGTCATTAATTATGGTTATATTGGGTGTTAAGACCATACATGTTGGCTTCAAATAATATTCATATATATTTTATATGCGCGAGTGTAAAATGAGATGCTAGTGATAGTATCCGCATGTATACTTAATGATGAACAGAGAGAGAGAGGGACCATTCAGATTTTGAAGAGGACGAGAGAGAGAGAGTGGTCACAATTGGAGAAAGAAGAGGTCGTTACGTTGGATTTTACGTTGCCTCCATGCATTCCCTTCTCCTCTTATCTCGTGGTCCTCTCTCTCCTCTTCATTATTATTTTATGTCATTGTTCTCAAGCTCTATCCCAAATATAAATGTTTTATACGGTAAAAAATTGCATGATTCATTTTTCGCCCAATTCGGGTGAAATTATTATTATTATTTTTTTTTTTTTTGTTAAAGTCGGGTGAAATTATTTACAAAATTATGCTCAGTATATGTATAATTGAGGACATTTCTCTTCTTTTTTTTTTCAAGGAACACATGCAAATCGAAATCTTCCATTTCAAATATCAAATATTTAAATTATAAGCAAATAATGAATAAACCATCAAGTGGAGGATGTATGTCATTTATTTGCGTTATGGAGAGTGTACGTAGCAGTAGCACCCAATATATGAAAATGGCTCCTTATTAGTTACATGGGAAGATCAAGAAAATAGACCCTAAGGTCTCAACACTCAACAAGGGCCAAACAGAAAAACAACCCTTGAAAAACAAAAAAAAAGATACAATGAAAGACATGTCGTCGAATTTTTTTGGTTGGGCTTGCCTCCATGCAGGTGCTTGTCCGTTTCAGGCACAAGAAGTGGTTGGAGGAACCTCAGAGACACCGTGACGGTGAAGCTCCGTCATAACGCCGTCAACAGCCGGTGGCTTCAATCCCAGCGGAAGTGGCAGCCATGGCCTCGTCAATACATCTCCTATGGCTGCATCGACACTCTCTTTTGACTGCATATATAATATACACATAGTTAAACATGCATGATTACAAAAATTAGAAAATAGGAAAAATCAAACTCGACAACATTAGATTCTTACCGGATGTAAGTCAACCGGAGCACGAGCACTACTGAAGCCATGCTGATCTGGTTTGTACATTGTGTGATGCGGATGCAGAGCCTGTGGAATCCCGGCAACCGGCGGTGCTCTAAACCTCTATATAATTACCAGAAAAAAATACAATATTTAAAACATATATATAGGAGCAAAAACGGTATATATTTATATATATATATATTGCATCAATCTTTAACCCAAAAATAAAACCAATATTTTTTTTACCAAAAAAAAAAAGAAACAAAAAAAACCATATACAGTATATGCGAAACAATATTAGATAATGCTGGATCATTACCGTAGCAACAGTCGGCAAATACGGAGCCGTCCCGCTATGAATCTACATGCGACCAAATTAAAAAGTTAGTTTGGAAGGAGTTTGACTAAATTAACGTTAACCACATAAGAAATATTTTAACAGTCCTAGCTATTATCCGGTCTAAAAAAATTATATTTGAGCTTGAAATATAACATAATGGACAGACAGACAGTTCTCTAAAATAAGCTATTTTAAAGTTTTTATTCCAAACCTATACCCACTAAATTTGAATTTTTCAAAATAATAGCACATATTCCTTTTAGGATGCATGGTTTCTTAATAAAAAAAAAAAAAAAATTAGTGTGTGTGAGAGCTCACCCTAGGCCAATAGGGAGAATCCGAGACCCAAAACGGAGGAGGAGTAGCCATGGCAGTAGACGGTGGAGGTAAGTGTTTGGGCCAAACGTGTGGCATGACGGAGTGGTCAACCGTGGGATGTCCCCACACGTGCAACGGTCTAAAATGAAGGTTGTGGACAGGTGGCGGCGTGACAGCCACGTGCGGTGGAGGTGGAAAACCGAGAGTGGGTGCCGGTGCGAGCCAACCATTTTTATTCCGACCATTAATAATATTACCAGCTCCTCCGGTAGTGTCTAAGCCGCCGTAGATGTGGCGTTTGCGTGTCCAATTAGCCGCTTCGGCCTCACGAGCTAGCAAATGTTTCCGATGAGACCTATATTTCTGATACGTACGCCAAATCAATAGTAATTAATGACTTAGAAATTAATTTTAAATGGTTATAATAATGAAAACTCAGATATAGTGTATATCTATAGTGTACGTAGAAGCTAGATAGATGAAAGGGTTCTATATATATAGATGGAGTAGAATAGAGTAGAATACTTGGAGATGACTAGCGACGTTGTGACGAGTGAGACAGTGGACTCCCATAAGCTCGAGAATTCGAGAAGGCACAGCTTTCTCCACTCCCAACTGTTCCACTGCCTCCACGAATCTCCTGTGTAGCTCTGCTGTCCAATCCACCTTGTGTTCACACACACATCCATCCCAACAATATATATATATATTCATCTCAATTCCTCATTAATTACTATTATATCTCTTCTTAATTATATCTTTCAAAGCACACACGAAAAATAACCATTCTTGATTAATTATTATTGTTCAAAACTATGTATGCATCTATGTTTTACATTTGAACAAAATTTTGGTTAAAAAACTTTGTTTATAATTGTGTCATTACTAATCGGAATCAATATGAAACTTCCACTAGAATGAAATAATAGCATAACTTTATAGAGATGCACGTGACGTCTTAACAATATCTTTCGAAACATGACTGAAATGATAAAATTTTGGCATACGATTCTTATGAAAATACAGTGAATATATAATGAATTTTTTAAAAGGAATATGAATCCATTCATATATATATATATATATATCGGTCCATTTAATCGAGTATAGAGCTAGGGTATATATTAATCAATCATAAGAAAGATTAAAGAATAAAATAAAGTTACCTTTACTTTTCGCTTCCCATCGTTGTTAGTAGTGATCATCCGATTGTTCCTGGAAGAGGAATATTTCCTTTTCCGGGCATTGTCACCGTCGTAGTTCACCGTCTCCGCCACAGCTGCAGTCTCGTCATCGTCTCTCTTGCTGACGACTTCTTCACCTTTCCCCGAAACACCCTTAATGTTATAAGTCTCCCCTAGACTATCAGTCTTCTCCGACGACGACGTCGTAGTAATCGTCGATGAAGCGTTCGTGTGATCGGTGAAATCTCCGGCTAAGATCTCAGGGTCGATCTCCAAGTCAGGAAGCACATCTCCGGCGACGCCGAACAGATCGTCGAAGTCGATGATGTCGAGGAGATCACCGTGGTCAGCGAAATCCGGAAAGTCCTCCTCCGGATCGATCGTGAATCCACACGAAGACGTAGCAAGGAACTCTGATGACTCTCCATCGCAAGCTTCTCTCGTCGAGTTCGAGTTCGAGTTCGAGTTCGTCGCTGGAGAGAGAGCTAACATCGATCAATCTTCTTGATTCCCAAGGACGACTAATTAATATATATAGAGAGAAAGAGATATGGATATATATATATATATATATATGTATTACATTAGAGAGCGAGCCATGTATGATTCTTCATAAGCCTTCTCTTTGCTCTCCCAAATCTAAATATAATAGTATTAAGCAATTTGAAAACCAAACAATTGCCAAAGGAGAAAAATGACTAGTCATTTATTTCTATGCTAATATATATATAGATATATAGATGTACCCTTTATTTTATAGAAAGTCATTATGTTTATATATATATATATATTTGTATTTTTGTCTTTACAACAACAAAATACTATTTTTGTAAACTTCTCATTTACTTAGTGAAGCTAATTGGATACCCCTGCTTTGTTGGCAAAGGGTTGCCTGATTTAAAAGTGGAGAGAGGGGTAGCCAGCAAAAATTGATCAGAACCACAACTATAAGGTTCAATATCTAAATTTCGCATTTGTCTCTTTACCGTTTTTGGTCTGTCACAACATTATTGATCCACTATATAACTTTCTAGCTTTAATATTTATATATATAACATTTTAAAATAAAAAATTCAATTTCAATTACGGTAAATTATGTTATTGTATGTACAAAAATAGGAAAATGAATCATTACCTATGAAGCCATATACAGTGGCATTCAAAATGGTTTACTATTTTCTTTTATATATATCCGTGGCCGGATACCATTTTGAATGCAACAATATATATATCCATGGGGCTTCATATATAGATATATGCAAGAAATGGAAACGTCTAGATAATCATTTACCGTAGTACCCTTTTCTGAAGTTGGCAGATGATGAAGTCGTGGAAGATGCTCTTATAAAAAGGACAGAACTGTCTCGTTTACGTATAAGTGGACATGCACGACCTTACATGGGTCCTCCAAAATTACAATAATTGTTGTTGCTCCTTGCCACATCACCTGTGTGAATCTACTTCATTCATATCTCAAGAGATATGTATGAATGTAATTAATACATTCATCATTCATATACACTTTATGACTTCATGTATCTGATTTGGTTTATATATTGCAAAGAGTTAGGATACGGTGCATATATTGGATTGCTATGATTTAGAAAAACAAGTAATTATTTATTCATTTTTTTGTCCCTCATTTTTTTAAAGAAGATAACAAGTAACTATTGGAGTTACCAGTGGACTTGTATTATTTTTTGGGACTATATCTAGGAGGAGTTCAGTCCACGGCCCCACACTCTGGTTGGTGAGGAGTTCGACCCCTCCTCCCCGCATAGAGTAAATATGGAATCCAAAGAAAACTTTGTTCTCGGGATACGAAGTTTCAATATTTTCACATATAGTAGGTGTACTAAAAACTAGGTACCTTTATCGTAGAGGTCAATGAGATAGAACTCAAGTATTGTAAGAAACTAATATAGCAATGAACAAACACAACTTGATTACGAAATTGAGTATTGAATCTACATGGAGATGGAGAAGAAAAGCTACGTATATTTTAAAATTGATATTAGAGAATTGACAATCAGTGGATGTGAAGGGCCACACCCACATGTGACCTGATAACGACAACAATGGAAATGAATTAAATCATGTGTGCTTGTAATTAATTGAAAAAAAATGAAGTGCAACTTTCGTAAAAGGACTGGCCTCTACTGTCATTTATTATGATGCCATCAATCATCATCTTTGTCGTTGTAAATAGCACATCATATGTATAGGCATGTACTTAAAACGATTCTCCGGTTAACTCGCAAATTAAATCGCAAGGCAAAAGGGTCTACAGTTTGGAAATTAATGGCCATCATTTGTTACTATATACAGTTTCTTGAGGAAAATAGGTTCTAGCCGCAATATTCTGAATTTATTATAGAAAATGGCGAAAATATCTCATTGTAGAGACAAGAAAGCTAACAGTAAAGTGAGTTAGTTTTACATTCGGTTGTGTCATTATGTATTCATCCTAAAATGAAAGTTAAATTACATTTTCAAAGAATTCATTTGCTTGTGCCTCCAATTGTTTCTATATATATATATATATATATATATATATACTGTATTATATCATGAATAAAAGATTATAATGTATAAACACAAACCTCTGATTCGGGGCAATTTCTGACGAAATGTGTTATACCCAAAAGTATTTGAGATCGGGATATGCAGTGGCAAGAGAGAACAATTGCAACCGCGTGAGTAAACTCTTCTTAATAGTAACACATTCTTTGTACAGTTCCCTGAAATTTTTGTCACTGTTATATCCAATAATTAGACACATATAATTTTTGTCACTTATATATATATATATATATATATATATTTCAAATGGTTTTTTCTGTTGGTTATAAAATTGAAAAATCTAATTTGTTGTGGATGAGCTTGTGGTGAGCAAACATTTGTCTTTGTGTTTCAACTAGTTGGGACCATGATCTGAAAGCTAGAATTTCAATTCAATTTTTTTTTCGGTAAAAACATATCGTCATCTTTTGATTTTCTTAACGGTAATGTCCGATTGAGTTTCTCGTGGGACATACGTTGACCACTCCAACATTCAAAATGCTTACCGTTTCATGTACTTAAAAACGACATACTGTCTAATGGAATGCACTGTCACACTCCCCACAGAGAATCCAGCTTCTGAGAAATGTTTGAAATAAAAACAAATACTAACAGGCCTCAAAAAAAACTTAAAGTCGGCCAAGAAAATGCTTTCGAAATTTTGCCCAAGCTGTTCCAACGTAAACGTAACGTTGCCTCTAAATCACAACAGCAACTAGCGGCCCATTAAGGCTCTAATAGGATGACGTGTCACGAGCTAAGAGGAAGATAAATGATTAACGACGGTGGTAGACTATACCCCATAAAATTATTCAGTCAAGGAACTTTTGAAAGTTGACCAGATCGTAGTAGAACTCTTCCACAAAGGCATATCGTTGACTCTTCTCGTCATTTTGGTAGAATTCAAAAGGAAACGAAGCTTCCAAGACAACTCAAAAGTCTGAATGCCCAAACCAAAGGCCAATTCCGAAAAGTACCCTTACATTTCAATTGCTCAACAAAACAAATAGAAGTAGAAACCGCAAGGGTATTATCGTAGTTCAAGCAACCCCTGCCGCGTGATACGCGAAATGACGGTTGTAATACAAATTCCTCATCTCCGTGAAACAGAACTAATTCATCATCGTTTTTTTATTAAAAAAAAAACCTAACTTTACTCCTTGGAAAGCCTCTCAACTCTCTCTTTCCCTTTTTTCTCCGGAAAAAAAAAAACTTGTCTTTTCAAAATCAATTGTGTGCAGAAAACGAAAACTAGTAGAAAAGAATGGGAGAATGTAGGCCTCTGGGTTTCTTATTGGGATTACCATTTGCTCTTGTCGCCCTCGTCTTATCTCTCGTTGGTGCTGTCATTTGGATTATTGGGTACGTCTTTACTTTCTTTTGATCTTCTTCATACGTATGCATTTTTTATATTAATTAGTGTATATTAATTGTACAATATTACGCTTAATTAGTTAAGAAAGATCTAAAATCCGGTTATATATGTTCGTTCTCTCTCGCCCAATATATTTCGGTTATGTTCTTCATCTTAAATTAAATCCCAAGTGTAACTTCAGATCTACAAATGTCTTCTTCGTGAAAATAATATAAATTATAATCCTAGATATATAGAGAGCAAGAGTTAAATACTAAAAATTATAATTTTTGCAGGACGATATTGAGTTGTTTGTGCCCATGTTGCTTCTGTTTCGCTGCGCTGGCTAACTTCGCTGTGGATCTCATCAAACTCCCTGTCAACGTCCTCCGTTGGTTTACCCGCTCCATTCCTTGTTAACACTTCTTTGCTTAATTCTTCTTTTTTAATTTACTAATTATTCTTCGTTTTTTTTCCTTCCTACTTATGTAATTTTTTCTTTTCTAATAAATAATTGAAATTTTAGACTATCTTCTTCTACTAAGCAAAAACGGCCGGTTTCGTTCACAAAATTCATCACGAAATTGATTTAGAAGGCATCTACTTACTCTCAATTATAACTACAATTCATCGAATCTAGCAACTGCTACGTTTGTATAATAAGCCCACTTTTAGCCCACAGTATTATTGAGCTTTATCAGTCAACAATCTAATCTACAGTAAAATGTTAAGAGTTTTTTTGTTCTGTAAAACTTTTTTCCTTTTTAACGCATGTCGAGCCTTTTCTAATATTTATTATTTCTTGGATTTTAGCCAACTGTGTACTAGGTTACACATGAGAGATGATTAGCTTCAGTCCTGTAACCTCAAGAGAATGGTAACAATTACTACAGTAACATTCATTTGATACACTCACGGTCAAAATATTTAATGCTCTTTTTGGGTCATTTATGGTTTGAGTCAAAATAATAATTAGGGTTTTTTTTTTGTCTTGAACACTGCTGAAGAGTAGTAAATCCTACTAGATTTTGCGCCATTAATGGATTTTCATAAATATCTGACTCTGGAAGCTGCTCTTAGAGTTTATGTGCTAAAACCTTTTTTAAGCCTTCCAATAAAGTGTCAATTTCGTTTAAGAACAACACATACTCGAATCAAACTCATTAACTCAGACTCAACAAACTTACAATCAGCTTCATACTCCAGATACAAATTCATATTCGAACTAGAGATAAGTATAAACTTACTAATCAGACATACAAACTTACAATCAGATTCATACTCTTCAACTTTACAAATCAGAACTAGAGACGTACAAATTCGTATTAACCTAGCAACAAACTTGAACCACCTACTGAAACTGGACTCACACCTAAACAAATCAGAAAAACATTGCCATAAATCATATTTTAAAGAGACACAAGCCACTGATTATCAACTAAACTTGAAAGTATGAAGATTCACCAGAATCAGGTGATAAATTAAACAACTTCACTACTTTCCCATGACCTTAACGAGATTGACAAATCTAGAAAAACCTAAGATAACCATTCTACAGACAGAACCTGCAACAAATATTTAAACACAGATCTAAACCTAGCTAGAGTATAAGCTTATGTACTTTACTCGACAATAACAAAATTCTAGGTAAAAGATGGGTTTTAAACTCATCTCTCTTATCTACAAGAGTTTGCCGTAAAACTTGAATTAGTAGGGTTCTCGTATATATGGATTTTCCTCCTCCTCTTCTTCTCTCCGTCAAATCGCCATTGTCTCTGTTCATCCTTCGCCGCCGTCTGTCTTCTAGCCGTTGACCCTTTTTGCAAGCAAAAAATTCGAGAGCGATGGTGAGGGTTTCTGTGAATCATCTAGATCCACCAGATCCCTTGACCCGTCGGATACCCGTGGACCTCTGCGGCCACCAGATCTAGCCCCTTCTCCTCAGCCACCAGATCTAGCCCCTCTCCGTCGTTCTCTAGCATCGCCAGATGAAGAGATCCGGTTATCTTTCTTAATCATCGAGCCTTGCATCAATACCAGAAATCTCCTTCTCTGATGAAGGAAATCGTTGTTCTCCTCTAAAGATTGAAGACTTGTTGATGCCAAACCTGAAGATCTCTCCTGTTTTGGGAAGTTTTTTTATGGTGTGTCAAAGATTGAGAATCAAAGACCCAAAGATATCTAGCTTTATGCTAAGTTGTTCTCAACTCATCTCACAAAAGACTTGTTCTTTGAAGGAAAATTCCAACTGCATCAATTAATTTGAATGCTTTGCGGCGGCGCTTGCTGAAGAGAAAAGAATGGTGATCCCAGACCTAGAGTTTCCTGACAACTCCTATGCCCATCTGAAGCTCTCCGTCAGCAATCTTTGTTTTCCTCCAACGATTTGGTTTTCGATCTCGTCAAAATCCGCCTCTCAGCTCGCCGTTCTTGCTTGTTGTGGCGGTGGAGACTCTCATCGGCGGCAAGGAAAAGAAAGAAAAAAAAAACATTTGATCAAGTTCAAATCTGATGGACCTAATTCAATTCTGGGCTAAGCCCAAGAAACATTGTATCCGATAAAAGTTTAAAACCTGTTTTTGGCTAAAACATAAGTTTTAAATAATTGATATGCCAAGTTTAATCTGGGTAAAACAAGTAAACTAAAAATCCGAAATTACTGTCCAAAATGAATATCATCGGATGGAATCGTCAAGGAGCTGGTTCGGATCTGACAAAAAATCATTTAGAAGAACTCTACAAATGTTTTCAACCGAGATTTCTATTTTTGTCGGAGACTAAAAATAATCGTTATCTTCTGCAAGACATGCAAGTTCATTTTGGATATGATCATGTTTTCACTGTTGAACCTAGAGGTCGAAGCGGCGGTTTAGCCCTGTCTTATATGGATGAACCTACGGTCTCTATTCTCTATTCTGATGAGCATTTAATTGATGTTGAATCAAGTCTAGACGGACATAAAAGTTTTATGACTTTCGTCTATGGTGATCCGGTTATAAAAAATCGAGAAAATGTTTGAGAACGTCTAACAAGGATAAGTACTACCAGAAAAGAAGTCTGGTTTATGATAGGAGATTTTAATGAAATTACCGAAAATCATGAGAAACGAGGAGGTCGGAGAAGACCAGAATACTCATTTATTCCTTTCCGGACTATGCTTGATAATTGTGGAATGCTTGACTTCCCGTACAAAGGAAATTCATTTTCCTGGGTTGGAAGAAGACGGTCTGGCAAAGTCAAATGCCGTCTAGACAGAGCTCTTGGAAATGAAGAATGACTTTCAAAATTTTCTCACTCTTCTGCGGAGTATATGAAACTTTGGGGATCAGATCATCGACCAGTCCTAGCTATGATAAAAATTGACAACATAAGGAAGAAAAAATCATTTCGATTTGATAAGAGATGGATCGGAAAGCCTGGTTTTAAAGAGACAGTCATTTCCAGGTGGGGCCCCTTTAATGAAATCTCACGTCGAGATTTTCATCAAAAAGTTGCACAATGCCGGAAAAACATCTTGATGAGGACATCAAGTCATCATCAGACCTGAAGCAAGGAATCAAGGAACAAGGAGATGAGAACATGGAGCCAAGACGAGCTAAGGAGACATGTGAGCTTTGTTCAGCACAAATGAAGACCAATACTGACCGTTCCAGCTCAACAAACATTTGGGATATTTACTCATCACGTCTAGAGCATACCACGAAGAAGAATCATCCCAAAAGCTTTCCACATGAAGAAGATATTGAAGATACACTCAGGCAGATCTTCAAAGGATCCGATGGAGACATACGACCACTTATTGAATCCCTCCAACCAGACCAGAAGGATTTAATACATGAAACCACTTTCTATGCAATCTGGATCCAGCATAGGCACGCGGGTAATTGGAATCAGTCCAATTGGAGTTCAGACATACGAGTTATTCAGCTTACAAACCGGGTTATCTCCAACAAACCCGATTTGGACATTTGCGCCTTGATCAAAGGATTCCGACCAAACAAGGACGAATCAAGCTATGAACCGGCTTGTTTTGGATTCTTCATTCATCAGAGAATCCAGGAGAACTGGAATCATACCGAGACCGGTTTTGGTTGGAAAGTTATTCAATTTCTAAACCAGAAGATTTCCGGCTTGCCTTATTTAGAACCTTTCGGGTTTTGGAGGCTTCAAACATATCAGTGGCGCCCAGGAGACTCTGAGTTACTTCTAGAAGCTTTCTACAACATCCTAAGGTGCACCAACACGCATTGGATCAGGCGGATCCAATAAAGTTCTCAATTAAGCCAACCGAAGCCATTTATGGCAAGTATGAGAGTCAACCGGTTTAATTCAACACAGAACCGACTTTGGCGACCAGGAGACTTCATTTACCAATCAAAGGGTCCAAACATTGTCCCACCATGCACCAGAACTCACAGGATCAGGCGGATCCTTCTGCAACTTCACTTGCCATATATAGATGCATTCACACTTGGAGCCATATCTCTCCAACAGCTCTTTTCCTTTGAATGCTACGACTTGAGAGTATTTTATGAAGATAATAATGTTCCAGAGAAGCTAAATTATCCCCTAAAACCGTCCAGATACAAAGGCATCATCACATTTTCATATTTGATCGAGATTCACTCATTTAGAGCCTAACGGCTAGTTTTAGATTAGCTTTGATTTGTTTCTTTGTCTTTCGCATTTTAGAACGTGTAAGAGCATTATATAAGCTCCTCTTAGTCCATTGTAAAAACTCACCTTTCAATCCAGAAATATACTAAGTATTCTTGTTTTCTTTCAAAGTGTTTCTTTGCAAAGATTGTTCTTTTTTTAGAATTAAGTGTGTGATTCACTTAGCTCTATAGAAGCTGCGACCTAGCTTGTTTGTGAGATTCAAACAATCTATTTCGTTCACAGATTGAGAGAGTCAGTCACCATCGATTGAGAGAGTCAATCAAATCCACCACCTTCCATCCCATCATCATATCCACTTCCGCAAAGCTTGTTGTCTTTGACAACCTTGTGAATTATAAGACTTGGTGTGATTCCAATCTTATATCACATCTCTATTTGGAAGAAATTCTCTCCGACTAACTCGGAAAAAATGATCGAAGAATTAAAAAACCAATTGGACTTAGCCCAAGATGATGATAATACAACACTAGAAGAGATTGAAGACATCAGGAGGAAACTTTGTGCTGCCCTCAGGGAAGAAGAAATGTTGTGGCAACAGAAGAGTCGAGAGAAATGGCACAAAGACGGTGATAAGAACACGAAATTCTTCCATGCCCTTACTAAACAAAGGAGAGCCAGGAACCGCATCGTCTCCCTTAAGGATAGTAGCGGACATTTGGTGGAAAATGCGAGAGGAATAGGAAAAGTGGTCTCTACATATTTTCAAGACCTTTTCTCCTCGTCTATCCACTCAGACCCAGAAAATTCTCTCCGGTTTAATACCGAGAAAGTCTCAGATAATACAAATCAATTACTTTTGAAGGATCCATCGGAGAAAGAAATGAAAGATGCGCTTTTCGATATTAACCCGGATAAAGCTCCTGGTCCTGATGGTATGACAAACAAATTTTACCAAAAATTCTGGCCTTTTATTCGCCATGATATTGTTAAACTGGTTAAAAACTTTTTCAGCTCCAGAACTTTTGATCCTAGACTTAACCAGACAAATATTTGTCTAATCCCAAAAATAAACAAACCTAGAGCAATGGGGGAATTTTGCCCAATCAGCCTGTGTAACGTCAGTTACAAGATCATCTCCAAGCTTTTATGCAAACGACTCAAAAAGACACTTCCAAACATCATTTCAGAAACACAATCGGCCTTCATGGCTAGACGACTTGTTACAGATAATATTCTGTTAGCGCAAGAAAATTTTCACGCTCTCCGAACCAACACAAATTGTAGAGAAAATTTAATGGCTATCAAGACAGATATGAGCAAAGCATATGACCGAATTGAATGGAGTTTCATTGAAGCTCTCCTTATCAAGTTAGTATATTCATCGAGATGGGTCAGTTTACTGATGTTTTGCATCTCATCAGTTTCATTCCAGGTCCTTATTAATGGAGAACCTGAAGGTAATATCAAACCGTCGAGGGGCTTAAGGCAAGGGGACCCTCTCTCCCCCTTCCTCTTTATTCTGTGCACAGAAGGCCTTATTTCGCTCCTCAAGGGAGCAGAGGAAGAGGAGCGAATCTCTGGGCTGAAAATAGCTCAAGCAAGTCCCCCAGTTTCCCACCTTCTCTTTGCTGATGATAGCCTGTTTTTCTGTAAAGCGGATATGCAACAAGGAGCGGAGATTCTTCGAATCATAAACACTTATGGAATGGCGTCGGGACAACAACTTAAGCTGGGGAAATCATCCATCATGTTTGGAGATAGAGTGGACCCAGATCTCAAACGAAGTGTTAAAAATACCATAGGTATTTCTACAGAAGGCGGCATGGGCATGTACCTAGGCCTACCTGAGCAAATCTGTGGATCAAAGAAGGAGGTCTTTTCTTTTGTTCATGAACGCCTTAGTAATCGTGTTAATAATTGGTCCGCAAGACTTCTTTCCAAGGGTGGAAAAGAGTTCAGATTAAATCAGTGGCTCAAGCCGTCCCCACTTACGTCATGTCTTGTTTTCTCCTTCCTAAAGGGGTTACAGACAAACTTCGGAGCGCCATTGCCAATTTTTGGTGGAGTTCAAAACAAACTAGTTGCGGAATCCACTGGATTGCATAGGACAAGATTTGTATTCCACAGGACATGGGAGGCCTTGGCTTTAGAGATCTAAATGATTTTAATCTAGCTTTGCTAGCGAAGAAAATATGGAGACTCATTCAGTACCCTTCATCTCTTCTGGCTCGGGTGCTAAGAGGAAGATATTATCGACAATCAGATCCGTTAGAGGATCGAAATGTCTACTCACCATCCTATGGATGGAGGAGTATGTTGGCCGCAAAACCGTATCTCAAAATGGGACTAAGGAAGACGATAGGGTCGGGACTAAATACGAGGGTGTGGAGTGACTCTTGGATCCCCGATGCCAGGGCCCGTCCACCAAGAGCAACCCCCCAAATCGGACTTCAGGACCCAGGAGTGTTAGTTTACTCCTTTATCCGTCAAGATACGAAGCAATGGGATGAGCCTCTTCTAAGAGAATTTTTCCAACCTGAAGATGTCTCTCTTATCCTTGGGTTGAGACCTAGTAGGAACCGTACCCTTGATGGATTTGCGTGGAACCATACTAAATCAGGAATATACACGCTTAAATCCGGATATGACCTGATAAGGAAATCAAACCTTGAACAGAATTTGGATGTTGTGAGAGAACCGAGTATTACAGCCCTTCAAAGCTATGTCTGGAAAGTACGGACGCCTGGAAAAATGAAGCATTTTATGTGGCAAGCTTTATCAGGATGTATTGCTACTTGCCAAAACCTAACCTACAGGCATATGGGAACAGATAAGGCCCCGCTGTGGGAATCCTGAAGAATCTATTAACCATCTTTTGTTTTTATGTCCCCTGGCTTTACAAGTCTGGGCGTTATCGGACTTTCCGTCCCTTCCGGGTCTCTTCCCGAGTACTTCTATTTACCAAAATATGAGCTTTCTCTTTTGGAAAACAAAAGAGTTAGGCATGACAGATCCTCAAAAGGATTTTTATCCTTGGATCTTGTGGTACATTTGGAAAGCGAGGAACGACAAGATCTACAACGGGAAAGAAATTTCCCCAGTAGATACCTTGATCCACGCCAATTGAAGCAGAAAGTTGGAAGATTGCAAACCAACCAAAAGAAGTAGAGGACGAACCAGATGAGGCGCCACTCACTACTTTGCTCCGGAGTCCTCTACCCTATGTCGAGAGGTTACCGCTGTGTTAGGTCGATGCTTCCTGGATAAGTAACGGCCTGGTAAGTGGGCTCGGATGGAGTCTAAAGGATGAGAGGGGTGGTGAGATCTTTGGCCTACAGGGCTGCCGTAGAAGCCTATCGGCCCTTCATGCCGAATTGGAGAATCTGTTATGGGCTATGTCTTGTGTGATAGAGAAACAAATCTTATCCGTTCACTTTCAGACCGATTGTTCGGATTTGGTAAGCATGTATGAATCTCCATCGGATTGGCCATCTTTTTCATCAGAGCTGGAAGCCCTTCGTATTCTTCGAGAAAACTTTTTGGATTTCAATCTATTACATATCCCTAGAAGTTCAAATGTCCGAGCAGATAGTCTTGCAAAAGGAGCTCGAGCAAGAGACGATATTTTCTCCCAAATCATTCATAACGAGCCAACTGAGGATGGTTTTCAGACCAATTCCTTAACGGGCCAAATGTGATGTAACAATTGGGTTGTGGAAAAAAAAAAAACAAAATTCTAGGTTAAGCAGAATGTACCTGCAAGGAATCTGAAGCGGCGTCAAAAGGAAGAAGCAAAGACGGAGAAGAGAAGTCACCTTTTTACATATACGCCATGTTCAAAAAAGCGCTCGGTCGGTCGAGGTCCGCTTAGCGCCTAGATAAAAAATCGAAGATTAATCGAAGATTAACCAGGGAATAGTTTTTAAATTTATATTAATTATTTTAATTATTTTTTAATATTTATTATATTTTTAAATTAATTTTGTTATACAGTATTAGACATACAATAAAAACTCTATAAATTAATAATGTTGGGATTTTGATATTATTTTAATTTATAGAGTTATTAATTTATAGATTTCAAATAAAAATATTTTTTTATTTCTTATTAATTTTAAAAGAGATTGTATAATTTTTTAATTTTTTTTTCTAAAATTTAAATTCGAAGAAGATTTTAATTTAAAATGATTGAAAAGCATTACTATACTCATATTTTAGTAGATTACTCATGTATATGTTTACATCAGATTTTGCTTATGGTAATTATTAATTTATAATATTAATAGGACCATAAATTTACATAGAAGTTTTGTTAAATTATTATTTTATTATTTTATCTAATTGTGTCATATTTTGAACTAGTCCAATTCGGGACTCTGAAAAATTATTAATTTATAATATTTATTAATTTATCGAGTATTAATTTATCAAATATTAATTTATATAATATTTACTGTATATGAACTAAAGTTTGTAAAAATATGTGCATAATAATAGACTTAGAAGATATACTAGTGTGTCGAAGACTCAAATTTAACTCAAACCCATAAATTCCTATGGCAATTTTTTCAACGTAGATTTTTTGGTTTGTCCCACATCGACAAACTTGGATAATTGAGAAGAGGAGCTGCACTATAAATAAGAGTCTTCATCTGCATTGTAATTAAAAATATTTCATCTCAAGTTGTGGACCTCGGACTAATACTGTGTGCGATCCTCTTCAGTTGGGCCTCTAAATGTGCCAGATTGTTTATAGAAGTTTCCGATTTTTTTAAGAAATCGGTTTTAGTCAATATAACATTGGTTGTCCGCTTAGATCGCCGATTAATCAGCAACTATATACGACAAAAAAATAAATCAGCAGCAATATTTTAGGATCTCTTTAGGGTTCAATTCTTATCTAGCTACGGGCTTAAAAATCAGGCCCATATTTGATTTAGCTGAGAGGGAAACCACAAGTCGAGGTTATATTTGTCATTGCAAATATTTGTCATTGCAAGTGAATTGTTAACACAAAAAAAATTAAAATTAAGGAAATATAAACTGTTGCAACTTGCATCACCATCGTTCTTAAGGTGGTCGATATACTCTTCCTTTCGGTCCCTCTATTTCCCCATTCCTCCATTCCTGATTCCTTTTTAGTATTTTTTTTTATAATCGATTCTTCCATTTTTTAGGGCTTTTGGACTATCAAATCATGCCGATAAGTTTGACTCCCAACGCCATCACGGCGATTAAAGCAGGCGACGTAAATTTGAAGCCTCTGTTACAGGTTTTAGATATCAAACTGATAGGAAAAAGTCAGGAGAGAAGCAAGGATAGGTACCGTTTGCTGATTTCAGATGGTATCTCAGCTCAATATGCTATGCTCGCGGTTCAGCTCAATGATCGAGTCAAGTCGGCACAGGTTGAGAAGGGATCCATTGTTCAGCTGATTGATTACATTTGCAGCGACGTTAAAGGCCGCAAGTAATTTTCATTTTTCTCCTTAAATTGTTTTCTCTTGTTCCAATTGAATTGCATAGTTTGGTGGAAATTTCCAGCGATTTCTGATTTCTTGTGTGCCGGAATAGTATTTTGTGGTTCAGTAAGTGTGACGTTAGAAGTTTGCTAGGTGTGTATTGATTTGGTATGGAGGAAAAGTTTAAGCCATGTGAGTTTGTTGGACGTTTCTGTTTTGGTAATTCAATCTTTATTTGGTTTGAGAACAAACTCAATACACCAGTTTTGCCTCAGATAAAACTTTCAGCTCTGTGACATACTATAATTCTCGCTCAGCTAAATGCTCGTAATGTTTTTGATTGTTCCATGTTAATTGTATGTGTAGATCTTGTTCTGCCATTGTGTTGAATTGCGTAGTTTTGATAAAATTTACCAGTGATTTCTGATTACTGGTTTGCCGTAATAATAGTTTCAAGGCTTGCTAGCGTGTTACTGCTTTAGCTTTGAAGGGAGAGAAGTTAAGCCATGTGATATTGTTGGACGCTTGTGTTTTGGTAATTCCATCTTTAGTACTCCGATTCGTATATGAGAACAAAATCTGTTCGAATACAATTTTCACCTCTGGTACATGCTAAATTTCTCGCTCAATCGAATGTCTCGTAATGTTTTTGAGCATTTCTAGTTATATGTTTTAGTTGTATGTATAAGACATTTGTTACAGTGAGATTCAAAAAACAAAGATAGCTTTGTTTGAAGATTGTTGTTAGTTATCTTGTGTTGATGAATGATTTGGCTTAAATTTCTCCTGGTGCCAAGATTTGTGCTGTTATCTCTGTAGTTCATAGAAATTTAATGGTAAGTTGGCAGATGTTGTGAAAAAATTTCAAGGGAAACGATTATGTTGATCGTGTTTGTAGATAATATATTTACATATTAACTTGAGTGAGCATGAGATATTTGAAGGAGTTTTGCTCTCTTGGATTGTAATTTTCTTATACTTCTATGCATATTGTGTGCAGCCTTATTGTGGTGCTGAACATGGAGACCATAGTACCACATTCTGAAACTATTGGCAACCCCACAATGTCTGCAGATTCAGATACAAAAGCCCAAAACCCGCTCTCAGATCTGGGCAGTATATCGCCTACAAATAGGTTTGTTTTTAATGAGCCGTCGATCCAGCATTTTGTTAATAAAGCACCTTCCGGGGGCGTAAACATTCAAAATCCAGTCAACAATACTCCAACTTTCAGGCCATCTGTTCAACCTTCATATCAACCACCTCCAAGCTACAGAAATCATGGACCCATAATGAAGAATGAAGCTCCAGCTCGAATCATCCCTATTGCTGCTCTCAACCCATACCAAGGTCGGTGGGCTATTAAGGCTAGAGTAACTGCAAAAGGAGATATCAGACGATATAATAATGCCAAAGGAGACGGGAAAGTTTTCTCCTTTGACCTGCTTGACTCTGATGGAGGGGAGATTCGTATTACTTGCTTTAATGTTGTTGTTGACCGATTCTATGATGTTATCGATGTTGGCAAGGTCTATTTGATCTCAAAGGGAAGTTTGAAGCCTGCACAGAAAAATTTCAACCACTTAAAGAACGAATGGGAAATTTTTTTGGAGTCAACTTCGACTGTAGAGCTTTGCCCTGATGAAGATGGCTCCATACCAAGGCAGCAGTTCTCCTTCCGTCCTATAAGTGACATTGAGAACGCTGAGAACAATACGATACTCGATATCATTGGAGTTGTGACTTCTGTGAATCCCTCAGTGCCAATCTTGAGAAAGAATGGGATGGAAACCCATAGGAGAATCCTGAATCTGAAGGATGAATCTGGTAAGGCCGTAGAAGTTACGCTATGGGGAGAATTCTGTAATCGAGATGGTCGGCAACTCGAAGAGTTGGTCGAGTCAGCTTTTTTCCCGGTTTTAGCAATAAAAGCTGGTAAAGTGAGTGACTTCAGTGGGAAATCAGTTGGGACTATATCGTCAACACAGCTCTTCATAAATCCAGATTTTCCTGAAGCGCATATACTGAGAAATTGGTTCGATCACGGGGGGAAAGATACTGCCTCCTCTTCCATTTCCAGAGACAATATGCCTGGAGGAGGTTCGAGGAACGAGATAAGAAAAACTGTTTCTCAGATCAAAGAGGAAGGTCTTGGAAGATCAGATAAGCCTGACTGGGTCACTGTGAAAGCAACTATATCATTCATCAAAACCGATAGCTTCTGTTACACAGCTTGTCCTTTGATGATTGGAGATAAACAATGCAACAAAAAGGTGACACAGACTGGAACAAACATGTGGCTCTGTGACCGGTGCAACCAAGAGTCCGAGGAATGCGACTACAGATACCTACTTCAGGTGCAGATTCAAGACCACACAGGATTGGCTTGGGTTACCGCGTTTCAAGAATCCGGTGAAGAGATCATGGGTTGTCCGGCTAAGCAGCTTTACAGCCTGAAATACGAATTGCAGAATGATGAAGAATTCGCAGAGATTGTTAGAAACAGACTGTTTCATCAGTACATGTTGAAGCTGAAGATCAAAGAAGAATCGTACGCGGATGAACAAAGAGTGAAGATGACCGTGGTGAAGGTAGATATGGTTAATTACATATCCGAGAGTAAATACTTGCTCAATTCGCTCGTAAGGTCTCTATAGAGATCTCAGTAACTCTCAATTAATGCAAAATCGAGTTTAGTTTTTCGATCTTAGTACATTACCATATAATGTAATTTGAGCTTTACGCTTTTTCCGAATCCCATTTGTTTATGGATTCATCAAGAGAAATTCAGGAAATAAGGAGTTTTTTTTTACTTGTGAGCAAAACTGATAAAATTTAATACATAAAAAATTAGAAAAATAAATAATAAATTGAACAATTCAAAACTAAGAACTTCTACATTAATCTATTTCAATTCTAAATCGAATATACAAAATGTAATTTTTTATAATCATTTTTGCATATATATTACATGAAATTATGTGAAATATGTTTTGTATGTGATAAAAATTTAGATGAATATAAATCTGAATTATTAGTTATTTAAAATATTACGTGAAAAGCCTTAAAATCAAGTAACTTAATCTTATATGAGTAGCATATATTTTTTATAGATAATAAATTAAATTCGTAATTTAAACAGTGATAATGAAAATTTTAATATCATGTGATTTTTTTGTTAGTAGAGATTTTTTTAAATTTATTTTTTAACTAAAATATTAGAATTATGAAACTTTTTAATTTACAAATTTGATATATATGAAAAAATTGAATTTTGAAATGCTGATGTAGATGCCTAGAAAATAATATATATTTTTAACTGTTATTAATAATAGAGTAATTTTGAATTAAAATTATTTTCTATATTGTTTTGTATTAAAAACTGTAATTTTATTATTTAGATTTTTTTTTTAAATTTTAGTTATTGATGTGGAATTGTGGACTAATGAAATTGACCTTTTAACTATTATAAGTTTTTACTAACAAATAATTTTAAAATTTGAAATTTTTCTTAATTTTAAATATTGATGTGGACCAATAGAGTTGAACTTTTAATTACTAAGTGGACACTATTAGAGACATGTAACTATAAATTTTATTAGTAATAGTTTTAGAAATTAATGCTGGAAGATCCCATACGAGGCTTGTTGCGGCAAGGGATTTGGTTTCTCCTCCTTTTTTGAGGCTTACCAAATATATTAGAATGGTGCTTGGTCAACTAATTGTTATCTTTGTGGTTCATATTGGTTAAAATTCCATCATATGTCATGTTATTTCAAAAATCTTCCTCGGATACTTCAGTCTCATTCATTTTGATGACGAAATTTATTTCTCTATTTTTAGTGCTTTGTTTTTAAAATGTGTTGAGTATAAATCACTTGACATATTTTTCGAATTGCTTGGAATTTATCATTTTTCTCAAATTCAATGGCCAAGCTTTGGAGATTTTACGGTCTCATTTTTAATATTAAAGCGACTTGTAGTGGCTTTGTTTATATCGCCTTTCATTATATTCTTTTTAATTGAGCTAATAGTTAGACATATAGTTTAGTCAAATTAATGATGCATTCTATATTGAAACCTAACTCTATTTTTTTGTTTTTTGTTTTATGTGAAATAGTTGAACACACAGATATAAAACTAAAACTTTGGATGCTAATATAAGAGTCTCTAACTATGTGTGTATATATCTAATTTAAATTTAAATTTCATATTTGAATATTATTTATTTTAATTTTTATTATTAATAAAAAAAATTTATACATAATTTTTTATTTTTAATAATTTATAAATACAAATATAGAATTTGAAATTTTTTTAGTTTTTAATATTGAGGTGTACCAATAAAAAATCTATTCAGAATTTCTTTATTCAGCAGTAAAGTTATAATTTGCAAACTTTTTTTAATTTCTTTATTCAGCAATTACAAATTGTAAACATTCTTGATTTTAAATGTTAATGTGAACCAATAAAATTGCTCTTTAAAATATTATGTGGACACCCTAAAAAACATTTAGGTTCAACTTTTATTATTTCATCATTTTAACTATATTCTAATTATACATGTGTTCTTTAAAAATAATAAAGAATAATAAAATTCAATATTTAATATTTTTCTTATTTAACCAATATAAATTTTTATTTTGATATATTAATTTTAATCGAACTATAAAATAAAATGTTTTATTTGAGATTAATAATTAACTTTTAATTTGAAACTAAAATAATAGTTGAATGTAAAATGAATAAAATAACACAAAATTTATGAATTAAATATATTTTTATCAATTGGTTGTGTAAATTTTTAAATAATTTTCCATTGATTATAAATAATTACTTCTAATAAAAATGAAATTGTTTTTCATCATGTTCATTTTTATTTATGTTATATCTGTTTTTCAATGAATATATCATATTTATTTATTTTAATGATTTATGTATGATTATATTCAGTTTCATCATATTCATTTTTACTTTTCCTAATTATAATTAAGTAGTCAAAATCGGTACAATTTAATAGATACAAATTTAGAAAAATAAATTAACAAATTGAACAACTCAAAACTAAGAACTTCTGCATTAATCTATTAAAATTTCAAGTCGAATATACAAAATGTAACTTGTTGATCATTTTTGCATAATATATTACATGAGATTATTTGGAAATATGTTTTGCATATGTGAAACAAAATAGATGAATATAAATTATAATTATTAAAAAATTAAAACAATACATGAAAAACCTTAAAATCAATTAACTTAAATTTGTATAAGTAGCATATATTTTTTTATAGATAATAAATTAATTTTGTAACGTAAACAGTGATAATGGAGATTTTAATATCATGTTGTTTTTTTTTTGTCAATAGAGATTTCTTTATTTTTTCATTTATTTTTTTCACCATAATATTAGATCGAATTAGATTTTTTTTTTAATTTACAATTTGGATATATACGAATAAAATTAAATTTTTAAATACTGATGTGGATGCCTTGAATTTTAAATATTGATGTGGACTAATATAATTGAACTTTTAAACATATGTGGACATTCTTAGAGGTATATACCTTTAACTTTTATTAGTAATAGATTTAGAAATCAAAGCTCGCAGATCCCACACGAGGCCTGTTGCGGAAAGTGATTTTTGTCTCTCCTTCTTGTTTTGAGGCTTACCGAATGTATTCGGATGCTGTTTGGTCAGCTAATTGTTACATTTTTAGTTCACGTTGGACTGTTAAAACTCCATTAGATGCCAAATTATTTCAAAAAAAAAATTTGGATACCTCAGTCTCCATCATCTTAATGATTGAACCTCTTTCTCTATATTTTCAGATTGCTTGGAATTTATCATTAATCTTAAATTCAGTGGCCAAACTATGAAGATTTTATGGATATTTTTTTTTTTAATATTAAAGCGGCTTGTAATGGATTTGTTTATATCTCCTTTCATTATATTTTCTGTAATTTAGATAATTGTTAAACATCTATACTATTAAAAGATAAGGATATTTTGTGTCCAAAAAGAATTTTTGCTTGATTTTCTATTATTCTGTTTTCTGATAACTGTTATTTTTGTTGCCAAACAAAAAATTATTGATTTTAATTTACATATACCAAATAAGTTGATTTAGTGTAATATTAATAAAATAAATTAATTTAGTGTAATATTTTAATATAAATCCAATTGTTTTTAATTTAGATTTGTTATCAATTTCCTTAAATATTGGTTATATTATCAAAAATTATAATATAAATTATTATTATATTATTCAGATATTAATGTAGACTTAATTTAAATATTCAAACTCAAATAATATTCTCAGTATAGAAATGAAAATGATATATTATTGTATATTTTTATTAAATGAGTCTAAAATTTAAATATTTAAATTTAATAAATATTTAAAATATACAAACAATATGAATGGACATGTCAAATTTTTTAATAGTTTTGATTCTTTCTGGATTAATATAAATGAGCATGTTATAATGATGTTTTTTAATTGTTGTACTTTTCAGATTAATATGAACGGACGGATTAGAATAATATTTTTCTAATCGCGATCATATATAACACTAGAAAATATATATCATTAGAATTATTACAGAAAAAATGTTTTTCATCACTTATTAGAAAATGTATATAAACAAAAACAAAAACAAAAATTATATTACATAAATAAAAAATAGTTCCTGTGTGAACGTACGGGGTAAAATCTAGTATAGTTTAATCAAGTTGGTTCTTTTACGTTGTAATGACTCATTTTTTAGTGAAATTTAACACATTTTTTGTTTTTTTTAATATTTAAAATGGTTGTACACACAGAAAAAAAAATCAAAATTATAGTTATGTGACAAAAATTTGGATGCTAATGTAAGAGTCTCTTAATATTATTTATTATAGTTTTTTTATTATTAATATAAAGTGTATATATAATATCTTTATCTTTAATCATTTTTTAAAACAATAATAGAATTTAGAAACTTTTTAATTTTCAATGTTGAACTGGACCAATAAAAAAAATTATAAATAATTTCTTAAATCAGCAATAATATTAGAATTTATAAATTTTTTTAATTTCTTTATTCAGCAATAATATTAGAATTTCTAATTTTTTTTTTATTTTGAATGTTGATATGGACAAATAAAATTACCTTTTAAAATCTTATGTGGACACTTTGATAAACATTTACCTTCAACTTTTAAGATAGGATTTCATTCGTCTACATACAAAAAAAAAATCCAAAAATTGGAGTCCCTTTATTTTTTGTTCTAACAAAAGAGACAATTAAATGAATAACCAAAATTCATAAAATGATGAAGAAAATAGCTATGAAGATCACGTAATAAAGCAAGTAACAAAGTCCATGATTTTGAGATGAAAATAATTTTATGTGGATAAGAGCGGTAAAAAAAAAGCAAGAGAAATAATGTACTCTCAGATAGGCCAGACGCATACCTTATCTACAACTAATATGTGTCAGTATAGACAATCTAATCACTAACATAACATATAGATATTATTTAACTTTTCAAAAGTTAATTTCCCTGCATTTTTTATGTGGACGAAAATGAAAGTTACTGCCATTAAATATGTTCTTACTATCAAAAGTCATATTAGTTCTGTTTGGCCGGGATGCACCACCGGTATATAATGACGACCGGCTGGAGGTATGATAATATATTGCAATTTAAAGGATTATAATATGTAGCCCGTCTATATAAGAATTTAGTTATAGACAAGTTATAATATATTATAGTTAAACTATACTGATATAAGTTGTTATGCAATTATTTTAATTAGTACAACATATATGCAGACATTCTTTATATTACCGAACTTGATTTTATAGTCCATCTATATTTTCGTACTGAGTAGGCATACATAACAAAGTATTGATATTGCAGTTGTGGATTCCGCTTTGGCAGATATTCCTTACGAAAGAGACAGTAAATTTGTTGGTCGGGTGTTCAAATCTAAAGTTGACTGTAAAATCAAGATTGCCATTCATGCCATATAGAGGAAGTTCCACTTTCGAACAACGCGCTCCACCCCCACATTCATGGTTTTAAAGTGTGTTTGTAAGTCATGCGAGTGACGTGTGTATGTTGTTATTATGGATGAGTCTGGAAACTTTCAGATCCAGTAGGCAACACTTGACCATGAAGTCAATTAAATACGTTCATGATTTTGTTGGTTATTAGGTATAATAAAAGCATACATTCAAAGAGTCAAACAAAAGTTCTATATAGATATAGAAAATCTACAGAAAATTCTATCAATAAAAAACCTATTCACGTATATATACATAAAAAACACAGACATATATAATAATGATCCACATGTAGTCGTTCTATATAAACTACATAGTCAATCAATTTAGTAAAAATCCTAAAATAAACTTCTAATTTCTTTTAATCTGAAACCCAAAATTTTCGATTATTTCAGCCTCCAATTGCAGAACACATAATCCAGAATCGACGATTTCATCTTATACAACTTATTGCGACATCATCAACGATAACGAATAAAACCCAAATCCGATATTGTTAATATAAACCCAAACCCAAAACTAGCCAACAGATTCAGGTCCACCGCCGGCTAATTTGAAACACCCCATCCCGGACTCTAAGCCCGTGGAGGTTGTTCCCGGTCGGACCGCTATACGGCTCCATTTCCATCAGTCCATTTTAGGGTCTAGTCCTTTATTTAATCCATGTTTGATGTATGTATTCTTAGATTCACTAACTTAGAGTCGATATGTAATAAACAAGTAAGAGAACAGATATTTTATTGATATAATAAAAGATTCAATACAACTTAAGAGTTTGCATATAAGCTATTATAAGTTCGCATGATCCCATCTATCTGTTCTATCACACCACCCATCATCCTTGGCTAAACGGTCAGTGCGCCTATCCTTTTTCCTTTCCGCGTTCATCGCTTCCTGTAAACCAACATTATAAGTACACGCTATTTTGGCTAAGTATTATTCATGCATATGTATGCGATTATGTTTATGTTTCCCGACCCCGTTTCTAATCCACAACAACTATTTCTAATCCGGTTCATAGGTCGGCCTTGGACTGGCCGAGTTTTGGCAAGAACCGCTCTGTCTCCCAAGCCACTCGGCTGCCGCGCCAACCGGATCTGGTCAATAACCAATACGATTCTATGTGCACCATCACCAGTCCAGTCTCAATTCAATGGTCGGCAATATTTTGAGATTTTGGCCGAGATACATGGTCGGATCTGCCTAGCCCATACTTCGGCCGATCGTCGCATGTCCTCGGTCAAATCTGTTCTTTCTTCTGCCGCCACTAACCATCCGTTCGGCCTAGCCCATACTTCGGCCGATCATCAGGATCGTACGGTGAAATAACAACTTAACCGTACGCTCCTATCTACGAACGCACCTTAGAGATTCACGGTCGTTGGTTCTTGCCGCGTTCCCTTTCTTCTTCCTTCTTCCGCGACCCGCACCAGCCACTCCGGTCGATTCCTCCTACCGCCGGACATGTTATTTCTCTCTCCTGGTTTGCCTTAGTCTCACGGTTTGGTAGAAATTTGGGCAGAGTTTCTCTCCCTGTTTGTGAGTGTCTAAAAACGGGGACAAGGAGGTCAATTTATAGATTTCCCTTGATGTAACCGCCTTGGACGAACTGGTGCATGTTATTGGACGAACGGGTGTGTTGATTGGGTGCATAGGCTTTGCAACCCTTCGGCCATAACCGCCCAAGTCCAGCCAGCTCACTTAGCACTCAGCTGGACCAACTGTATTATACTCTTCCCAGCTGAGCTGCGCTTCCCGGCAGCTGATCTAGCTAGCTTAGCTTACCCCTTCCAGCTCGTCTTAGCTCAATCCTACTCGTTGAGCTATCTTTCTTTCTTTTTATTGGCTAAATCCCACGCTAATGAACTTAAACCATCCTTCTGGACCATGGCTTATGTTCTTCCTTAAACTCTCGGCCATTGTTTTCCGCTTCACGGCCATGGTCCGTCCAGGCGACCCTATTGCGGATCGGGGACGTTACAAGTCTCCCCCCTTGAAAGGGATTCGTCCTCGAATCCGGGCTAAGGGGTAGAACCTTGTTCCATTCCTCGAACAACTCGGGATAATCCGCCTTCATCCGATATTCTGTTTCCCAAGTTTCTTCTTCCACACCGTTACTTTCCCAAACGACTTTGACCATCGGAATCTTTTTCCTTGTTGCTTTTTCCATCTTGTCAATGATCTGGACTGGTCTTGTTTCCACAGTCAGATTCCCTTTAAGGTCTGAAGGAATCTTGGCCAGGACTTTATACGGCGACATCTCAATGCTGGCTTGGAAAATGTTGTTGTAAGCGAATTCGGCTAAGGGTAAATATTTCCTTCATGAACCGCCCCAATCCAGAACGCAAGCCTGTAGCATGTCTTCGAGGATTTGTATGGTCCGTTCTAACTGACCGTCTGTCTGCGGATGGTAAGCCGTGCTCATGTTCACTCTTGTCCCCAAGGCTTTTTGAAAAGCCCTCCAGAAGAAAGACGTGAACCAAGAATCCTGGTCTGAAACTATGCTTGCCGGAACACCATGAAAACGGACTATTCCATCCAGATACCTGCCCACAATATGTTCAACACCATCCGTCTTCTTAATTGCGATGAAGTGAGCAGACTTAGTTAATCGATCCACCACAACCCAGACCGCATCACGTCCGGTCCCTGTTCGGGGAAAACCAGTCACGAAATCCATCGTTACATGATCCCATTTCCACTCTGGAATGGGTAAACTCTGTAGCAACCCACTCGGGACTTGATGTTCCGCCTTTACCAGTTGACAAGTAGGACATCTTGCCACCCACTCAGCCACGTCTCTTTTCATCCCGACCCAATGATAATACCGTTTCAGATCCTGGTACATATTGTTAAGTCCGGGATGAATCGAGAACTTAGACTGATGCGCTTCTCTAAGGACTTCTTCCTTTAACTCTTTCACCTCTTGAACACATACCCGGACGTTAACCACAATCGTGCCATTGTTTGACGTTTGGTACTCCGTCTTCCCATTCTGCACAGCCTTGCACAAGATCTCATCTTTTCCTTGTGCAATCCGAATCCGGGTAAGCAGGTCAGCTTGATCTGCCGCCCTTAAGCCCAACGGTTCCAGTTCGGTGGACAAGGCATTAAGGTGAAATGTCCCAATCATGTTTAGTAGCATCTCCGCTTCTTTTTCCGCAGCCACTTTGGACCGTCTTCTGCTCAGAGCATCCGCGACTAAGTTAGCTTTGCCATGATGGTAAGCTATATCCAGGTCGTAATCCGCCACAAGTTGCATCCACCGCCTTTGCCTTAGGTTTAATTCAGGCTGCGTGAAGATGTACTTCAGACTCGTATGGTCGATGTAGATTTGCACTTTAGCTCCATAGAGATAAGATCACCATATCTTAAGTGCAAAGACTACTGCCGCTATTTCCAAATCATGGGTTGGATTATTCCCTTCGTGTTTCCGTAACTGCTTTGATGCATAAGCGATCACCTTGCCGTTTATAGATGCATCCGCGTACACCACATACGGCTGGTCTGTTTCAGGTAAAGCTAGAACCGGTGCGCTTGTTATTTTTTCCTTCAGCCCGGCAAAACTCTTTTCACACCCCTCCGTCCACATGAATTTCACATCCTTCCCGGTCAGCCGCGTCAATGACTTGGCTAAACTCGAGAATCCATTCACAAACTTCTTATAATATCCCACCAAGCCGAGAAAACTCCTTATTTCCGAAGCGTTCTTGGGTCTTGGCCATTCCTTAATGGCTTTGATCTTCTCTGGATCCACCGATACACCTTGGTATAAGAAAATATGTCCTAGGAACCCAATACTCCTTTGCCAAAAGCTACACTTGCTCAATTTTGCATATAGCTTTTGGTCCCTTAGTCGCTGCAACACCGCCCTCAAATGACTTTGATGCGTTTCCTAGTATTTTGAATAAACGAGAATTTCATCGATGAAAATGATAACAAATTCGTCCAGACAATCACGGAAAATCACGTTCATCATCTTCATGAAGGCTGCTGGCGCGTTTGTCAATCCGAATGGCATAACCACAAATTCAAAATGGCCATACCTAGTCCGGAAAGCCGTCTTGCGCGCATCCGAAGGCTCTATGAGAATCTGATGATATCCCGAAGCCAAATCCACCTTTGAGAACACGGTCGCCCCTTTCAACTGATCCAGCAACTCGTCTATCCGAGGCAATGGGTACTTGTTCTTAACAGTTACTCGGTCAAGCCCTCGGTAGTCGATGCACAACCTAAAGCTTCCGTCTTTCTTCTTAACAAATAAAACCGGCGCTCCCCATGGTGAACTACTTGGCCTGATAAATCCTTTTTCCAATAGTTATTCCAACTGTTTCTTAACCTCGGCCATTTCTGCCGGAGCCATCCGGTAAGGCGCCTTCGAGAGTGGGGACGTTCCCAGTTCAAGTTCTATCGTAAATGGATCCGACTGGTCAGGTGGTAAACCTGTTAAGCCCTGGAACACATCTGCAAATTCATTGACTACCGGAATTTCCTTGATCTTGGCACCCTTGCCCACTTCGGCCATGGTGATTGTGGCCAAGTAAGCCTCACACCCCTTCTCAAGCATCCTTTCTGCTTGGATCGTTGAGACAATCAAACTCCCTGAAGGTTGTTGAATTCTTTGAAACTCCAATTTTCCCGCATCCCGCACGAACCGCACCTGTCCCCGGTAACAGTCTAGCGTTGTTTTATATCACTTTGTGATGCTTGAGTTGGACTATGACCAGATCCGCCGGTGGGTTCACACCCCCGATCATCACCGAGATGTCATGGACTGTTTCCTGCGAGTACATGACCTGACAACCTGCGGCATTGACTATCCCATAGTCTTTCCCAGGTTCTGTAGCCTTTTCATGTTCTCTACAGAACCTGCCTTTTCCTATCATTTCCGGGCTCACAAAACTATGTGTAGCTCCGGTATCATATAAGACGTGTGTTGACACACCGCCTATTTTTAGGGTCCCTACACATTTTTCCTAAATGTTAAATCCCCTATCATTTCTACCCCGATGCAATGCCATGCTCAAAATTTAAATTATTGAATAGGCTAGGAAACTTACCAGTGATCTCACTGTAACTTCCGGCCTCATCAATTTTCTTGGACAACTCGTACATCCGGGGTGCTACAGCCTGTCTCTTAGCTTGCTGTGTGTCCCCGCTACGGTTTCCTCTTTGTTCCATCCGTATCTCATCTTGCAGCTTAGGACATTTCTTCTTGAAATGTCCGGCCTTTCCGCAATAGAAACAGGATATTTCCTCATTTTTAACCCTGAGCTGCCCTTGCTCAATCCGCGGACAGCTTTGAACCGTGTGGTTCTTGCTTCTGCACTTGGCACATGCTCTAGCCATTTTCCAGCATGTACCCCCGTGCTTCTTTCCGCAAGTCGCACATTCCCCTTGTTTAGCCGAGGCTTGACCGCCTTCACCGACCTGATCCCATTTCTGTTTCCTGTTATCCACGATCTTACTCGCCAGGTTGGGACGTGTCAGAGCTCTTTCCTTATTTTCTTCCTCAATACTGGACTCAACAGCCGCAGCCCGTTCCACCAATTCCGCAACCGATCTGAAGGTGCGTGAGGAGCAATGAGTTCAGAGGTCTCCTCTTAAGCCGTGGAGGAATCGCCGGATCTGTGTATCCTCCTTCACCAATTCCTCTCAAACACACCGTCGAAGACGGTTGAATTCCACCTCGTACTCTCGGACAGTCCAGTTTCCTTGTGTTAAATCCATGAATTGCTGTTCAAGTCTATCCCAAGCTTCCGAGGGAAAGTACTTTTGGTTGAACTTCTCATCAAACTCGGCAAAAGTATCAATACCCCCCGAGCGTTTTTCCACTGATACCCACCAATTATGCGCATCCCCTTCAAGGAAGTGGACCGCAATGTCCTTCTTGTAATCTTCCGGGCATCTTGTGGATCGAAAATTTCAGACCATGCGGTTCCTCCATTCATCTGCCTCTATCGGGTCGGAACTACCCCGGAATTGCCTAGTTCCAAGCCTGGCCACGTGATCCAACACGACCAAATAGTCTAACCTTCCTTGTTGTCTTAGCCAGTGATGAGTCGAGTTCCATCACCTCCGCAGCCATGCCTTCCTTCTCTTCTACAATCGGAATGGTCGTACGGTTTTTTGTGGATTGCCCATCGAACAGGTTTCTCGCTGGTGCGGCAGTCTGACTCAGGACCGCCAACTGCGTCATAATAGCTTAGAGTGTTTGTCACATCTCCGCAGGAGTAGGTACTGCAGTCTGGTTTCCCGTTCCAGCCACCGAACCTTCCTTATTTCCAGAACCTTTATCCGATGTCTCAGCAAAATCGTCACGATTCATCGCCTCACGACCGTCCTGGTCGCCCATCGGTCTCTTCCCATTATCCACGACCTTGGTCTGTTCATGCACGACCAAATTCCCGTTGCCCTTTTCTCTTTCCCCAGCTTTAGGTCCGGTAGGGTTGAGAGCAGAGGGATCCGCCGCATTGGCCTGACTTGTTTCGGCCGTCTCCTTATTCTTTTTACTTTTCTCCGTCTTGTTGCTTTTACCCATCTGCAAAATTTGTTTAGTTAGTGCATCCTAACTATTACCCAGATTCTTAGACAAGCCTAGCTACAACCTAGCGCGAGAACCTTTTAGCCAATGAGTAGTGTACCCAAAACCCAACACAACCGTCCTAGGAGCAAACATGCTCTGATACCAACTTGAAACACCCCATCCTGGACTCTAAGCCTATGGAGGTTGTTCCCGGTTGGACCGCTATACGGCTCCAACCCCATCAGTCCATTTTAGGGTCTCATCCTTTATTTAATCCATGTTCGATGTATGTATTCTGAGATTCACTAACTTAGAGTCGATATGTAATAAACAAGTAAGCGAACAGATATTTTATTGATATAATAAAGGATTCAATACAACTTAAGAGTTTGCATATAAGCTATTATAAGTTCGCATGATCCCAACTATCTGTTCTATCACACCACCCATCATCCTTGGCTAAACGGTCTGCGCGCCTATCCTTTTTCCTTTCCGCGTTCATCGCTTCCTGCAAACCAACATTATAAGTATACGCTATTTTGGCTAAGTATTATTCATGCACATGTATGCGATTATGTTTATGTCTCCCGACCCCGTTTCTAACCCACTGCAACTATTTATAATCCGGTTTATAGGTTGGCCTTGGACTGGCCGAGTTTTGGCGAGAACCGTTCTGTCTCCCAAGCCACTCGGCTGCCGCGCTAACCGGATCCGGTCAATAACCAATACGACTCTATGCGCACCATCACCGGCCCAGTCTCAATTCCATGGCCGGCAATCTTTTGAGATTTCGGCCGAGATACATGGTCGGATCTGCCTAGCCCATACTTCGGCCGATCGTCACATATCCTTGGACAAATCCATAATTTCTTCCGCCGCCACTAACCATCTGTTCGGCCTAGCCCATACTTCGGCCGATCATCAGGATCATGCGGTGAAATAACAACTTAACCGTACGCTCCTATCTACGAACGCACCTTAGAGATTCACGGTCGTTGGTTCTTGCTGCATTCCCTTTCTTCTTCTTTCTTCCGCGACCGCACCAGCCGCTCCGGTCGATTCCTCCTACCGCCGGACAGGTTATTTCTCTCTTCCGGTTTGTCTTAGTCTCACGGTTTGATAGAAATTTGGGCAGAGTTTCTCTCCCTGTTTGTGTGTGTCTAAAAATGGGGACAAGGGGGTCTATTTATAGATTTCTCTTGATGTAACCGCCTTGGGGAACTGGTGCATGTTATTGGTCGAACGGGTGTGTTGATTGGGTGCATAGGCTTTGCAACCCTTCGGCCATAATCGCCCAAGTCCAGCCAGCTCACTTACCACTCAGCTAGACCAACTGTATTATACTCTTTCCAGCTGAGCTGTGTTTCCCGGCAGCTGATCCAGCTAACTTAGCTTACCTATTCCAACTCGTCTTAGCTCAATCCTACTCGTTGAGCTATCTTTCTTTATTTTTCTTGGCTAAGTCCCACGTTAACGAATTTAACCCATCCTTATGGACCATGGCTCATGTTCTTCCTTAAACTCTCGGCCATTGTTTCCCGCTTCATGGCCATGGTCCGTCCCAGCGACCCTATTGCGGATTTGGGACGTTACATAATTCGTCGGAGAAATCTGCTCCTCCGCCGGCTAATTCCTCATCACCTCTTACCCACCGGTTGATTCATCACCGCCAACATCGTCCGACCCAGAACTGTCGCCTCCTTCTCCTGATTCAAAGCTTATACAGCTTATTGCATCAGCATCGATGAGTACAAACACAAACCAATCTTCCTCAACATTTCCTCATTTTTCATTGGCATGCAATAAATTAAAACTACAAACAAAATAATTTACAGTATTTCGCTGTTCTTCACTCTTCAATTTTCGATGACTCTTCACTTAACTTAAATTTTTTATCACTTTTTAATCTTCGTTGTTCTTCATTTTTGTCAATTGTTCTCTTTTTTAAATAAAAATTTTAAAAGAAAGTTTTCTCCTGATTTTAAAAGTTTTTTTTCCAAATTTTTTTTTTTTCAAATACTAAATATATTATATAGATGAATTAAAATCAATAATAACATATTTATTTTTACGGATTAAAATTAATAAGTTATGTCCTACGAATGAGAAAATTAAAGAGTAAATTTGTATATATTATATATAATATATAGAATATAATAACTATATAATTATTTTTTTAAATATTAAATTTTTGTTGATTATGCCTTTTTTTTTTTCTCGGGAAATTTACATGCCTAATTGCGTTAAGAAGGTAAGGGTGTGGTGTGATGGAAACACGCGTAACAGGCCCGTCACAGAGAACCCAAAAAACAAAAAAATAGAGTACGTAATTAGAAGGGAAGGATTTCTGGAACATTCCACGGAATTCTCCACACTCCGAGAAGAAACATGAATCGGTTTTTTTAAGACTAAAACTATTCTCTCTCTCTCTCCCCCTTTTCTTCAAAGAAGGAAGAGGAACAAACCCCACAACAGCTGAAAATTCACAAGAAACAGAGCAAAGTTTGGATTCATCTTCTCCTCCTCGTGAGATAGATAGATAATCGGATTCAGGAAAAGTGAAGAAGCGAAAGAGAGAAGAAGAAAAAGAAGGTCGGATGGGAGTGGATTACTACAAGGTCCTCCAAGTCGATCGCAGCGCCAGCGACGATGATCTTAAGAAAGCTTACAGAAAACTCGCCATGAAATGGCATCCCGACAAAAATCCTAATAACAAAAAGGACGCTGAGGCTAAGTTCAAGCAGATCTCCGAAGCTTACGAGGTAACATATATATATATATATATATATAGATTTCAATTCGATCCCAAGATCAAATCTTTATGCGTTTCCAGAGCTGTGGACTAATTTGATATAGACTGACTTTTTGCTAGGGGGTTTTGAGTTATTCAAATGCTGGCTTAGTTCTTTTTAGAGACCTTATGCTAAAGAGGTTTTGCATACTGTAGTTTATGTCCTCTGCTCTCTGTGGATTGATGATTGTTAGGAGTTGTTGTTTCCAATTGGTGTCAGACACACTCATTTGTTAGTTTTGTTTTTTGATACATACACTACTGATCCTGTTACTGACTCTCTCTCTCTCTCACCATTGTTGTAGGTTCTAAGCGATCCACAGAAGAAAGCGGTATACGATCAGTATGGTGAGGAAGGGTTGAAAGGGAACGTGCCACCTCCAGATGCTGGTGGAGCCACTTACTTCTCCACCGGGGACGGTCCAACGTCCTTCCGGTTCAACCCTCGAAGTGCAGACGATATATTTGCTGAGTTCTTTGGGTTCTCAAGCCCATTTGGTGGCGGCGCTGGCGGCGGCGGCAGAGGTACAAGATTCTCTAGCAGTATGTTTGGTGATGACATATTTGCCTCTTTCGGTGAAGGAGGAGGAGCTGGTGGCGGGTCAATGCATCAGCATCACGGTGGAGTCAGGAAGGCGGCTCCTATCGAAAACAAGTTGCCTTGTAGCCTTGAAGATCTTTACAAAGGAACCACCAAAAAGATGAGGATCTCCAGGGAGATTGCTGATGTCAGCGGGTAAGTAAGTGAATGTGATGATCAAATTGGAGCCTTTTGCTTAGATTGCTTGTAGCTTGGCCGTAAAAAAAACACGAGCTTGATCAAGTTCTTAGCCTTATTTAGTTAGCTAAAATATCAGAAGGCTGAAAGGTGTTCTCTTTTGATAAATCTGCAGCAAGACGATGCAGGTGGAAGAGATTTTAACCATTGATGTGAAGCCAGGGTGGAAGAAAGGCACAAAAATCACATTCCCCGAGAAAGGGAACGAGCAACCTGGTGTGACTCCAGCCGATTTAGTCTTCATCATCGACGAGAAGCCTCACCCAGTTTTCACTAGAGAAGGCAACGACCTGATAGTCACACAGAAGATCTCACTTGTTGAGGCGTTGACCGGCTATACAGTGAACCTGACAACGCTCGATGGTCGGAGACTGACAATCCCTGTTACCAGCGTGATACACCCTGAGTACGAGGAAGTGGTTCCAAAGGAAGGAATGCCGTTACAGAAAGATCAGACCAAAAGAGGAAACTTGAGGATCAAGTTCAACATCAAGTTCCCCACAAGATTGACCTCAGAGCAGAAGACAGGAGTGAAGAAGCTTCTCGGATAGATTTGAGTTGTACATTCGGGGGATAAAACACAATGTGGAGCAGAAGAGGAAGGTGAAGAGTAAAGCTTCTCAATACTGTTGTGTCCTTTTTCGTCGATTTTGTAACATAAGAACACGATTGAATTACTCGTAATAAAATTGTGTTGCTTTTTTCTATAATAATCGAAACGACTTTAAACCTTGCCTATAAAATTGCAAGATTACCGTTGTTTTTAATCACATCCTGAGCCTGATGTACAGAAAACAGTTGCAACACTGAAGAGACCTCAGTCCAAAAAGGTTTACTATCATCTCCCGCAACAAATTCTTGAACAACATTGTTTACCTCTATCAAGCTACAACCTGGCGTCCTCTTCATGTTTCCGTTCCTTATCAGCTTCCTCATTCTGGAAACATCTTCCCATTTCCCCAAATCTGCATAAATATTGGAGAGCTGAACATAATTCCCCATATCCTCTGGCTCTAGCTCAGCAAGATGATGCATCGCGACCAGAGCAACATCGAGATTGCCTCGTGTCCTGCAAGAACTCAACAGTGATCCCCAAATCTTAGAGTCAGGTTTCACCGGCATTGTTTTGGTTATCTCAACAGCTTGTTCCAGTTTTCCTGCTCTTGCCAAAACATCGATCAAACAACCATAGTGTTCGATCTTGGGTTCTATCTGATAATCCTCTCTCATCATATCAAAATACTTCAAACCTTGCTGCCACAAGCCAACATGTGAACAAGCTGATAAAAGGCCAAGGAATGTGATCCCATTAGGCTTCACCTTCGCTCTCTGCATTTCGTTAAATGTTTCGATAGCTTGGTGAGCGTTCCCGTGATGTGCATACCCTGAGATCATTGTACTCCATGATATAACATCTTTCCTCTTCATTCGGCTGAACAATTCGATTGCTTGACTAATCAGACCGCATTTCGAGTACATCTCGATAAGTGCATTGCAAACACCAGTTTGTTTCAGAAATCCCTTTCTGTCTGCATACATATGGATCCATTTCCCAAGCTCCAGAGATCCGAGATGAGCACACGATGGTAAAACAGAGATGAGACTGATCTCATCAGGCTCGATACCAGCTAACTGCATTCCACGGAAGAACTCCATGGCTTCTACGTAACACCCAATCCCGGTGTACCCAGAGATCATCGCAGTCCAAGATACAATCGTTTTATCAGGCATTGAATGAAACAGGGCTTTTGCTTTCTTCATCTGCCCAAGCCGAGCATACCCAGAGAGCAGACTATTCCACGATATAACATCTCTCACAGACATTTCATCGAACACTTTATGTGCATCAGCAAGATCATCAAACTTCATGTACATATCAATCAGCGCATTCTCTGTCACAAGATGGAATTTAGGCCCGAATTTGCAGAGATGACCGTGAGCTTGCTTCCCTAAGTAATAGGATCCAATGCTTGCGCAAGATTTGAACATAAACGGAAAAGTGAACCGATCGGGAAGGTCAAGGCTCTTCCTGAGCAGCTGCCTGTAGATACGGATCACATCGCGATACAAGGAATTGTGGGCATAAGCTCGAATGATTGAATTGTACAAGAAGACATTAGGATTCGCTACTTGCTTGAAAAGACGGGTTGCACACTCCATATCTCCAATCTTATCGCAGACATCCACCATTTTGGTGACCATAAAGCTGCTTTGAGACAGTCCATGTACGATGATGGAGGCATGGATTTTCTTCCATTCTCCTAGGCTTTTGAATCGCTGTAGAAAAGGCACAAAATAATTCTCCAATTCTCTAATTCCATGAAAGGCCATCAAAAAACAAGCTTTGGAAGCAATCTGCTCGAAGAGGAGGCTCGTCGTGGTGGTGGAAACAATGGCTAAAAAAAAAACAAAGCCCATTTCCATTTCCAGGGCCATTTTCGATCTTTTTCCAGCATTGTGCACGTTATTATTTATCTCCGTAATTAAAGAAGTTTGTAATATTACAATCTTTTTTTGTGTCTCAAAATAAAACATTGCAACACGCAAGATACGGTCTGAAATTCACAAGAATAGTTTTACTTTGAAGAATCGAAATCTCAGCTTTTGGTCTGGTATGATCGTCGTACCCCTTCTACTTCTTTGACTTCAAATCAAGGTCCATAGCCTGTAGGTTAAGAAGCAGATCGTTAGAGCTCAAGTAGACCTTATTCGCCGAGTTTGAGATGGTCTGTGCAATCTCTCTAGCCGCTTCAATCTTCCTCAGCGTTAAGAAGGCTTGGTTGTTTGCGATTGCTTGACCTATGAGCTGAGCACTCTTAGCTTCTCCCTACACACCGTCACAAGAAACACCATTGCTTAGCAAATGTTTACCAAATGAGACTGAAAAAAGAGAAAAGAAAAAAAGCAATTTTCCCGCACCTCAGCGCGGATGACAGCACTTCTCTTGTCCTGTTCAGCCTTTTCAACAATGAACTTAGCCCGCTCAGCCTCTTGAGCTGCCACCTGCTTTGCTTCAATGGCTGCCGTGAACTCCCTTCCAAATGTCAAGCCCGTGATGGACACGTCGTCCAGCGCAATGTTGAAGTTAGCAGCCCGTGCAGTTAAGATTTTCCTGATTTCCCTACTCACAGCCTTCCAAAAACAAAAACAAAAAAAGAAACTCATCCGTTAAAAAAGGCAAAATAACTTCACCATTAAAAAAGGAAGCAATAATAATAACAGTCAGTTGGTTAACCTCTCTCTGAGTAATAAGCTGGCTTGCGTTGTACTGAGCAACCACAGCTTTCAAGGTCTCGTGGATAATCGAAGGCAAAACTCTCTCGCTGTACTTCTCACCAAGAGTTCGGTATACTTGTGGTAATTGGTCAGCCATGGGACGGGTGAGAACCCGAAGCCCAATTTTAACCTGAAATGTTTTAATCCCACACAGCATTAGCTTCTTTCTGATATGTGTTTCAAAAGAAGAAGCACAGGACCAGCTTAAAAACCAAAAATAGTAGTTAGAGGGAAGAAATGAAGCAGAGTACCATCTGCAGATCACGGCTCCCGGATGTACTCTCGACTAAATAAGGACGTGCACGAACATCATAAATGATTGGCCTTTCGAACCACGGAATCATAAGGTGAGTACCCTCAGGGTAAACCTGCAGCAGCACAACCAAAGATATATATTTAATTAACCTGCTCATTCACTAGTGCGTCACAAGACTTATATATCTAAGAGATCAGTGGAATATCAAGAACCAATTTGAATTGGGTGACTAAGAGACAGAGGAAGGAAACTAAGAAATTTACACATTGTAGATGATGGAAGCTAGGATAGAGATAATAACATATTAAGGGGGAAAAAAAAGCAAAATTTGAAAAGAGGGTAACCTTGTCTTTGATACCAACAAGGCGGTTGAAGACAATGGCTCGATGTCCTCCATCGACATTGTAGAAAGAGTGTGTGGCGCCGTAGAGACCGAGCCCACCTATAAGCACCGCAGCTATGGCACCTCCACCTGGACCCTTGGGAACTTTTACATTCTTGAAACTCATCTTTTTTTTTTTTTTTCAACAACAACCTGAAAAATGTCAAAACAAAATCAAAATCAAAAACAAATCTGGACTCAAATCTACTCAGTTGCACAGCTCAAAGACATCCCAATCTCCAAATAAAACAAATTCAGATGAGAGAGACAAGATTCATGTATAGTTGCATCGATATGTTCAAAAAAAAAAAAAAGGGATCGACGACGACACAGAAACAAAGATGATCTGCAAAATTACCTTAAAAGAAACAAAAATGGAGCAGCAAACCGCCAAAGAATTTTTGCTCAAAACACGGATCAAGAACGACAGAAAATCGAGATACCGGGGAAAATGGCGAGATGGAGGAGTACCTCAAAAAGTCAAAATCCTGCAAATGGCGAGGTTATTAGGGTTTAAGCTCTGAGCATTCTGTTGAACGTGTTTGGTCAGTCACGCATTTTCTGTTACTAAAGAGATCTTTGGGCCCAAGCCCATTAGTCAATTCACTATTTTGGTTTCTTTTGTGTGTGGCTTTTATCTTCTCTCTCCCCGACGAAGAAAATGACCGAAACATACAAGACCAAAATCAGACTCATGAAAGAGGAAAACACTGCAATTAAAGAAAGAGAATCAGTAGAGACTTAGAATTTAACAAGAGAATTTATTTGAATCTGTTCAACTTAGTTAAATTTCAACTCTTGCTAATCAGATACTGAAAAAGGGAAAGAAAAATAACACTAACACCAAACAATTTCCCAGATTTTATTAGGAACTCAGATTTTGTTCATTTATTCTCCATTTGTTTATGGATTCATCGAGACTAAAAAAATTCAGGAAACAAGGAGTTTTTTTTTTTACTTGTGAGCAGAGAGTACACACCAAAGTTTCATTACTGGAACATGCATTAAACAAATACACAGGACACACATTACAACAATGGTGTAAGAAAGATAAAACATATATTAGCTACTTAGGTTCTCTTGACAGGGTCAAAGTTGGAGACACCGACGACGGCACCAATGATGACAGTGAGAACGACGCCACCGGAAGCAATACTGAGCAAGAAATTCTTGAGAGAAGGAGAGATTCCGGGACCGGCGGCTTCAGCAACCTCCGGGATCACCATCGAGGCAGTGAGGGCAGCCGCTGAGAGTCCAGTTAAAGCCTTGTCGAACTTGAGCTTTGAAGCTCTAACTTGGAGCCTCTGTGTTCTGCCTTTAGGTGCAGCCATGGCCTTGGATGGTTTCAGAGGTAATGGGTTGAAGAAAGTCGATGAGCGGGTCTGGTTAAGCGGTGTGACCAATGACATTGTGGAGGTAGAAGCCATTTTTCCAAGTATTTGGTCTCTCTCTCTCTCTTCTCTCTTTGGAAATGTGTGATATTGCTTGGGAGAATGGAGTTTGAGAAGGGAAATGAGAAAAAGCTGAAGATGGAGATAAGAGGATATGAGTCTTACGTGGCAGATTCTTAGCTTTCCAATGGCTGATTGGATAGATAAGGTTATCTCAATTGGAGATAATGTGAAAACAAAATAATCAAAATCAAAACAAATCTGGACTCAAATCTACTCAGTCGCACAACTCAAAGACATCCCAATCGCCAAATAGACAAAATTCATCTATAGTTGCATCGATATGTTGAAAAAAAAAAACTTAGATCGACGACGACACAGAAACAAAGATGATCTGCAAAATTACCTTATAAGAAACAGAAATGGAGCAGCAAACCGCCAAAAGAAAATGTAGATTTACTTGCTCCAAACTCGGAATACGAACACCAGAAAATCGAGATACCGGGGAAAATGGCGAGAGGGAGTGAGTACTTCAAAATCCAGCAAATGGCGTGGTTATTAGGGTCAGTCACACATTTCTGTTACTGGAGAGATCTTTGGGCGCAAGCCCATTAGTCATTTCACTATTTTGGTTGTTAGATAGATATATAATCACTATATCTAGACGGCCCTTGCGAATAAGTTAAGGTCTGCTTATGGTTATAAGCTGAGTACTTACTTCCACTCAATGATCCAACAACACTTGATTTCGTTTGATATCGTTACTTCGTTCGTTACCAATATCTTCTTCCTATTTTAACTTCCATATATATAATAGAATGTGTTTCATCGTATAGAGAAAATAAAATAAGTAGAAGTTTTTGTTAAAGAATAAAAAAAAAGATTACAAAGCAAACATTCGATCCAAACACACATGAATCAATCAATTATGCAAATAAAAATAAAGAGATATTTTTCCACTTTTAATTTAGCTTCTAGAAAGACATAACAGAACAACAAAACCATGCACAGCCCAAAACAATCCCTAGACGACTTGTCCTTTTGACGCTTGATCCGGCAGACTTATGATCATCCTCATCAATAGCCGGTGAATCTGCATCAGACGAAGGTAAGGTTTTCGGGGCCGGAGCTCCTGTGGGAGTAGTAGTCTTTGTTCCGAACAACTCTTCCGGCAACAATACCTTGTCCACCACGTAAACGGAAAGTGGAAATTTTTGTCTTAATATATTAGTGATCCTTGTCTCAACAACACCGGTAGAGATATTCACTTCGTTGATTTGTCCTTGTCCTGTGAAATTTAACCCAAAAACTCCTCCTTCTTGTCCCGTAGCCTGAGTTCTAACGGGATTACTAGCTAAGAGAAGATCACTTAGAGGATAGTATTTAGGAATGATGTGGTAGAGAATGAGCTGGATTTGTCGTTGATATGTGAGACTGTTTAGGGTTCCAGGTTTAAGGTTGTTGAATGCGTTATCTGTTGGAGCAAATACAGTCATCCCTTGATCAGAGCTGTTGAGTTGAACACTTACCTGAAACCCGACTTGAGTTGTGTTGAGGAGTCGAATGAATGTGGTAAACTGGTGACCACTTTCAAGAACCGCCGTGAGATTGACCGGACTTGTTTCATTGGTCGGAGGTGGAGCAATGGGTTGGCTTTGAATGTATGGGATGATGAAAATGAAGAAGAAGATGATGATATAAGAGATACCTGATGAGGACATGGCTCCTTCTTTGTCTCTGTCTCTCTAGATCTCTAAGTGTGTGTGTCTCACGGGTTAAGGCTTGAGATATATACATATATATATATATATATATATATATATTATATATATGGTTTATGGAGATTTAGAGAATGCATCATGCATGTACATATGCGAAGTACGAACGGAATTTGATCCATTTTTTAATTCTTATAATACCTTACATCATATGATAATATTGATTATTAGGAAATGGAAAACACTAATAGTCAATTTGTCATATGTCTACAATATAGTATTTATATGTACACGATACTCATTGGTTTACATCAATACATGACACTAGGCAATAAAGACTTGCTAAAAAATCGGATGTTAGTCATGGATGGTTCATGAATCTTGTTTCATCACATATACTATCACATCAATGCAGAATAAATTAAACTTACTGATATATACAATCTGATAGCTAGAGAAGAGGTCCGCATAACTATTTATGAAATTGCGTGGATACATGTATGAAGCATGGAATATAGCCTGGCAATATATTGACGGGCAACGTGAAGATCATATACTTAATAAAACGAAAAGTGCTCTGCATTACATAGGTGTGGGTAAATTTGCAAATATAACTCTATAGGACTCGCACCCAACAATACTGAAATGTGATTATGTGAGTAGCTCTTATGATAATAAAATCGAACAATATGGGCTGCAATTTCAGTAATCACCGTAAATATGTAAAGATTCTTTTTAAAACGAAAAAAAAAGAAGAAAATTAAAGAAAAAGATAGTGCTGTTTTGATGTGTTTTACTTGCATGTTTTAAGAATATATATTTGGATCCTCCTCGGGTGGGCGTGTAAAGGGAGCCAAGCTAAGTCACGTGAAGACTGAGGAAATGCAAATGGCCAAAGCAGCAATTGAAGATAATTTAGATGTAGCTCATGTGCTATTCCTTGAAGTGACGTTTATATCCCTATGATGATTTTATCTATTCACGATTCTCCACCGAAACGGATGCATCGTTTAATTTGAATTCCAAGGGTAAGATAGTCAAAAGTCAGTCTCCTTTTCCGAGGTAGCAAACCAAAAGCAGACCGAACTCTCAAGCAAACTCAGATTCTGGAGAGACAACAGTGTCTTCTTCAGTCCCAAGACCCAAGGGGTGATTGATTAATTAGTTCAGCAATTCCTATCCATATTATGGACTCACACTGCTCGGCGAGTCGACTCGTTCTAGTCGCCTTCTTCCTCGTTTGCTTCTTCGCCGGCGATTCATCGGCGACGAGACCTGCAGGTTTCTCTTACACCAGACACAGAGGGCGATGCACGCCGCAGTAACTAATCAAAACCCTGATTTAAATTAATTTCTCCGATAAAAAGAGAACTACGAAGGTACTCCTCGGGAGTTTTCACTCAGATCTGACTGTGTAAATGCAGGTATTGGAGCAGCAGGAGGGAAGCATGGCCGAGGATGGTGCCGGAGAGATCGACGGTGGAGAAAATGTTCGGAGTGATGGTGGCGAAAGAGCGTTGGAGATCTGATCTGACGCTGGTGGAATCGACGGCTAGGAACGACGAGGAAGGTAACGCGTACGGTGCGTTGCTGAAGCAGGGGATCGCAGCTCTCCTCAACTCTTACGCGAGGAGAAGCTTTTCTTACGCGCCATGGGAGGTTAAGACGATGCTCATTCAGGCCATGATCTCTGAGCCTGCCGCTCGCCGCCAAGCCCAACAGTTCGCCGCCGCTAACGTCGCTTGTGTCTAATCTCCAGACATCAACACAAAAGGAGCTAGATTGTTTACTTTGTCGTCGTTCTTTAGCTTCGATTTCTAGCTTCTCGTCGTCGTGTAGCCAAGTTTGATTCCGACTGAAGAAAAAAAAAACAGAGTTCCTCTCTCTACTCTATCAGTCACTATGTTATGATTTCAAAATCATCAGATTCAACAAACCAGGCTGATTCGACCCGTATCAAACTGAACCGAACCGGAAAAACTTGACGTACATTGTTAAATTGTAATTCATTCGAATCCGAATTCGCATAACTGTCACGTTTCTCATTCACGGCTTATCATTATTTTTTTCTCGAATAATTCAATCTAGTTTAATTATGGATTTCATTATTAATAAGCGTATCTAATATCTTTAGCAGTCAATTTTTTATAATTTATCTTACGAACTTCAATAGAGACACAATCAAAAGAAGCTCTTGTAATATCGAACAGTAGACTAATCGGACCACATTCAGACAAATGTTAATCGAATTGACTTCGGTTAGAATCTACCAAATGTAATTTAGTTACGGTTTTACTAAACCTGAAATAACCGAAAATAATCGAAAAGCCGAAGTATTTATATGGGGCCCAAATATAAATTGTTTGGAAACGACCCTTCATATAATCTTCTCTCGACTCTCGTTTTAATAATTAACCCAATAAGGAATATAGTTATCCGTGTTACCGAACAAGTCTGTAAGATGGTATCGGCAGGCAGAAACCCCAGGAGGTTTACCGAAAGCGGTCTCTAGGGCTTAACTGTTTAAGGCAACGCTCGAAATCTCATCCTTTCTTCTGGTTTGTTCATCACGTAAAAATTTTCATCTTTCCTTTTCCACCAAGCAATAACCAGAGATATGTTGTTGTATATTACCCTCAATCTAAATCAATCTTTCTGATTCTTCTCGCAGCGGCTAATCCAGTGCCGCCTGTAGGGTTTTTGGTCCGGTCGATTTCACTACGAGGATTGTTCTTCTAATGGCGAGTAGAAAGCTGATTCGAGATTTACTTATCACAAAGCAGCCTCTTTTCCTGCAATTGACGCACCAACGGGTTCGTGCGATTATCGCTCTGGTGTTTTTTTTTTTTTTTTCTATATAGTGTTTGTGATTACGAGCTGCGGAATCGGCTGATTGATTTGGTTATTTTCTGTTTGGTTTAGAGAGTGGGCGCAAGGCTAGGGTTTCTACCGACCAATGGGTATGCGCTTCATCGCCGGTTCAGCGTTTTCAGCGAGTTCTCGAAGAAAATTAGAGGGGAAGCTGAAAGGTGTTTCCTTTTGATTCAAATTTGTTATGTTTGATTCTAATTCTCTCTTCGTGGATGTTGTTCTTAGTTCAAATGTTGTTTACATTGTTGTTGTTGCAGCAATCCTGAGTTCCAACGAACTGTGAAGGAGCTCAAGGAAAAGACAGAAGAGTTGAAAGGTGTAAAAGAGGACCTGAAAGTTAGGTAATTTTAATTTACAATTGCTCTTACTTAGGCAAATATTGTATTTCAAAGGAAGCTTATGAGTGAAATGGAAAATGCAGAACAAAAGAAAAGACTGAGCAGCTGTACAAGCAAGTTGATGGGGTCTGGACTGAGGCTGAATCTGTGGCAAAAAAGGTATGGTCTAGAACAAGAACCTTGAATTGGCACCATATTTTGTGTTTTCGTTTTTTCTTTTCTTTTTGCTGCCCTATTAGTCCTTATCATTGGCTGCGCCTCTATCTATGAAGTATCGCTTGTAGTTTGCTAACTAAATAGTAAATACCCTACTGGTGGAAATTATTTTAGTGATCTGTAACCCGCTATTTATACGTATGAGGACCCGACTTTCTAACATTGTTAAAGGGTATTGAATCGTTTCTTACCAAACAGCTTTGGCGATGCAGGTTTCTTCAAGTGTGAAAGACAAGTTCTCAGCAGCCACAGAAGAGGTTTTGCTGGAAGCCCGTCGTTTTTAGTGATTTCAGTGGTCAGTTGTGGCAATTTTGGGGGTTAAATTTGGTTATGCAATTTTTGTGGTCAGGTCAAGGAGTCATTCAAGCTCGGTAAGGAGAAGAATAAGGAGGAGAATGCAGAGTCAGCAAGTTCATCGGGCACAGGAGCCTCTGGAGGAGAAAACCAGCAGAAGCAGCAGCAGCAATCAAGCACTACTGAGGACCAACAGACATTATTTGGAAAATTCAAGTCAAGCATTTCTTCACCCCTTGACTTAGCGAAGAAAGGAATTGACATTGTGAAGGATGAATTGCGAGGAAACTCGTCTAAGAAGAAGCACCTGGAATACACGCCTCCCCCGCCATTTACAGGCGAGAGAAGTACAAGAACGGATATGGTGGTCATGCCAACAAAACAGTCCAAGTGGCAAAAAAAATGGGAATCCTTTAGAGAACAGGTAAGTGATCCTTTTTGCCTTGTCCGCTTATGCCATGTTTGTAAGGCTCTTGCTGAGCGTTTTCGTTAAATTTGGGTTTAGATGCAAGCTTATCCTGTATTTAAACGTCTAAGCGGGATCAGTGAGCCTGTTGTCAACAAGAGCCAAGAGGTAAATGAACAATTTTCTCTTTACTTATTTCGTTCAAAAAATATTAACTTGCAATAATATCTTTGATGACACTACTTTTGTACTTGTAAATTGGCAATGCATTTGGACCGCGTAGATTGCAGAAGATGTGAGGGAAAGATGGGAAACCAGTGACAGCCCGATTGTTCACAAAATTCAGGAGTATGCTCTAATTTGCTCTCTGATTATCTTGCTTACCCAATGAACATCTTGCAACAACTTATTTCTATAAGTGCACCTTTTGTTTGGCAGCATGAATGAGGCACTCTTTCAGGAAACAGATTCTGCATCAACTTACAAAGAGATACGCCGCCGAGATCCGTAAGTTATAGAGGCTGGCTGAGTGGTTGGTTTGAAGTTTTGCTGCCAATAATCAAATTCTTATCTCTTTCATGGTCAGATCGTTCTCCTTGCCAGACTTTGCTGCAGAAGTACAGGAAGCCATCAGACCAGTCTTGAATGCATACAGCAAGGTATATCTCGGGTTTTGAAATGGATCATCTCCTCCCATCTTGGATTTTGTTGCCTCTAATTAAATGTTCCATCTCTGAGCCAGGGAGATGCTGAGACCTTGAAGAAGTATTGCAGTAAGGAAGTGATTGAACGGTGCATGGCAGAGCGTGCAGCTTTCCAAAGTAACGGTTTTTTTTTCGATCACAAGGTAAGGTATTTCTTCTTAGTTCAACCACAGGAAATCATGTAAATCCCTGAGTCAATGGCTTCATTTTTGTGTGGTGTAAATCCGTGATGTGTAGCTTCTGCATATATCGGAAGTCGAAGTTCAAGAGACAAAGATGATGGGAACTACACCAATAATCGTCGTCAGGGTAATAATCTTCCATTTTTCTTATGAGGTCATCCTTTAGCTAAGATTTGTATTTGATGGATTTATCATCTTTGATGTCAGTTCCAAACGCAACAAATCTACTGTGTTCGCGATAAGAATGGCAAAATTAAAGAAGGAAGCCAGGTAAACAGAAATTGTGAATCAAACCCAAAACATATAATAATCCACAGTCCTCTAAGAATATGTGTGTGTGTGTGTGTGTGTGTGTGTGTGTGTTTGTTGGATTTAGGACACGATACACACGGTGTACTACTTGTGGGCAATGCAACAAGTGGAGCCAGAAGAGTTAGGGGAAGAAGCTATTTATCCCATATGGAGGCTCAGAGAGATTATGCAAGTTGGTGTTCAAGCTCTCATTTAAATCTTTTGCCTTTTTAACCTTAAGCTAAGCCTCTTTCTCTCTCGCTGCAATGCCCCATTATATACTCAAATCCTGTTCACTCTTTTCCCTCCATTTCGGGAAGAAGTGGGTTCCCATGTTTCCGGGGGATAAGTTTTGACAAATATTTGATTAGTTCCCATGTCTTTTTATAAGGCTCTTTTTTCTGTGTCCGAGCTAGGCTAAAACTCTTTGGTAAGAAGAAAATAAGTAATAATTATGTTTGTTAATCAATTTGTTGTTACGGTAATGAATAAGAAAAGAAAAAAACTCTATTTATCAATAATTTGGGAATCTTTTATCCCACCTTCCAGTTCTATAAATATTTCATCTAACCAAAAATTGTAGCCGTCTGACATTCTCTATTTGAATTTATGATACTAAGCGCAAAAATGACTATTATTATGGGTGGAGCTGAGAATAATGAGTTGAGTAGGATGTACTATATTGAGATTAGATTAAGGAAGCAGCGTAGAGATTAAGCAGGAAGTGGAATATTCTCGGCTACTTTTGTCTTGATTGCGTCCGAACTAAGCTGCAGACAACTTGTATATGCATATAATCAACCCTCACTAATCTCCTTTCTACTTTATTATCTATGTATCCACTTAGTTTTTGAGCTTGCCTCTCTCTCTCTCTCTCACAAATCCCAAAATCATCTTGAGAAGATTGCGTCATGTCTTGCCTGAGAATTAAGCTTTTCCCAGCCAAAAGAGCCTGGAAGAGCTTAACCGCCAAATTCCACAAACTCCGGAGATCCAAAACCAAACCCCAAACCCGGTACGGTGCATCAATTCGCAGAAATTCCAGTGTTTTTCTCATCCGTCTAAAGAGAGGTTGCTTGTTCAAGAAGAAACGCAAAGCTGTTGTATACGTCGATAAGCTCTTTAGAAAAGCCAATTGGATACCAGCAAAACAGTGGGAGCCGGAGGAAGAATTGCTTACAGAGAGAGGAATAGACGAGAGAGCCCAAGAGTTCATCAACAGAATGAAAGCAGAGATGATCGCTTCACGCAACTTGTAGTAACTCATAAGCAGACTTTGGATAATTAGTAATTTCTTCTGTGTATAAAAAAAAGAAGAAGCCAATTTAAACTATTCTGTTAAAAAACAATCGTCTCGTCTGTAATTACCCTTACAAATCCTATTCCTTTAACAATATATTCCTCTTACAAGATGAACTTTCATCGGATGAATTAATTAAAAAAAGAGAAAGGATGTGTATGCATATATACCTTACGAAAGTAATAAACTGAGTCTGAGATTGCCTGTCTGATGAGAAACCTGCGACGGCAATTTGGTTTAGTCCCTTGAAACCCGAACAACTAAACCAGAAGTTGTTTGAAAAGTTTTCAAGTGACCAGAGCCAATGAGATCTCGTATGTGAAATCTCATATCCAGAGGAGAGAACCGGAGTCGTCTCTTTTCAAGGTCGGCCAAGAACATCTCTTTATGTCGCCTGCGCTTCAGCAATGAGAGGAGCTCGTTCCTTCCCTGATTAGATTGAGATTTTAGAGTAAGAAAAGGTTCATTTGAAGCAATCACTTGGGAGAGGAAATTGATAAAAAAAGTTTTTTTTTTCTTTTAAGGGTGTACCTGCAACAGACCCTTCCACAGTTTACCAATACTCGGAACGGCAAACCAGTACATGTCTGGATCGATTAGTTGGCGTGTCTGAGAGAAAATGGTAAGAGGAAGAAGAGTAAGAAAAAAAGCAGGTAAGAGATATAAGTGGAGTAATATAATTCTTTACTTACGAGAAGGCCTGCGTTAATCAAGAGAGTGATGTGCGCATCCTTGACCTTTCCGCCCAATGACAACAGCGAACACTGCAAGTGAATTATTTGAGAGCTTGTGAAAAGCGGAAAAGACTTACTGGCCTCAGGACCCATGTAGAAGGAAAAAAAAAACAGAGTGGGTAAGCTATAAAATGACTCACTAGCTCATCATGTCCAATACTGGGTTCAAGTTTTGAATCAAGGACATGCCCTTTGAACCACTTGAAAACCTCAACATCACTCTGTTTCTTCTCTTCCATCCTCTTCACTATTCGATCAACCTAACATGTTGGATCATCGGTTTTCAACCCAAAGACACCATAAAATGCCTGTTGAAATGCAGCAAAATGCAAACCTGGTTAAGATAGTCATCCAAAAAGATTATTGCATGATCATCTTGTCCAGTGTTGAGTTTGAAAACACGAACAACTTTATCCCTTCGTAAACACTGCACCAAACAATAGAAACTGGTTATTCCAAACAACTCTAGGAAGCCTAATAGAGAGATGATAACAAATGCCAAATTTTTATAGAACCCAAAATACCAACAATCTCGACAGGCAAAGATACCAACACCAATAACATAGCACAAAAGTGGTTGGGCATTTTAAACCCCAAAGATGGAAACTACAATGCAAATGATACGATTTTTTGGGTGTTTCTAAAGTTACCAGGAGAAAAAACCTATTTTTTTATTGACATTAGTCTAGAATCTTTAGATAAGAAACCATAGCATACCTCAAGTTCTCTATCCACTTGGGTTCTATCGTTGACGCTACTGTACAATTGCGACTGTAATATGAATGGCGGGACCGAAGCCTGCTACGGAAATTCAATTACGAGAGAAAATGAGAACGAGAACGTTCACAGGTATCTCCTAAAATTATCCAGATTGTCTAATTGATTCAATAACAGAGAAACCTGGTCAATACGAGGAAACTGAGATCGCATCATCCGAAGCGCCACAGAAGTGTCGCTAAAGTTAAGCTCATCCTCTGTTACGATACAAAGGAAACAAAAAAAAAACAAATTCGGAGTTAGAGAGCTACATACATACATACAATCTCTGAATTATAAATTAATCAAAGGATTCAACTCACGGAGAGAAAGAAGACACTGATCTTCCGACAATATTCCTCCATCTTCATTTTCAGCGTGACTACAACCAACCTGTTCTTCCTCTTTCTCTCGCCGGCGCTTCTTTGCTCCGGTGGCGGATGTTTCCGGATTTGTAACTTTGTTCATTCCCTTTTTCTTCTTCTGGGAAAATACTTTTTCTTTTGTCTATAACAATGTACAAATTTCTCATGGGCCTAAAAAACAAGGGCTAGGCCCATCAAAGTGCCTCAGTCGGATTCAGGTAACTAGAGAGGATTCCAACAGTTTGAACTTTGAAGACACATCTGTCTCTCTTTTTTTTTTTTTTTTCGTTCCTCCTATTGAATAGACGAATAGATAGCAAGATGGATAACAACAACTCGACTAACACTTAGAAGAAAACAAAATTATACCAAAATATTGTAATCTTTACACTTAAACATCAAAAAACAACAATCCACAAAATGCAATATAGCTCTAAGACAGTTCTAAGAAATGCAATATAGCTCTAAGAAATAACACAAACAATAGTAATATAAAAGCATTTTTTGATAAAACAGTTCAAGGTCTGGGGCATCTACATACAGTTTAATTAATAAACGAATCAATACCTGAACCTTTAAAAGCTTGAAATCAATTATGCATTTCAAACTTTAGATTTTGTTGATTTGAGACTTCTTCACACGAGACATTTACGAACAAAAACGCAAACCCAAAATAGGCCCAACCATGAATCATAATTAAGTGGCCCAATGAAAAAAAAAACAAAAAAAAATATTGATGTGGAAAAGAAGGAAGCTTGAATTAGAAACTTTCTGAAAAAGTGGGAAACAACAATTCAGAATCGATCGGAGGGAGAGAGATGGAGAGCGGTCTGATATCGGTGGACCGGTGGAGGAAAGGAAGTCAGGCTTACTTCTTGACCCATTTGCACTCCGATCACACTCGTGGCCTCTCCGGCGAGTGGTCGCAGGGTCCTCTCTACTGTTCCCGCACCACCGCCTCTCTGTTTCCTTCCCGATTCCCCGGCTTCGACCTCTCATTGCTTCGCGTCGTCCCACTCTCTTCATGGCGATCACTCTCCCTCCGCTCTCCTTCCTCCGGCTCCTCCGTACGCCTCCATTTCATGGCCATCGACGCCCACCACTGTCCCGGTACCAACGATTTACTTAACTTTAGTCTTTTGAAATTTCTTTTATTTGATGGATCTGGTTGGGTTTTTTAGGGTCCGTGATGTTCATGTTCCGGGGAGATTTCGGATGTTTTCTCTACACGGGAGACTTCCGGTGGGATTGTGAAGGTGAAGATGGAGCAAGGACCACTCTCGTCTCTGCTATTAAGGAATTCCCCGTCGACATTCTTTACTTGGACAACACCTATTGCAATCCCATTTACTCTTTTCCTTCCCGTCAAGTCGCTGCACATCTCGTTCGTTTCCCCTTCCCTTGTTTGTTTGAACATTACATTCCTCCCCAGTTTCTCTTCAAGTTCCTTCCTTGCAGGTTGCTGATATCATCGCCTCTCATCCTTGCCATGATATCATCATAGGAATCGACTCTTTGGGGAAGGAAGATATGCTCCTTCTTGTTTCCCGTTTACTCAATATCAAGGTTTCTTGTTTCCTCTCACTGTTCAGTTTCCTCTCCATCCAATTCTTTGTAATCCCACAAATGGAATTTAACAGTTGATTATATTGTTTTGTCCTTAGATTTGGGTTTGGCCTGAGCGTCTCCGTACCATGCATCTTCTTGGGTACCAAGACATTTTCACAACTGATACATCTCTTACAAGGGTGCGTGCTGTTCCTCGTTATAGCTTTAGCATTCAGACGCTCGAGGGCCTGAATATGATGTGCCCAACCATCGGCATCATGCCTTCCGGTCTCCCATGGCTTAAAAGACCTTCCAATGGAGTCGGAGATGGCAAACTCCTCTCTGGCTCCCTTCTTACTGCTTCAACCTTGCCTTGTCGGAAACAATTACCTGCGGGGGTTCATCAGTTCCATGACTATATGTATTCGGTACACTACTCTGATCATTCTTGCTACGAGGAGATTGGAGAGTTCGTAAACCTTGTCAAGCCAAAGAGCATGAAAGGAATTGTGGTTTCATCGGCTTGTTACGTTGAGCCTCTCTACTATTTTGGGCGTATCTGCCGAGTTAGCCAACCGCCAGAGTTGCTGCTTTTGAGGCCTGACACTGCCGAGCAATTTCGAGCTGTTAGGATCAAGTCATTCTCTGGAAATGACGAGACAATAGATAAGGAAAGAGAGAAACGGTTGAAGCGAGATGGTTATTCAAGTTTTAAGAGAAACAAGAAGAGATCACGTATACAAGTCAAGCGCGCAAAAATTTCAGAGATTGATTAGCTTTAATTGCCTGTTGGTACTGTCTAACATGGACGACGAGGCTGCTTATTTTGCTTGGAAGCTTACGTTGGTGTTTATGTAAATGTTCTAATACTCTCTTTCCATAGAACACAATTATTTTTCTTTGTTAGAGTCGTAGAGGTGCAAATATATAAATGGTAGAAGAAAGCTGCTGGTTCGAACATATTGGATTTTATCAAATTGGGCACTCTTGAGAATAAACCACTAGTGATATCTTCATTCTTTTAAGGGTCACGAAGATATAGTAAAAATCTCTTAACTAACTATTTGGAGACGTACAAAGACAGTTCGAGTCAACCTTTCATTAAGAGACAACATAGAAAGAAATAGAAGAAGATGAAAACCAACATGTGCCAAATGCTTAGCTTTCAGTACTTGACAGGTGCATTTTGTGTCGGCAAGAGACCAAACCGCTTCTTCAACATAACTCTCTGCTGTGAATATTTATCGTCAGGTGAGAATCGAGCTGCAATATCACAAAGATTTGGTTTGAGCTCTAAAGGTTTTGTTCTTCAATGAAAGAAGCAAACTATAAAAACACAAAACGGGTCTGTAAAGCTAGACTCACCTGGATGTGCAGATTCAGTGGCTGTCCCAAGCGGTGATTCCTTCTGCACAATGGTTGTTGATCAAAAATGCTCAGAACGTTCGAAAAAAGTTCTGTTTTTTTTAACAGCCAGCTAATTTAAGATTTAAGCAAACAAACCAAGCTTCAGGAGTCTGAGATAACTTTGATTTAACAAGGCTTTCACCCTTTAGAACTAATAACTCTCTTCTAAGGATCTATCCTGAGATGCTATAAAACTAACCACAAAATTATATATCTAACGAAAACAGAGATTTATTTCCAAAGCTAGAAAGTCAAGAACAAGATTATACATAGGAAGTAAGCATACAAAGAGACTAGATGAGCAAAGTCAAGGTACCTTAGTGGTGTAAACCTTCTCACCCTTCTCGTTGATATAGCACTGAAGATACATCGTCCTTTGATTTCTGTGAAGCCCTGTGCAGAAAATTAAAATTAGAGCACTAGACGAAAAAAGAAAACAAAGCGGCATAGCCGATTAAGACTCACCTAAACAAGAACGTACCTCAGAGATGTTTGCTGGTTTTTATTTTTTGAGACGAGAGACACGATTAGGGTTTTTCTGGAGCAGAGAAGAAGTAGAGGTTTTTGTCAACTTGTATATAAAGTTCTCGAATTAAGAAAAGAAGATGGGCTTTAGATTAAACAAAACTTGTTAGCCCAATATGAAAAGCCCAATTATTGTACATGTCCAAAGTCAAACCCATAATAAAGACTAAAAAGAGTAAAGAAGGCTGGTGAATTCCGAAATTCGTTCACCGGCGAAAAAGAGAAAACGATGGGGAAATCTACAGAGATTCCGGCGACATCGAGGTATCTTAAAAAGGAAGAGAAAGCTGTTAAATCACAGAAACCTCCTTTCAGACCTGCCGTCGATGACACCAAACCTGTCCTTCAGGACCCCGTAAGGATCTCTCTTTCTCTCTCTCTCTCTCTCTGGTCCCTGCACTGTGTTCTATTTATCGATGCAAAATTTGAGCCTAAAAGATCACTGATTTCGAATTCGAATTCGAATTTGAACTTGTAATGTATTAGTAAGGTTTGGTATGGATCAAAATGAATTAATAAGGTTTGGTAAAGATCATTTCTTCATTTAGAAGCTCTTTCATTTGTAACACAATATTCTAGTTACACAGAGGAGGATCATTTTCAACTGTGGACATGAGAGAGACATATATATTTTGATTTTATTCCAATCGTTTCAAATGTAGTATCTTTGTAGTGTACATTCGTCTAAGAAGAGACTGATTCTGGAGTCCAATGGTTACTCAATTTTCTAATGCTTTTGTTATCTTGAATGGTTTTCTTCTTCTTTAGATTTTGAGGTCGGATCCAATGGAGACAGAAGAAGCTGTGCTGAGATTGCCCACTTTCCCAGTGATGATGAGACCATCTGAATCGTAACGAGGTTTTCCTCTTACTTTGTTCGACACTTCCATTTCAGAGGATTGTGATTGCCAAAGAGGATTTTGTGTCTGCTTGATCAGCTTTTTAACTTGGAATACCATATGTTGATCAGCTTTAAGAGCAGAAAAGTGTAGTTCAGCACACCAGAGCGAGTGAGTTTCCAAAAACAAGACTCAAAAGCATTCCTTGTCCCATACACCATTACTATCACATATGACATATGCAAAACTTAATGATGTAAAATTGGTTTCCTGTAACGAAAGAGACGCTTTGTTACCATCGATCGAAAATGTTGTTGTTTTCCAAGTTTCTAAACTGATATGTTTTATTCTCTTCACCAATTATTATTAAGATCCACCAATCATATTGAAATGAAAAGAAAACAAAACAAACAAAAAAACATAAAAAGAATAGTTTATCATTTATATTAAGGGTTAAAAGAAAGATGGAGAAGAGGTCTGCATGAAAGAAGAATCAGAGAAAATGACGGTGAGAATAAAGGCAGACATTGATCTAAAATGCTGAATCATAAAAATCATGGGCTCCAGAGAGATTCACGCTCATTCGATTCCTCTCTTTTCCTCTCCTTCTCCTTTCCGATTGGAGATTTGTTTTTCTTCCTGCTTTGGTTTGATTCTGTCACACGCTTGCTTAACGTTAACATTGATCGTTTTCCGATCCTGAAAGGTCTTTTTTTTTTCTTGAAAACAATCACATACGTTTATGTCTTTGTTGTGTCTGGATTCTTCCTAGTGATTTGTTTTGATTTTGTAATTCTTGTTTATGCAGGAGGAGGATACGTTGAGACGTTTTCAATCTGAAGATGATGAAATTGACTAGTTTCTAGTTAACTTGTGTGGTTGGTAAAGAGAGTATAGACATGGATTCTGCAAAGGGTTGGTTTCAGAAGCGGCAAATGCGTGGAGGATCAAGATATAAGGGTGGTTCAGGTGGTGGAGGTAGTAATGGCTCTGGCGATGACCAACCGAACGTGGAAGCTGATGAAGAAACCGTCTCAAATACTACCAAACAGAAAGTTGCAGCTGCTAAACAGTACATTGAGAATCATTACAAAGAGCAGATGAAGATTCTGCAAGAGAGGAAAGAAAGGTATATATACATCTATCTCTTGTTCGAAACCTTATTAATTTGCCTAGTTAATTAGTCTGCGTGATTAACGTTTAGTTTTGGTTCTTCGCATATACCAGGCGGAGCATGCTAGAGCAGAAGCTGGCAGATGCTGATGTGTCCGAAGAAGATCAAAACAATCTTCTCAAGTTTCTGGAGAAGAAAGAGACAGAGTACATGCGCCTTCAACGCCATAAGCTAGGCGTTGCTGATTTTGATTTGCTGACAATGATTGGGAAAGGCGCATTTGGGGAGGTATATATATATATGTTTTCTTGCCTCCTTTCCGCCTGCTGGGAATACAATTCTTTTGGTGGCTGTTAAAACGATATACTGTATATGTATGTCGTTGCTTCTGTAGGTTAGAGTTTGCAGAGAAAAGACGACAGGTCAAGTTTATGCTATGAAAAAACTCAAGAAGGCGGAGATGCTTCGCAGAGGCCAGGTGTGAGACTTCCCTATAATCTAGTGGATGCTACTTTATGTGGACCAATAAATAATCATCCTTTGTTTGACTCCCCAAATGTAACTCATTTTTGTTTTCAAGGTTGAGCATGTGAGAGCAGAGAGGAACTTACTTGCGGAAGTGGACAGTAACTACATAGTGAAGCTTTACTGTTCATTTCAAGATGATGACCATCTTTACCTTGTGATGGAGTATTTGCCTGGTGGGGATATGATGACTCTCCTGATGCGCAAAGATACTTTGACTGAAGATGAGGCCAAGTTCTATGTCGCTGAGACAGTTCTCGCCATCGAGTCCATCCACAGGCACAATTACATCCACAGGTTCTGTGAGAATGTAAAAAAGCCATTCCTTTTTTACCTTGAGTCTTGGATGAGCGTATCTTAAGTTCATTTTGCTTTCCGCAGGGATATTAAGCCGGACAACTTGCTGCTTGACAGATATGGACATCTGAGACTGTCGGATTTTGGATTGTGTAAACCTTTGGACTGCAGTGCCATTGGAGAAAACGATTTTTCAAACAGTTCGAATGGATCCACGGAGAAAGAGGCCGGATCAACTGCTCCAAAACGAACACAGCAGGAACAACTTGAACATTGGCAGAGGAACAGGAGAACGCTTGTAAGGCTCCAAATTGAACCCTTTGAGATTTTGACTTTATCTGTAGCTGTTTGGTTTGCGAACGAGATTCTCTCTCTGTATGTGTTTGACTAACCCATGAAACGACAGGCTTATTCCACAGTTGGCACACCAGATTACATAGCTCCAGAAGTTCTATTGAAGAAAGGATATGGGATGGAGTGTGACTGGTAAGCATTTGAGGCTCCCTAATTTTTTTTTTTGTGTAAGTGCATTATCATAGAATATGAGGTTTACACTCCATCAGATTTTGATGTGTTTATGCCAATTCGAAACGATAAAATGCTCTGTACGTAGGTGGTCTCTTGGAGCAATCATGTATGAGATGCTAGTTGGATATCCTCCCTTTTATTCAGATGATCCTATGTCAACCTGTAGAAAGGTAATCTATAGAAAACTGGACAAAATTGAAGATTTCACCTTCCGCTTACTACATTGACAACAAACTCTTGTTCTCGATTTTTTTTGGTTGCAGATAGTAAACTGGAAAATTCATTTGAAGTTTCCAGAGGAAGCAACACTGTCGCGGGAAGCAAAAGATCTTATCAACAGCCTGTTGTGCAGTGTCAGACGGAGGCTTGGTTCCAAAGGTGCTGATGAAATAAAGGTGTTGTATGGTGTGTCCTTATACTGTGGTTTCTTTTTAAAAGCCTTTTCCTTTTTTTAGAAGCATGTTAAGAATTTTTTAGCTTGTTTAAAAGACTGTGTTTTTTAATGTAACTTGAATGCATGAGTGTTAATTTCTCTCAACATTTGCAGGCTCATCCATGGTTTGAAACTGTTGATTGGGATACAATATTCGATATGGATGCAGCATTTGTTCCAGAGGTCAATGACGATTTAGACACTCAGAATTTTGAGAAGTTTGACGAGGTGAAACATCTTTAATCCTTTTGGATTTGATGGAAGCCATTAATTTGTATTGGATTCTTTAAATCTTTGTTTTTTTTTGGTAATGCAGTCGGAATCGCAAACTCAGACATCATCCAAGTCTGGCCCATGGAGGAAGGCAAAGCTCTATTTCCTTTATTTTTCTTTGAACACAGTAACTATACCCTGCAAAAGATTCATGATCGCTTTCTTAATACATTCCTTTATGTTTCCGCTTTTACTTTTGCAGATGTTGTCGTCAAAGGACATAAACTTTGTAGGGTACACATACAAGAACTTCGAGATAGTTAATGACTACCAAGTTCCTGGAATGGGTACCACACACTTGATCACTGGTTCTAATCATCAGTCTTTGATTTATTTTTCAATTAGTGTGAATGTTACTAATGCATGCTTTAAATGCCGTTTGTAGCGGAGTTAAAGAAGAAGAACAAGTTGAAGCGACCAATGGTCAAATCACTCTTCGGTACGCACACACTATTTATTTTAATCTTTTGTTTTTGGCCTATTTCCATGCATGTGAAGATCTTGAAAGATCAAAATCTTGATCTTGTTTGCTGATTTTATGTATTGAAACCATTCCACAGATAGTGGATCATCAGAGACATCGGAAACAACAACGAAACCGGCTTGTGATCGACCTCCTCCTACTCCTCCGGTGGTTCAGGGAAGCTTTCTGAAACTTCTGCCACCAGAACTTGAAGTGAGGCCTAAGCAGGAAGGATCCGAAGCTTGCTAAAACATAATTTGTCTTGTTTTGGAGTTGAGTTGTGTCCCCAATGTTTAGGCGATAGCAAAATTACGAACCGACCACTCCTGCTATCTTTTGAAGACGAACCAAGTCTCTCATTCTTGTTGACACGCAAAATACATTTTTTTTTTTTGTTTTTTTTTACATGATTATAGTTTTCTTTCAAAAAGAAAGTTGGTGTTTGAAGGTCCCTTTTTAAATCTATGGACGCTTTCTCTGTTTCTGTTTGTGCTTTGTACTAAGGCTTTGCATTTGATACAATCGCTCGGAAAGGCCAGAGTTGTATGAGATTACTTATACTTTTTAATACCAAGACTAAGCTAAGATAACCATCTCCAGCAAAAAGATGCAAATTTGATGGCGTAATGACCAATCTCCGGATTTGCATTATAACTAAAAATTCACAAACACGAATTGATGGTATGAAAATAATGATTAGAAAATTAAGCCCTCTGCAAAACAAACATTCTTACATTAGTAGAGCTTTCACAAAATATCATCATCACCACCACCACCACAGTTAATTATAACTTTTAAGAGATGTTTCTTGGTGGTAACCAATCTAAAGAACAAAGAACTGAGACCAAACCCGTATCAAATCATCTTGGATTGGATTATATAGTATGATATACTCACATACCAACCTTGATTTTGGCCAACATGATCTTGAACGTGCCAAAATCATTGAGAGCAGCTCTTCTCTGCTGCACAATAAGTTTCCTACCCCATGAGCTCTTCTCCCACTTGTTCTTCACATCTGCAACTATATAAAAAAAAAAAAACTTACCCGAGACAGCCTTCTCCATTGCCTCAATTAAATTCTTCTTCTTAGGCACTCATCAGTAGCAGTGTCAATTGGGCTGTCCATGTCCAAATGGGCTTGTCCAAATGAGCTTTTTTATTTTCTGGACATTAATGGTTCACACCCAAATAGAACCATGTCCAAATAAGACCAAAACCATTTTGGACCATGATTAATTGGGCTGTCCATAAGTCCAAATAAAACTATTTTCAAAATTACTTAATTGTAGCAAAATAAAGAGATTCAAAACATGAGTTTAACTTAATTGCAGCAAAAAACGAGATTCAGCTTACAAGATACAAGTTCAACTAAAACATTGTCATAAAAAAGATAAAAGAGAGATAAAGACATTAATAGCTTCTATGTTGTTCGGATCTTCTTTCTTCTACTTTCACCATCATCTTCTTTATTTTCTTCATATGGCTCAAACTCGGAATCACCTATTATAAAGTATCAGCAATTTCATATGATCAATGTATAAAAAATAATAATCAAAAACAAAACAACAATACAAGCATACGACAGAAAGTGATTATGATATTAACTCAAGATTGATGTAAACTTACTGATTACTTCAAAGCCACGCAGCCAATTTCTTGTACAAATCAGAGCTTGGACATTTGATGGAAGAAGCCAGCTCCTATACTTGTTAAGAACTCGACTCCCAGCACTGAATGATGACTCAGAAGACACTGTTGTTATGGGAATACAAAGCACATCATAAGCCATCTGAGACAGCTCTTTGAACCGTGATGCATTGTCTTTCCAATATTTTAAGACATCCAAACTTTGAAAGGCAACCATATCCAAGACAGGTTCTTCCAAGTACATTTCTAATTCTGATTTTCCAGTTGCCACTTTCTGAGAAAAGAATGCATAAAAGCCCTGCAAATGCATATCCAAAACATGACTGATTAAGAAGAAACCACAATGCTTATAAAACCGAGATAAAATCACAAAAGTAAAGTGATTATTTACATCATATCCAGCTGGTAAGTTATCCTCTGAAGTGGTTAGTGAAGTGCTTGCAACTGTCTTCTTTGGATTCTTCTTATAAACTCCATACAGCTTTGTCATCTTTTTACGGATGTGATCCACCTTAGACTTGCTAGTTGATGGATCTAAAGTACCAAAACAGTATTCCAAACAAGCCAACTTCAACCTAGGGTCTAAAACAGCAGCAATGGAAAGTATATCACTGTAGTCTTTCCAGTATTTGTCAAAATTCAATTTCATTGCTTCCACCATTTTATAGATGTGTCATCATCAGAAAAATCATGCTCTCTCAACCAGCTTTCTATCTTCCAAATTTGCATAAAGTAGAGATTCGCAGTGGGATATGAAGAGCCTGAAACTAGATTAGTAATGACACTAAATAGAGCCAATAACTTGCAGATTAACTCAGCTCTTGACCACTCTAAGTCAGAAGGGAAGCTCATATAACTCAGCTCTACTTCTGCAAGATTACGCAAAGCATCTTTAAATAGGATAGCTCTAGACAACATCAAATGAGTTGAGTTTAATATAGGTTTCTATCTACCAATATGTCTTTTATATCTATCATTATGCATATATTTATAAAAATTTTAGTCTATAAATTCTCTAATATAACAAAATTAATCTTTAAAAATAAATAAATTTTAAAAAATAATTAAAATAATTATAAAAATTAATCTCCACTGGTAGAAGAATAATAATTAAAATAAATTAAGAAGAATAAAAAAATTCCAATTTGATTTGACTTAAAATTTTTAGACCATTGGGCCGACCAAAAACCATATGGTTTGACCCATTTATTTTTTGGACAAAACTAAACCATAACCATTTAGACCCACTAGTATTTGGGTGTGTCCATAACCAACCCATTATAATTTAGACATGGGTCACCCATGGACAGCCCGCCCATTTGACACCTCTAATCATCAGTGAGAGACAGCCTCTTCAAATTAATCTGTATCCTCTCCATGTCATCCATAAAAATCATTTTCAGAATGAAACAAACAACGATAATTATTTTAAAAGGCCCATTACTAGGGTTTTGGCCCACTATTAATTTAAAAGGCCCATTACTGGTGGAGGGAGTGATGAAAAACGGCGCCGTTTAAAGAGACGATGAAGAAATGGGCAATCTGTTTCCTAACCGAACCCGATCGGTTTAATAGAAACTGAATCGGGACTCATAAATTCTCGGCTTGGTTCGGTCCATATGCAGAGTCCTAGAAATAGAAAGAAATATGCAAGGAATGATGGAAGGAAAATCCGGAAGACGAAGAAGAGGTTAGAAGACAGGCATTTGTCGGAAGATTTTCGAGAGTCCGGCTGTTTAGGATCTCAATCTGCATAATTTGAGCATGTATGTATAATCGATGATCGTCTTCTTTTGTTGATTTATTTAAATGATTGGGTCTATTAGGATTCTGGATCCTCTGAAAGTTGTGATGTTATGATGCTGATTTTGTAATGTTCTTGTGGTGGTGAATGGTGATGATGATGTTCGGATTCTAAGATATATTTGAGCCATGAGGGGAGCCTCACCGTTTCAAAATCACAGACCTGGTTCTTATCTGCCTTCTTTTCTTTATTCATATATTGTCAAGTTTTTTGTTTTTTCTCCATCTTGTCGATATGTAAGACGATGATTTGATTTGGGTTTTTTTTTTCTTTTTTTTTCTTTATAGTGGTGTGGTGAATCAATGAATGATCTCTGTTGGGGATGATATGCCTGTAAGTTTGGCCTGACAAACAAAAAAAAAATTGAGAAGAAGCTTGAATGTTTTGCTGTGGATTTATGTGGAAATCCGGAGGAGAAGATTTGCAAGGTTTCTATCCAGTTAGACCAGAATGTCAAGCAGATGTTCCAAGGACCCGATTTAAATCACGGGTTTGTGCTTTTCACTAACTATTTTCTCAGTGGCTTGTTCATAATCTTGAGGAATTGATGATATATAGGGTTCTTATCAGATCTCAAATGTGGCTCCAGTTCAATTTTTTTTCTTGAGAATGATCCATCTTGAAACGTAATTTTTAGGCTGGAAAAACACTAAGTGCTAGAAGATGGCACGCTGCTTTTACTGAAGATGGGCATTTGGATATGGAAAAAGTGCTTAGACGTATACAGCGTGGAGTGAGTCTAACGTTGTTGTCATGATCTTTGTTTCCATCTCTTCTGGTCTATAACTTTTTTCTGTTGTTGTTCACTTGGTTTCGATATCAGGGAATTCACCCCTCTATCAAAGGCGCTGTTTGGGAGTTTTTGTTAGGATGTTACGATCCAGACAGCACTTTTCAGGAAAGGAACAAGCTGAGGAATCGAAGAAGGTAACTATTTAATTTGGTTGTTGACTGGGTCGATCATTAAGCCATCCTACTCAAAGCTCAAGTAGTTTCTGTAGATTCCATCACATCATAGCTCAGGCTAACTTTCAATGGCATTGATCATTTAAGGGAGCAGTACGGTGCATGGAAAGAAGAATGTAAGAAAATGGTTCCTGTCATTGGTAGCGGGAAGTTCGTCACAATGGCAGTGGTCTTAGAAAATGGGAAACCAATTGAAGAATCCTCTGTAGAAAATCAAGGATGGGTCGTGAAAAACACCGTTACAGACGAGAGAGTGCTCCAATGGATGCTCTCATTGCATCAGATCGGTATGCCCATCATTACATATATAGGCTTAGTCATATCTGATTCCGTTCTTATGACATGCTTTTAACATCAGAATTACGTACATACCTTTTCAAGAAACCCGCTACCATGTTACATATTCTTAACCGAATGGTGGAATGTTGTTGCAGGCCTTGACGTTGCTAGAACAGATCGGTATCTCTCCTTTTATGAGAATACTAGTAATCAATCAAAACTATGGGATGTTCTTGCCATATATACGTGGTTGAATCTTGATATCGGGTATGTTCAGGGTAAGTGTTCTTCTCTATTAACGGTTAACTTTTTATAAGAAAAGAAGAAAAGGGTAAACAACCGATCCAATTTATTACTCATGTAGGAATGAATGATATATGTTCCCCAATGATAATCCTCTTTGACAATGAAGCCGATGCTTTCTGGTGCTTTGAGCGTGCAATGCGGAGACTGGTGATAATCTATGACATGACGTCTCAAGTTTTCTGTCATCACCACACGGTTGTTATTGTATTGACTTTTTTTATTGTTTTCTTGAAATCCAGAGAGAAAATTTCAGGGCAACAGCAACATCAATGGGTGTCCAGACTCAGCTGGGTGTGCTCTCACAGGTCATTAAAACGGTTGATCCTCGACTCCATCAACATCTAGGTATGAGTGCTGTGCTGTTACATACACACTCTTCTTGTCTTGGTGAGCTAAAACTTATTTACGTAACAGAGGATCTCGATGGTGGGGAGTATCTGTTTGCTATTCGGATGTTGATGGTACTTTTCAGGAGAGAATTCTCCTTCCTCGACGCTTTGTACCTTTGGGAGGTAACGACACTGCTTTTACATATAATCCAATTTCTGCGTTTCTTCGGTTGGTTTCTGAGTTTACCTGCTGTGATTGTTTTCTAGTTGTTGGGATAATGGGAATAATGTGAGATGGATTTGTGTCTGCATGCAGATGATGTGGGCTATGGAGTATAATCCAAACATGTTTGCAACATACGAGGAACTAGAAAACCGAAACAACGCAGCAGAAGATCCCAAGTTACTAAAACGGTATGGCAAGTTTGAGAGGAAATACGTAAACAGCGGACGGAACGAGCAACATCGCAATACGCTTGCTGTTTTCGTGGTCGCCAGCGTTCTGCAGACAAAGAACAAACGTCTCTTGAAGGAAGCTAAAGGTTTAGACGACGTTGTTCAGGTCTCTCTCTTTTCCCTCTCCTTCTCTCAAAGCGGTAAAACCAAACGCCGTAAACTTCAAATATATGTTGTGTTGCAGATACTAGGAGACATCGCAGGTAATCTTGACGCGAAAAAAGCGTGTAAAGAAGCGTTGAAGATCCATGAAAAATTCCTGAAAAAGGTTTCTTTCTATCATTTTCAAGTCGTAGAAGACATATTTTTTCATGTATACTAATGGATATGTCGTGTGTTTCTGGCAGGCTAATAGGCAATAAAGATTTGCTTCCACTTTGTATACCGAGAGATATTATACGGTTTTATCAATCGGCTAGAAATCTCTTGAAAAGATTATGGAAGGGGAGTGATGAAAAAGCTCTGATGATTCTTTTATTTTTTATATTTGTTTATCATCTTCTAATGTTTTATGTTATTTGTGGTACATTGTGTGCCGTTTTTGAGTTATAAGAGTGAACTTCGTGATACTTTTCTTTTTCATTTCTTTTGTAATTCACTGGAAGACGCGGTGAATTTACTTAACATTCACACGACTCACGACGAGTCACCAACCTCTTCCATAACTTTTTTTTTTGTTTTTTTTTTTGGTTTTTTGTTTTCGTGATAATCTTTTTCGTAATTTATTCATTATTTTTTATTTTCATAAGTCGAAAAAAAAAACCTATCAGGCGATTCTGGCATACAATTGAAAGCTCAAAACAATTTGGTAGAGCGGAACAATGTGATCTAATGTTTTGTATTGGCCGTTTTCGGATTTAGAAACTAAAAGTTTCAAACTTTAAACATTTCGGGCAGATCAGAACTGTTAATCTTTTATAATGTGTAATACTGAGATTCAAATCCAAAAATGTACGTATGTACGTATGCAAAAACTTTTAGACAAACCCAAAAATCGGGCAGAAGTGAATCATTTTGGTCCATTTTAATTTTCAGCACACTTATAGTATACATTCAGACAAAAATATAAACATTACATTATACATGATGTTTTGTAAAATTATTACATAGAATTTATAAGATGAAATCAAATATATTGTTGTGATGACCATTGGGTGGAACAAAAAAAACGTGTTTCTATATACGAATTCTAAATTTGATTATTTTTTAAAGTAATAAGTAAAAAAAAAAATCTTAACCATCAGATTAACGAAAATCTTGGTTTAAAACAAACATTTTCCACTCGTTTTTGCCGTATCACCTTTATACTCTCTCCACCATCCTCCAACAATCATTTTCTTAGTTTCCTTGATTTTTGTTTGATGAACCTTTTTTTTCCTCCTGAAATTCGATCGAGGATTTGTAGGTGAATTTACATATACTACTCTTTTATATTACTTTTTTTTTAATTCGTTCTTTTTGATAGGAGAATCCGCTAAAACAGATAAACCTACAACTTTCTGAGATGCATTCTTGTTTGTCTCCAAAAAGTTTTTCGGAGTACTCTTGAGGCGCAATCCATGCAATATTTTTTCCTCAATTTATTTATCTTTCAGTTTGTCTTCCTCAGTTTTGGTTGCCGCCAACTTCTTATTTCTGTAAAAGTAGT